TTATTTTTTATTATAATTGTAAGCAAATGAATGAATGAAATAAAGAAAAGTGCTAAAAAGAAAATAAAAGACAAAATTTAAATATTTATTTGGCAACTAAGATTGTAAACAAATAAAAAAAATAATTAATTAATGGAAAGATGGGAAGGAGTATATTTTATTGATTGAACAGAATCAAATTAAAGCAAATAAAAATCAAAATGAAAAATACAATTATAAATTAGCAATTATAATTTGTGAAAATTGGAAAATTTAAGGAGTTTTTGTTTAGAAAATGAGAAAGAGTGTGAAAATGAGTGAGTGAGAGAGAGAGGGAATTAATAATTGTATAAATGGAAAATAGTGAAATATAAAAATAAATATTTATAAAATTAAGTAACACCTATATATATATTGAGAAAGATTAAAATAAATAAATAAGTAGTGGGAAAGAAGAAATTTATATATATGACAGAATGAGTGAATGATTAATTCATTAATTAGCTAATTGAATGTTTGAATGAGATGAGGGAAACTCAATCAAATTTAATTATTTTTTGTGTTTTTAGTTTTATTTTGGTTTTCGTAAGATTTATATAGCTTCGCAGATAGATCAGATTACACATCTCTGAATATAGTTTATTCTTCTTTGAAAGGAATATACTGAGAAGAAAATTATTGTTGTGTTGCTCTTTCAGCGTAGAAAACTGCGCCATAGTAGAATTGTTCGATGTTCTTTGAGGCTTTGTGTGCCTTGTGAATACGCGTTAAGTAGTAGAATTTGTTGCTAAATAGCTTTTGTGCCTCCTCTCTTACTTGCTCAAGCATATCTTAATCTTCTTAGCTAAATTCATATTCTGATTCGATTTTATTTACTATACTTGTTGAGGGATCATTATTTTACTATAAGTGGTTAAATAGCAACAGAAAGTGTTTGTTGTTGCACTTATTTTAAGGGAATACATTTTTTATGAATTCAACTATTTTTTTTTAGCCTTTTGCTTAATATATACTAACTAAGTATTAAGATATTTTCTTCATTATATTTTTGTAAAAGTTCTTCAAATTGAATTGGGAACCGTCTAATAAATATTTTATAGGTTTTTCTCCTCTAATTATTTAGAGAGTTTGATTAGATTGATTAGCAATTTGTATATCTTATTCTAATTATTCTTCGACTTTGAATTTTTTATTTGGTTAAGCTTCGTATTATGAGAAATCTTATTTGCGCTCAATATTTTTGGTTTTATTGTATGACACCTACTGCTACTACTCATGATTAGCGGTTTCCATATTGGTAGAAAGATATTAATGGTATGAGTCATTATTAGCATTGAAATCAAATTGTTAAATAAGTTAAGTTAAAATTGGCTGTGGTTAGTAATTCTAAATTAAAGATGGTTGTTGATATGTTTATTGGAATATATTTTATTATGGATAAGAAGTCTAGATATCAAACAAATTTAAATTATGGTATGATTGAAAAGGTAAGTTGGGTTAGTAGGTTTAGTTTTGAGTATTTAAAACGATTATGGGTTGTTAAATTTAAATATTAAAAAACATCGATTAGTTATCTTATTATTACAAGTTGTCTCCAGAATCTTCAAACGATTGTTAAAATTAATTATCTAATTATTATTATTATTAATTATCAATTGGTTATTAATACAACTCATGATTAGAATATTAATTATTATGATAATCCTCACAATTAAATTCTTATGTCTCACCTATTGAAGGATATTAATTTTGTTAAGAAATATTATCACCTTATTATTCCGAAATATTTGTATAAAGATTTAGATTATTAGTTTAATTAGGTAATACATTAATTTCATTCTGATTTTATGAATAGAAAGGTTCTCCGTATTATTCATGTTAAGGATCTTAGCTAAAATAATCTAGTAATGTTGATGCATTTTAAGCATGTTCATAGTTGAAGTTATTATTGCCGTCCTCATAATCATTTTTAGGAGAAGGTTGTTCTTAGGTCGGGATTAAACCATCAAAGTAATTGTCTTTTGGTTCATAATTACTGTTCATATATTGATTTGATTACCTATTATAGCTCATGTTAAGTAGGAGTAGCTAATTTTTCAGCAGGGGTTTATTTCTTTTGTTTGTTTTATTATTTATTTCTTTATTTTATTTGCTTATTATTTATTTATTATTTATATGAAATTCAGTTTGATTTTAATACATTCTAATTTAAATTTTGTTAGTTAATAAATAGTTGCTATGCTAAAAATAAATAGTCGATTTCTAGTCTAATCAAATACAGATAAATAGATAATTAATTAGATAGATTAAATCATTTATTTATTGATTTATAAATAGATAAACAGATTGATACTTAGATTAATAACCCTAAAATCCTGTTTAATTAAAAAGTTTTTGATTGTATTAGGCAATTTACATCCCACTCCTTAAATAGTTTTCATGCAACTAAATAAATAAATAAATATTACAAATTTGTCTTCGAAACTTAATAGCTTTACTAAAGTTCTATCTAATTATTATTTTATTTTGTTTAATTTCAATCCGATATAATCTTATTTAAGTTTAATTTTTAAATTCAAAAAATCAATCTCCATAAAAAATGCCTATTATATTATCCAATTCAGTAATTAAATGATCAATAAAAATTTTAGAAATATAACATTATTGTTTAGAATTTATTTACCTTTTAGGTTGTAAGTAGTACTTAAAAGACCACAATTTAGATTCGAAGAAATATTTACACATCTAAATAAAAAATACATTATTATATTTAATTAATTAAACTATGATAAGATTAAGTCAGTTAAAGCAACTTTCTCAAATTATTGTAATTAATGTAAGACTAATTTAATTTAAATTAGTGAAATAATTCTCCAATCCAATCCTGCATTACTTTATTTTCAGATAGATTACTATCATTTTAGATTATATATTTTTTTCAGATTCACAATAAATACTAAAAAGATAAATAGATAGATAGATATCATCTTTAGCTAAGAACTAAATTAATTTAGAATATTTTTTGAGTCCACCTTTAATTAAGTCTTTTTTACATTATAAATATATAATTGTTCAAATAGATTACTTTTTTTTAATCAAATCTATGTATTTTGAGCAGGTCTGTTAGTAGGTATTTAAATAGGTGGGGAATCTTTGTTTACTTTACTATTAAAATATTATGTGATTACAAATATCCATTTTTATTATTAAAAAATATGGAAGAATCAAAGTTTAAAATATTTTTTATGTATGAAAAATAATTTTTGGTCTGATAGAAAATTCAAACATGTCATGAACTCAAAACAGACAAAAAATATTCTTATTGTGACTTAAAATTAGCTTTTTTTCTGAAATACTTATTGAATTAAGCGATTGAAAGTTCTTTCTTTTCTTATTTATTCTTTATTTATACATTTTTTTCATGATTCTGATAAAAATGCATTACATAGAAAAAATGAAATAGTAAAATTTTATAAAATTCATAAAGTTATTTTAAAAATAATTGCCCTTACTAAACATTTCTTTTTTTTTGCAAATTGAATGATAAATTTTTGAAAAAAATTTGATTTTAACCCAAATTTCACTACCAATCAACAGATATTGATTAAGAAAACATCACTCAAACACACTCACTTTCATTTAAAATCAATTTAACGATTAAAACAGAAAAAAAGAAATGTCAAATTCAGATAAACAATTAGAAGATCTTAAAAATTACATCAGTTTAGCGAGGTAAATTTGTTTTTTAATCATTTGAATAAAATTATTATATGTAGAATACCCATCAGCATATTAACTAATTCTATTATTAATTATTAGAGAAAGCGCATATTTCGGCAAGTATTCTGAAGCAATTAACACTTTTAAAAAGGGCTTAGAAGTTGCTGGCATGTAAATAGATTGCTTCAATATTGAAATTTAATATTACAAAACTTTCTTATGAAAATTAAGACTTGTTTGGTTAAAAAATATATCATTTTATCCAGAATAATTGATTTGCGATAAACAATATATATTTTTGTTTTTTTAAATAAAGGTTCAAGGTAAAGGCTGTAGAATAATATGCTTAGTAGGTATGGGAAAAATTTGTGCTAGACTTATAAGCAGAATTCGATATAATCTCTTAATTGCAAGCAGTTAACCACGGATTTAAAGTAAGCTTTATTCAATTTATGAGCATTAATAGAATCATTTTTTTGAATTAATTTATAAAGCCTCAACCACCTAATGGAGCAAACAAATAAGCTAATAATTAGAATGGTTAATAAGGATAATAATAAAATTAACTCGATCATGATAAAAAATATCCTTTTGGTATTAAACCTTTTTCTCACTTCGAAGATAACAAAATGAACAATAACAATAATAACAATAATAATAATAATAATAATAATAATCCTTTTAGATAGCAAGATAAGAATTTCTTACACAATTAACAATACTAAAACAATTTACCTGATCAAAATATGCACAATAACTAAAACTACAATAACTTTTAAGCACCTCATCAATACAATATGAATAGATAAGGTGGACCTGGAATGTAAGGAAATTATGGTTAAAACAATTATCAAAGTAATAACCCTAGCAACTATGGATATAATGACTTTTAGGATAATCCCTCATAAAATTTTAATAGCCCTAATATTGAATACAATTAAAGATAAAATAGAAACCCTGCCAATAATGATTAAGGTAATTAAGATCCTGACGTTTGGCCAGCTCCTCCTCCTAAAGTCAACAAAGCCAATAAAGCCCCTTAGAAGAATAAAACCCCTATTTACAATTTAAAAGAACTTCAGTAAAAGCAAAATGATAATAATAATAACAATAATGCTAAAAAAGATGATAAAGAAAAGGCTAAAAGAGATTACAATAAACCATGGTAAAGAAATGCTTAGACTCCTCAAGCAAAGAAAAAAGGTGATGAAGGAGAGAAAAAATAAAGCTTCTTAAATTTTTGTTATCCAAACGGATAAGGTCCTGATTCCGATTTGATAGCAATGCTTGAAAGAGATGTAGTAGATTAAAATCCTAATATCAGCTTTGACTAAATCGCAGAGCTTGATAAAGCTAAAGATATGCTTTAAGAGGCTGTTTTGCTTCCTATTCTGATCCCTTAATATTTTAGAGGTATTCGTAGACCTCTTAAAGGAGTTCTTATGTTTGGTCCTCCTGGTACTGGTAAAACCATGTTAGCAAAAGCTGTAGCAACAGTAAGTTTTTTTAAAAATTATATAAAAATATTTTTTAAAAATAAATCTCAAAGAAAAAACATAAATTTTACATAAGAAAGAAAGAATCATTTTAATATAAAAGTATAAATTTACTTTAAATATAAATAAAATGCCTAATTTTTAAATTAAGTTTCTGGAATAAAAAAATAGAACTTTTATTTTTAATTTGTCTTTAAACAAGCTCGCTCTAGAATTTTATTAATTTTGATTCTTGGCTCGTTCATTATCTAAAAATAAATTTACTAAATTTATTTTAGAAATTTTCTTTTATTTTACTTTTGAAAATATTTTTTGAACTAAAAAAAAAATATTTTTGTTTTTACAAATTTTAATTTCAAAATTATTTTTTTTCATTTAAAAAAAGACTGGTAAAACCACATTCTTTAATGTTTCTGCCAGTAGTTTGGCTTCAAAGTGGAGAGGTGATTCAGAGAAACTAGTCAGAGTAAATTTCTCTATAACAAACTTTAATAAATAGGATTAATTTATTAATTCATTATTTAATTAGATTCTTTTCGAGATGGCAAGGTACTATGCACCTAGTACTATATTTTTCGATGAGATAGATGCTATTGGTTCTAAAAGAGTAGATGGAGAGTGCGAAGCAAATAGAAAGTAAAAATTTAAATTTAAACTAATCTATATTTCTTAAACAAACAACTATGATAATAATTATATCTAAAATTAAGAATGAAAGCTGAAATGCTCATTTAAATTGATGGTGTAAGCAGCTCTTCAACAGATGAAAAAGATAGAAAATAAGTTATGGTCTTGGCAGCCACTAATAGACCTTGGGATTTAGATGAAGCTTTAAGAAGAAGACTCGAAAAAAGAATTTGTAATTCGAATAAAAAAGTGTAAATAAAAATAGTAATATATTTTTTAATCTATAAATAGTAATTCCTTTACCTTCCACTGAAGGCAGAAAGCAATTATTTGAGTTGAATATGAGAGGTATTAAATGCTCGGATGACATAGACTGGGTTGAATTAGTTGGTAAAACTGATGGTTATTCAGGTGCTGATATAGCAAGTGTAATTTATTTTTCATTTTTATTCTAAATTTAGCACAATTTCTTATGATTAAAATAGCTTTGCAGAGAAGCAGCTTTTATGCCTATGAGAAGAAAATTAATGAAAGAAGGTGGTTTTAAAAATATTGAAAACATAGAAAATCTTGCCTGTAAGATTTTTATATTTAAAAACTACATTAATATTGAAATTTTTTTTAAATAAAGAGGAAAGTGACATACCGTTAACATAAAAAGATTTCGAAGAAGCTTTAAGAAATGTAAATAAATCAGTAAGCAACGATGATCTAGAAAATTTTGAAAAATGGATGGCAGAATTTGGTTCTGTTTGATAGATAAATAGATAGATAGATAAATGTATGTATATGACTAAATTAATTCAAAATATAAAAATAATTAAAAAAAACCTTAATTAATTAAAAGCGATTTCAATAAAGTTTTACTCTATATTAATTTTTTATTCTAATAATGTTCAGAATCATAATTGCTATTAAATTTCTTATTTGCTGTATTCATTTTTAAATATCTTAATGTAAACCATAGTTTAAAACGAAACATTTTCTCCAAATAAATACGAATTTAATATTTAATCAAAAATTAATTTATTATAGTTTTACTAATTATATGTTTTTCTTAACAAAAATTTAATTCAAATAAAAAGGATATTTTAAATATCCTTTCTTGCTAATTAATTATTTTATCTAAAATATAGTAATATATATTTAACACATGTTTATAAATTTATTTTTATTAATATTTTGAAAAAAAATATACAGCAAATTTCAAAAATACACCCTAAATTTTAGAAATATAAAAGTTTTCAACCATTATTAAATAATTTTACTTAAATAACTATATGTAAAAATTATAAAAACCTTCAAATTTTATTTTAATATTTAAATAGCACTAACTTAAACCAATATATATTTTAAAATTACGAGAGAATTAATATAAAGAAATTAACAGTACAAAGATCAAATAGCTAATTTTTAAATGTTTACCAATAAAATTTTAAATAGCTAGATAATTTATTTTTTTATTCATAAGAATTATTTATCAGAACTAAACTACATTTTACATTTTTGTTTTAATAATTAAAAATGATGGGATTGAAGTTTCAAGAGAACATTAAAAGCCTTTCTAAATTCATTCATTTTTTATTAGTTTATTTTTATAAATATCAAAATCTTATTTTAATATCTATTTAAATATTATAGCAATTTTTTAAAATTACTAAAGAATATATATAAAGAAATTTACAGTATAAAGATCAAATAATTAATTTGTTAATGCATACCATCAAAAAATTGTATAATTGATTATATTATTCTTGTATTTGTAAGAATTACTAATGACAATTATATTTCTCATAGTTGTTTTAGTGGTTTAATACAGCTACTGAAGCCAAAAAACTACTTAAATATAGCTAGATAGCTTTTAAAAGTAAAAATGAATTATTAAAATTTTTAAAGTAAAAATTAGACGAAATTCAGTTAAAAAAATATATTGATTTCTATTTTTTTATAAATATTTCTTTTATAAGTAGTTTTTATTTCAGAATAATTATTTTTGTATTTAATATGTAATTAATTAATATTCGCTAAGTATCTTTGATTTAAATTAAATTGATCTATCTATCTATCTTATTTATAATAAATTAATTACAATAAAAAGTTAATTAATAGTTTTAATAAATAAACTCTTTAAAAAAATGTTTTAAGAAAATTAAAACAAAAATTTTAAGGATTTACTAGAATTCCAAAATCAAAATCTTAAGGAATTCGAAAGAGATGTAGGTAATTAAAAAGAAACGTTTGAATAAAAACACCAAGATTCAGATAGTGACTACCTAAATCTTGAAGAAAATCAAAACTAGTTTATTGATGATAATACAGTTTAGTCTGTTTTAAAAATCTTAAATAAACTAAATTAAACTTAACAGTCTTAGATGAGTTGTAAAAAAAGTACTGATTTGCGAATCAATTTTAAAGAAAGATTTTACAGTCAATTATTAAGACTTCATTTAGAAAAGATTGATATTCCTTCATTAATAAACCTATCTTAAAGCTTAGGCCAATTTAAAAATATTTAAGATTTGTATCTGTTTATTAATTTAGATATGAATTCTTAACTTGAAATTGACTTATTAGATTCAATTAATAAACTATAAAAACTCTAAGTTTTAAATTTATATTTAAAAAAGAATTATTGCATTAATACTGACTAAGAAATTCCTTTATTAGGAATTTTTTGTGAAGAATTTTATTATCCACTAAGACCTACATACAATTAATTTTTTGAAGGATCTTTAAAAGATTAGAATGCAAGTAAAGTTTTAAGCACATTAGAAAATTTAAATTTTCTTAAAAATACTGAATTTATATTTGTAATATTTTAAATTTCTGAAGATTTCCTCAATAGTCTATGCTTTTTTACTTTTAGAGCAAAATTTAACTATTAAATAACTATATAGTCAGAATATAGATTTTAAGGTGATTGGTAGAATGAAAATTATAAAAACCTTAATTCAATAAGTTTATAATTTTTGAAATAAATTGCAATTATTGTAAAACATTACAAAAAAGTTAAAGCAGTAAAAACTAACCTCAAAATTGAATTTTTAAACAATTATGATATGAATGTGGATGCAAAATTAAATGATTAGTTTAGGATTAACAAATTTGAAAATTAGTTAGACTTAAATTTACTCATGAGAATATGCCCAAGTTAAAATTATTTTTATAACCAATTTGAGGACACATTTATTTAAATAGGAAGTATTTCTTCAATTGAAATTAAAATAAGCAAACTGAATTATCAAAACACTTTTTTACATTTCTTTTAGTTTGCTAAAAGCATTTAGACTATTGAAATGTTATATATAAAATTCGAAAATTATGAAAGTTAATTAACATATTCACAAATAAAATAATTTGCTGAAGGTTTATTGAACTTAAAAAGAATTCTTTGTATTAAATTTGAAATTGAATAAAAAAGCTAATCTAAATATGATTAATTTATTAAGATAAAAAAATAGTTGTAAAAAATACCCAGATTATTAGAAATTAACTTTATTAATAATAGATATTCTGATATTTCTTTTGATGATTGGTGATCTTATTAGTTGAATTTTGTAATATGCTATAAGCATGATTGAAGAAGAAAAGATTATTTATGATGTTAAATAAATAAAATATTTAATAATTTAAAAGACAAAATTTGTTTTTTTAAAGTTTTATTTTAGTGCTTAAGTAAAATTAATTAAGAAAATATTTATCTAATAAAAAATAAATGAAGATTATTAAAAGTATTAATTTAAATTTGTGAAAGAAATATATTTATAGGTTAACACATAACTAGTAATACACATACTTAAAAAATATAAAATACTATTATTATGTTATTAACATATTATGTAACTTAGATAAAATTTCAATAATTATCTAAGCTATAAAATAAATATCCAAATACCAAAAATCAATTCTACCTAGCATATTGAGAGTGGTTAAAATAAGGGTGATTAATGAGAGATTTAGGTGTATTTAAAGAATATTAATTATACAGTAAAATAGAAGAATAATTATACAGAAATAAAAAGTAACTTTACAAGCAATAGATTTTTTAAATATAGCAAATTAAAAACAAGCAAATCAAAGAATTTTATAGTTTCATAATTTTAATTTATAATAATTTAGATATGCTTGAAAATAAATTAAAAGCTCTTAATTTGAAAATTAATATGAATTATCTAATAGTAAATTTTTACATTTTTTATAAATATATTATAAAAACGTTCATATCTTATTTTAATATTTAAATAGCACTAACTTAAGTCAATATATATTTTAAAATTACGAAAGAATTAATATTAAGAAATTAAAAGTACAAAGATCAAATAGCTAATTTTTAAATGTTTGTTTACCAATAAAAGTTTAAATAGTTAGTTAGATAATTAAATTCTTTTTTTATTCATAAGAATTATTTATCGGAACTAAACTATATTTCACATTCTTACTTTAATAATTTAAAATGATGGGGTGGCAGTTTCTAGAGATAGTTAAAAACCTATCTAAATTCATTCATTTTTATTAGTATATATTTATAGACATCAAAATCTTATTTTAATATTTATTTAAATAGTATAGCAATTTTTTAAAATTACTAAAGAATATATATAAAGAAATTAACAGTATAAAGATCAAATAATTAATTTATTAATGCATACCATCAAAGAATTGTATAATTGATTATATTATTTTTGTATTTGTAAGAATTATTTATGAAAATTATATTTCTCATAGTTGTTTTAGTGGTTTAATTCAGCTATTAAAGGTAAACAACTACTTAAATATAGCTAGATAGCTTTTAAAAGTATAAATGAATTACTAAAATTTTTCAAGTAAAAATTAGATGAAATTCAATTAAAAAAAAATATTTGATTTTTATTTTTTTATAAATATTTTTTTTTTTAGGTATAGTTAGTTTTTATTTCTGAATAATTATTTTTGTAATAAATATTCTTTAAATATCTTTGATTTAAATTAAATTAATCTATCTATAGATCTTATTTTATAATCAAATTAATTACAATAAAAAATTAATTAATAGTATCTTTTAAACTCTAAAAAAAAATGTAATAAGAAAATGTTAAGGATTAATTAGAATGCCAAACTCTAAAGGAATTCGAAAGAGATATAGGCTATTAAAAAGAAATATCTGAAGAAAAACATCAAAATTCAAATAGTGACTACCTAAATCTTGAAGAAAATCAAAACTATTTTATTGATGATAATACAGTTTAGTCTGTTTTAAAAATCTTAAATAAACTAAATAAAACTCAACCATCATAGATGAGTTGTAAAAAGAGTACTGATTTGCAAATCAATATTAAAGAAAGATTTTACAGTCAATTTTTAAAACTTCGTTTAGAGAATATTTAAATTCCTTCATTAATAAATATTTGTTAAAGCTTAGGTTAATTTAAAAATATTTAAGATATGTATCTGTTTATTGATTTAGAAATTAACTCTTAACTTGAAATTGACTTGTTAGATTCAATTAATAAACTAGAAAAACTCTAAGTTTTAAATTTATATTTAAAAAAGAATTACTACATTAATACTAATTAAAAATTTCTACTGCAAGATATTTGTAAAGTATTTTATTGTTCATTTTCTAATTATTATTAATTTTTTGAAAGATCTCTAAAAGATTAGAATGCAAGTAAAGTTTTAAGCACATTAGAAAATTTAAATTTTCTTTAAAATCCTAAACTTGTATTTGTAATATTTTAAATTTCTGAAGATTTCCTTAATAGTCTATGCTTTTTTACTTTGAAAGCAAAATTTAACTATTAGATAACAATATAGTCAGAATATAGATTTTAAAGAGATTGGGAGAATGAAAATTATAAAAACCTTAATTCAATAAGTTTGTAATTTTTGAAATAAATTAAAATTATTGTAAAACATTACAAAAAAGTTAAAGTAGTAAAAACAAACCTCAAAATTTAATTTTTAGAAAATTATGATGTAAATGTGGATACAAAATTATATGATTAATTTAGTATTAACAAATTTGAAAATTAGTTAGACTTAAATTTACTCATGAGGATATGCCCAAACAGTGATTTAAATTATTTTTATAGCCAATTTGAGGATACATTTATTTAAATAGGAAGTATTTCTTCAATTGAAATTTATATCAACAAATGGAATTATCAATATATAATAGAGAAGGGGAATTATAGCTCAACTCACCTATACTACCCATAAGATATCAAAATTTAACATAATAAAATTCCAATTTTTGTTAGTAAAAAAATATAAAATAATGGAAAAATTGGTTGATATTTTATTCTATGGATTTTAAAATTAATTTTATTTATTATAAAATTAATTAAAATCTTCATACTTTTAAAATATTTGAATTTAAATATTCTTATAAAAGCATTTTTATTATCTAAAGTTATAAAAAGTCCAAATTAATAAACAAAATTACTCATATATGTAATTTTATTAGGAAATGTTAATTTAAACTAAAGCTTCTTATCAAAAATAACACAAAAAAGCTTAATAATAAGCTAACATTGGATAAAAAAATAAATGAAAAAGTACTACTACTACAATAAGATTTTACAAATTAAAATTTATCAAATTAGAATTCCTTAATTGCTTTTGTGTTACTCAAACTGAATTAATAAATTATTTAATGATGAAACTGGATATAATTAAAAAAATTTTTATTTTTTACAGAATATAATTTTATTAATAACTTAAATTTATAGCAATGATTAAATTGCCTCTTTATATAGGAATTTATATAATATTTATAGTAAGTATCAGTGTTTTTATGAAAGTAAAGATTTTATTTCTTCATCTCCAGCAACATCTATAGGTGTTTAGTCTCTCTTTTATTTATGATAATAAAATAAATATTTAATGTGATAATCATTTATTTATATTTTACTGTATTTTTTAAATTCGGGCTCGAACCTTGCAGTAAGAGATACTTTACTAAGTCTTTATTCTTTTTATAAGCTGCATAATGCAATATTGTATCTCCCATCTTTAATATTTATAAAAAAACAAAAAATATATATTTAATAAACTAGTTGTGACATAAAATGCATCAACCTTGTTTATAGGATCATTTATATTAAAGTTTTCTTCCTTAGTCTTTTGTTCAATTAACGCTTTTATCTTTTTTGTGTCTTCCAAATGCAACAAAACCACTAAATTATTGGCAGGTAAGTTCTAATTATAAAATATTTAAAAGTAATTTTATTAAGATAAATAATAAATTATTTATTTATTACAGAACCAGATGCACCCATAACTATAAATACTATCTTGCTTTTATACTTTTGTACACTAAATTATAATTTATATATTTAAAACTATGCTTTCTTTCTTTCTAAGGTAATACTTCTTTCTTTTTTGGTTTGTTTAATATAAGATAATAGGCAATCAAATAAAGATTAATATAACAATTTTTTAAAATTAAAAAATTTTAAGATTAATTAATCAAAAATGATGAATTGAATTTCTAATAAGGATATATTTATTTGCTTTAATATGTTAGTTTTTCTTTCTTTCTTTTAAATAATTATTTTGTTTTATCTTATCAAAGTTGATTTATTCTCAACTATTGCTTGGATTAACTTTATATTAAGGATTATAGGTTTAACAATTAGCTGGACTTCCATATGTAAATAAGTTAAGTAATTTGATGAAGTACATAGTGGCTAGCATGCTAAGAAATCTGAGCTTATTTATAGCTTAGTTAGTTAATTAGTTTTTAATTGATTCCTATTATTCTTTTAACAAATATAAAAGAATCAAAATGAATTCTACATTAAAAAAATAATTATTTTAATAAAAATCGATCGATTTAAGCAGAAAGATGCAAAATGAAAAATAAAAAATAAACAGTAAAATAATAGTTAAAATGAGTAGATGTATATTTTAATAAAAATATAAATAATGTTTTTAGTTACTATAACAGTAAATAAGAAAGCAAATAAGCAAGCAAGCATATCAATCAATAAATAACTAAATGTTTTAGCAAAGAAATATATAACTTTAATACATATAAAAAAACATACAAAGGTATTAAAAATTAAATCAATAAATCTGAGATATTAATCAATCAATCAATTAATTAATTAATTAAAATATACTCTATTAAAATAATTTGTGTATTTATTAATTTATTTAGCTTATCTATAATTTTTATAACTATTTGAGTAAAAATACCTCATTTATAAATGAATAACTCTGACCTTAGGACTACCATTAAGAACTAGGAAATATTAAATGCACTAAAACTTGATTCAGCTAATTTAAAAAAAATGACAGCCCATAATTTTATTGTAGGTAATTAATCAATTAGCAATTCAATATTACATTAAAATTGGCGGAGTAAAAGGATAGATAGCAAATAATTAAACATAAGAAGAAGTTTGACTTGTTAGCCTTCATATTAATAGAATTAACTCCTTTTTATATCATTCAAAATTGGAATATGCATTGAATAACTACTAACATTTTTTTTAATTAGATTCTGAATCAGGACCTTATAAAACAATTCAAGAAGCAATAGATGCAGCTGAACCAGGTAGCACGATTAAAATTGCTCCTGGCCTCTATAATGATAATATTTATATAAAGTAATTGAAAGAATACTTTATTTAGCAAAGTTAAAAGGGGATAATAAAATGTTTATTTGTTATAAAAAAGCAAACCTGATCTTACCCTAGAACCTAAAGAAAAGGTTGGTGATATCATTTTAGTTGTTTAAAATAAACCCGCTATTAGGGTAAATTTATAGCCTGGACAGTCTTGCAAGATATCATCAATGAAATTAAGTCATAGTGGCACAAACGAAAATATGTAATAAATTTATTACTCGCATTAATTTTAAAATAATAGAAAGGCTTTATGAAGTAAAGACCTAAAATAAAATGGAAAATATTTAATTGCAACTTTGTTTAAAAATTAATTAGAGAAGAAATAGAAAAGTTGATGTAAGAAAAAGAGTTTACATTAAATTTGTTTGGAGGTGGTAAGGTGTTAGATGGCATCTCACAGTATAGTGAATGTGAACCTGATTTAGAACTAGTAAATAAATTTCCCATAGAACCCGATATGAATTGTATTCTATATGTAGAAGGAGGAGAGTTAGTCATGGAAAAATGCTTGTTATCACTCAAGTACATAAAAAGATAATAAATACATTAGAATAATCTAACATAATATAATTCATTTAAAAAAATAGCTTTATTATAAGTAATAATCGTAATATACTTCCTGCAGTTATTGTAACAGAAAATGGCAAAATAGACTTTTCCCAAGTAGAAATAAAGGGTAATATAAATCATGAGACAATAGGTAAATAAATAGGATTAAAAATAGATATGAAGCTAGAATAATTAATAATTAAAATATAATTATAAAATAGGTGTTATTTTAAGAAAAGGTAATGCAAAAATAGATAAATCTAAAATATATGGGCATTTGTTTGGTGGAATAGCTATATGGAGTAATAAAAATAATGTAATCAAAATAACAAATAGTAAAATATATAAAAACTCAAAAATGGGCATTCATTGTGTTGGAGAAGTAAAACACTTTATTTATTTATCTATCTATCTATTTTTATAATATTTTAAGACATAAATATTGAAATTGAAATTTTTATTTTATTTAGGATGGAGAAGTTTTAATAGAAGGAAATAAAATAGAAAATAATAACGGATCAGGCGTTAAAATTGGAATAGCCAATAAGTGTTAAATCATAAAGAATGAAATCAAATAAAATTAAATAGGAGTTGAAGTCATTTCTGGAGAGCCCTTTATATTCTCAAACAAAATAGATAAAAATTACACAGATGGCATTCTTACTAACACTTTCCATAATATAAGGTTAGCTATTAATTAATCTATCTACCTCAAATCCAAAATTATTTATTTATTTATTAAAAAAATAAAACTTATTCAAAATTTATTTTTCAATAAAAATATCTTTTGAAATAATTTTAATTAGCTTCAAGAATAAAGAATGAGTTTTTATATTGAATAAAATTGTTTTTAAATTCTAATTTTAAATAAATTTTAATAAAATATTTCGATTTAAAAATTTTATTAATAAATAATTATTTTCATAATAGATGTGATGCAATAATAAAAAATAATTTAAGTATTTGCAGGAATAGTGATAATGGCATTCATTGCAAAGGACTTAATAATTATACAAAAATAGAACTGAACTCTTTTATTGCTTATAATAAAAAAGCTGGCATTAAAATAGATGAAGAGGCTACAGTTTCAATTTTTAAAAATAAGGTCTAAAAAAATTTTACTTAAGTAAAAATAATTAGTTTTATAAAATAAGTATTCAAAAGTAAATAATTACTTAGGGAATTTTATTAGTAGAATCAAGTAGTGCAGTCATAGAATAAAATGAAATAAAGGAAAATATAAAAGCAAATATTGCCATGGGAGGTATTAATGCAATCAACACTTGCATCTTGAAAAATATTATTTCTGGAGGAAGATGTGAAGGGATTTTTATTATAGAGAGTGGTAATTGCTGGATAAAAGAAAATAATATATCAGACAATAATGATGGAATTGTTTGCATAACCTCATTGCCCGAAATATCTTTTAACGATATTTCTAAAAATAAAAGCAATGGTATTCTTTCAATTCAATTATTTTATCAAATTATAGATCTTATAATTTCTTGATTAAAAGGTATAATGGTAATGAAAGATAGTAGGCCTAATATAGTTTCTAATATAATAACTGATAATGATGGTATAGGATTATTTATTAGAGATAAAAGCTGGGGTAAAATAAAAGATAACACAGTAAAATAAATTTTGTACCAAAATATAAATTTAAAAACTTATTTATTAATTTAAACAGATTAAAAGTAATGAAATAGAGCTTGTTTTAGAAAGGAAAAATGAATTTTAATAAAGTATCTTATCAGATAACTCTGTAACAGGAGATATACGTTTACCGTAAGGTGTTTCTTGCAATATTTTTTGATTAATTAAAAATTTATTAGTTGATAAATAATATCATTAAATACCTAGTTTATTCATACAATATATTTTTAATTTTAATAAATGTTAATAAATTTGTAATAAAAAAAATACTAAATAAGCTTTTATTTAAAATTATTCTCTTTTGCATCAAACTAAAATTTTATTTATTATTTTCGACTAATGAATAATTCATTATCTTTCAAATAAGAAAGATTTTTTTATATAAGAAAGATTTTAAATGACATACAACTCCAAAAAGATAAAATAAATCTTTATTAACCTAAATAAATTTGTTTTTATTTAATAGAAACAAAACAAATCTCCTAATCATGAATAAATTATCATCAATCTTGTAAAAATTGAAAAAAAACATATATTTATTTTAAATTAGTAAAATAAATTATTAAATATTGCAAAAATTTATTTAAAAAACTTACTTTTGAAACTGAACAATAAAATAAAATCAAATACAACATATTTTTATTATACATTTTAATCTTAAAATTTCTTTGGAATCTATTTTAATATGATCTTATTTATGTATTGATTAGTAAAATTTCAAAAAATATTTAATAATATCAATATTTATATCTAAAAATATATATATGTGTGTGTATTTTTAAAAAAATAAATAAAATTTAATTACACACTTTTATATCGTGTTGAATATTCTTATTGATATTTGCTTTTTTGAGTCTAATATTTTAAAATAATTTTTGATAACTAGTTAATCAGAATAGTTAAAGAGATAATAGCTTAGTTTGATAATGGAGTATAATTCTCAAGTTTTTTCACAATTATACCTTTAATAAAATTTATTCCATCTCAATTTAAATATTTAGTTAAATTTATATATTCATTCTTTTTCTAACTTCAAAAAGGCAGCTAATAATATAATGGCCAAGATATTGACCCACTTACAGATTCTAGATGTAATGATATTGCTTAAAAGAAACAGGAAGAACAAAATAGATTGGACAAGTTTAAAAAAAGATAATAAATTTACTAGTTAGACTTAAGAAAATGTTTGAATAATTCTAAAAAAAGAAGTATTTTTATTTGATTAATTAAGGAAATTTAATCCTTTGTTTAGATAATTTAGAGCTTATTTAAAATTTTTAGATGATAAGATAAAGCATGGGTTGTATAGGAATGTGTTGGCAAATTAAAAAATAAGGCATGAGTAAAATAATTACTTTGGAAAGAAAATAGGCATAGCTTAATCGAGAAAAAATGAAAGAAATAAAAGGCAACGGAGTTAAAAAAGAACTTGATATTTTATGCAGTAACATCTACAAAAAATTCTTAAAGATATAATATATGAGTTGATACAAATAGTAACTATAAAAACAAGTAGCTTTTATTAGAATTGTAATTAAAGTATTAAAATTTATTGAATATTTAATTTTTTCATTTACAAGCAATATATATTTCTGTTTCTGGTAAACTCAGAAAATACAAAGAAAGTCCTTCCTCATATTAGACTATGTTTATTTACTTTATGAAAATTAAACAGCTATGAGTTCCTCATATATCACTTTATTCTCTGTAAATGAAAATATAAGTATGTATTCAAGAAGAATAAGTTGTTTCTAAAATCACATTGACATAAAGTGAAATTAAATAAAATACCTATAAATAAAAAATTTATTAGTATAAATTAGAAATTAAGCAATAAATAATTCTGCATTTATTTTTAAATAAAATAAAATTAAGTAAATATGTTGATATTTTAATATTAAAATCTTAATTTAGCTTTAATAAATCATTTATTTTAGCAAATTTCTTCATTAGTTTCATTAAAAATATAATTTTTACTTAATTTTTTTTAAGTAGAGATTTATTTTTGAGATAATTAATTCCTCTGTTTAGAAATTATCATAATAATTAATTTAATATAGCTAGTTTAATTTAAAAATATTTTTTTTTTTCATTTAAGATTTTTCTTTTTGTATTTAAATGCATTTCTTATAAAATTTTTAGCGATTTAAAAGTTTCTACTTCAATTCTAAAAATAAGTAAAAAACATAAATTCATAAAAAAAGGTTTATTTCATCTAAAATAAATATATTTTGAGTAATATATTTCTGTCATATTATTATTTGTAAATTTAAGAATATCTTTTTACTTATTTCAATTCATGAGGTAACAAACTATCATAGTAGTTATATCTTTTAAAAATCCTAAAGCTTAAAAAAACAATTCATTAATTCTAATTATGTATTAGCTAATAAATCGATTCATCATTTTATGATTATTAAGCACAATATACCTACTATAGCTTCTTATTTACTAATTTAAAATTCAAGTATAGAATTTTGCCCAGATTTACATGATATTTTGGTAAATATATTTATAAAATTCTACGCTTTTTGATCATATTTTATAAGTTTTATGTTGAATTAATAAAGTTTATTTCAATTGAAAATTAAATAAATTAAGGTCACTTTAGAAAAGAATAAAATAATAAAAAAAATATTATTAACTAATTTGTAAGGATAAATAGATATAACATTTATTTAGCATAATGTTTTTTGTAGTTTTATTTGATCAGTTTAATGAAATAAATAAAAATTATTTTCCTTCTTCGTTAAAAAAAAAATTTTTTTGGATAAAGTGAATTTAAAATTATAAGAAACACATTTATAAATAATAATAATAATAATTTATATCAAAGTATTTTATTTGTGTGATGGATGTATGTATTAACAAGTTTTGAATAATTTTATTTTCTTTTCATGGTATATCTTAGTAAATTAAAATAACATTAAAATATGAGAAGAAGAATGAATTCTAAGTATCCAAAGTGTTAAAATTATAATTTTAAAATGAAAGCATGACAAGCAAATATCCTATTAATTTAAAAATCTTATTAAATAGCCATGAAAGTATATTGAATTAAAAATAATACAAAAAAAGTGAAAGAAAATAATAATTATCTCTGATAGAGAAGAAAGAAAATCATCTTAGTGTTTATTCAGAAAATATGAAAAGATAAATCAAGTCTAAATATTCTAATTCATCCTCATTCATTAATTACCTATTCTCATGGAATTTTGTAAAGTGATTTAGTTAAGGAGGAAAAAAAAAGCTTATAAATAATAGAAAAGTGTTTTATTTATATAATAAATAATTAGATAAACACCTCATATTAATTTGATTAAAAATAATAAAAGGAAAACAAAAAGAAATTTAAAAAATAAAGCAAGCCACCCTTGTTCATACATACCCTCTTAAATTATGGGTACTTTTCTTATCATGAATTTATTTTAGTATTTTTATTTATTTACCAAATAATTGTAGAATACTCAGACTACGATAGCCAAGTTGCCCTAAATAATGCTTCCTAATTCAATTAAAAGATAGAGGAATAGCATAAGAAACAATGTGAAATATAGCTTAATGCTTAGAAAAAAGAAGTAGAAGATAAAATAAGCAAAGTGTTATCTGAACTTGGAAATATGTCTAAAAACTCAAAAGAAGCTTTAGGTTTATTTTAGCAACTTTCCCAATTATCTCCTTTGTTAACAGAAATTGGTGCTTAAGTAAAATGCGTTGGTGATGAATTATTTTATAAACTATATATGCAATACAGAAATGTTTTTAAAGAGTTCTAAGAAAATGTCAATGAATGCAATGTTATTAGTTAGCAAAGTCTTTAAGGACACTCAGACCCTTAAAAAATGAAGCAAATCAGGGAGAGTATTATAAAGATAGCTAATAAGCTTTCAAATATTAACAAAAACGTATATTAATAATCTCAGAGATATGTTATTTGGGTAGATTTTAATGATAGCAAAGATAATAAGTAAACTTTAATTCATATCCAAAAATTATATGAAACTTCGTTAGTTGTTAAGTTTTATACAGATGTTAATAAATTTAAGTAAGATTACTCTAGCTATAAGGGATAGCCCATCTTCCTTATTTTAAGTGGATAAGTTGCAAATGATTATGCTTCTTCTGATGGTAGATTATTCAGTTGGATTAAAAATGAGTGGTTGCAGAAAAAAGAAGATAACAGAATCAGAGGTATTATTATCTACACAAGCGATTAAGGTGTAAAGTTCTTGAAAAATAAGTTTGAATCAGATGAATCTAAATTAGTTAAAAGAGTCACAGCAAATACAAATGAAATGCTTGAAGTTTTAAGCGGATTAATAACTCCAAGTAAATTCTGTCGTGTTATAGGAATAGAAGAGTTTTCAGCCCTCTTTCAAAATAATCTGAAAAACAAACTTACGAGAATGCACATAACTCCACCAACAAATCCTCTTTCTTATTATAGTCCATAAAATTTTGACTATTCAAAAATGTTTAATGAAGCATACAATACGATCAAAAAATATAAAATTAATTTCTAACCTGATGCTATGAAATTTGATGAGGTTTTAGATGAAATTAAAAAAATATATAGTAAATATCCAAACAATGAACAGAAAATTGCTTAATAAATGATTTATCTATACTCCTTAGAAAAGATTCCTTTTTATAAACTTATAAATACTACTTTAAATACTTTAAATGAAGCCCTTATACTTGTAATGATGCCTCTAATTGAGCTATTTTAAACAGCGATCTTTAAATTCGATGATAGTTCTTTTCCAGAATCAATTTAAAAAGGATAACCTAAAAAAATGTATAGAGGCTCTTCAATTCCTGATGAAAATTATGATTAATTAATTAAACCTAACGAATTAATATGCTTACCTTCTTTCTCTTCATTTACAGAAGATATTGAAATTGCCAAGAGATTTTTAAAATTGAATAATTTTAGTGGCACTAAAGAGTGCATATTTGTGTATGAACATAAAATGGGTAGTGCTTAGTTTGATATTAGACCTAAATATGTAAGTCCAGAATCATTTTTTAAATAAGAGAAGGAATATATAACATATCCTTGTGTAGCATACAAAATATAATCTATCTAATAAAAAGAAACCTATCCTGGATCTATGGAGAAAGGAGAATTCTATAATGAAATCACTCTTATCTTAAATTGACATTAACAACATTAACTAAAAAATTATCTTTAAGTTAAAAAGCATTAGTATATATAAATTATGCATATATTTAAAGTTTATATAAACTTTCTATTTCATTTCTTTTTTTATTGATAAACTCAAACAATTTAAGCTTAATTAATTAATTAATTAATTAATATTTTTTTCATAAATTCATTTCCTCCCTCATATTCAAAAATTAGGCTTTCTTCAAACTTCTTTGAAAAGTATTTAAAGCCTTTTAAGGATTTTTTTGTTTAAAATTTGAAACAAAAAAGAAAAATCTATCTGAATTACATAATATATTTTTAAATTTTTTTTGCATTATAAATACTTAAATGACTTGATTGTATTTTATTTTATTTTACCAATTATTTTTTTTGAACAATTTTTCGTCATTCATAGATTTGAAAATTATTTAAAATTTACATAAAATTTAACCAATAAGTAAGTATGGTTAAGCAAGATAAATGTAGAGATAATAAGAATATTAAAAATTTAACTCTAAAAATAGATTCAACTTTAAAAAAAATATTTGGAATTGTTAAATAAAGATGAGTTAAATATTTATTTATTTATTATGAAATTTTTTTATTTTTTTGCAATTTATTTTATTACTTGTTTCTTTGTTTAAACAATTTAATTCATTTTTTAGATGGATATAAAAAAATATCAAATATTTGGCTAATAATAAAATAATTGTTTATTTAAAAAGGGAATTGCTTAAATTAAATTTTTATGAATTGTTTAAATTTAAAACTTACTTTACAAATAAATTTGAAATTGTAAAATATTCAAAAAAACTTAATTTTAATTAATAGAGAATTGTTTAATATTTTAATTAAAATATCGTTTATAAATTTCACAATGATTAAAGCATCAAAAGTATTTTAAAATATATAATTAAATACATATTTATAAGGCGAATATTAAATTACAAAAGTTATATTTATTTTATTTTATCATTCAAAATATGTTTTAAATTTATTTAAAAACTAGTCATAACATCCAACTAATTAACTCACTGCTCAAGCAAATCTATTTTGATGAGGAACCATGTTTGTATTATCATAATAATTATATCCAGGCTACTACTATGGCTATGCTCCAAACATGTTATTTTAAAAAGGTACTTAGTTTGGATATTGATATCCTGTGAGAGCATTGATTTATTACTATTACTACTAATAAGCTTAATGAGGAGAATAATTTTAATTTACTTGTGAATATGGAGGAATAGCTCCAACTACATTAACTGTTTATTATATTAAACTTATTAAAAAAAATAAATTTTAAATAATTTACATGGCTGAGTATTTACTCCTCCTAACATTGGATTAGCTACTTGAGGTAAATGATCATGCTAAGGTTATTGATATTAATTTACAGCTCCATATTAATTTCCTTGAGGAATTCCTAACAATTAGGTAGGTATAAATCCTGTATTTTAGGAATACATTTAAGGATTTTGTTAAACATATCCAGAAGTGTTGTTGCTATTTTAAGCTGGCTAATAAAATTGCGATTAAGGGAAGACAGATTTTAAATACTATTTATTTTCTGGATTTTCATAAATCATCTATTATTTTAACTATTATGCTTTTCCAGCATCCCTTTCTAATTTTAATAAAAGATACATTTAAAAAAAATCAATTTTATTTTTTATTTACATTTCAATTCTTAAAAGAAGGATTTAATTGCTTTTTCTTTTGTTATAGGATTGCAGCGATCGTAATCGTTTGCGAAATTATATTGCTATTTCTAATAATCTCCAGTGCGTTAAGTATCATCCAGTTCTTCTATTTTAAATATCATCTTGTTTAATTTCGAAGATGGAATTATAAAATTTAAAGCGCTTATTCCAATCGCTACTAGTTGTAAAATGAGTGACTGTTGATCATTAATTTCTAGTTTTCTCATCCATACTAAATTACCTATTGCTATACTCAGCGGAAAGTATTCAGCAAATTCTAATTTTTTATATAAAAAAAAATTTATTTTAATTAAATTTCATACTAAATTAATTAATTACCAATCATATCCTTATTTAAATCGCTTCCTAGTGAATTTGGTCTTGCACAACGATTGATTAAAACATACTATAAAAATAGAATAATTTTCAATTTATGAAATAAACAAATTTATTCTAACCTTATCTGTTAAGTAACTAAAAAATAATGTGATCATTCCCAACATAGGTAAATAAGGTGATAAAGGAGTATAAAAACCTATAATTAATAAGGTTTTTATAGCTGCAGCATATTTAATATACATCTCTACAGGACCGCCCTCAAATTGCTAGTGAGCTTCCCCTTGACTATAGTATCCATTTTTATCATTTCTAATCTATCTTCTCTTGCAAAGACGCAAGAAGTAATATGGATTAAATATATTTAAGAGTGGAGGCACAACACAATTTGATAAAGCAATAAGAGTAAAATCGTTTGTAATACCACCTTTATATAAAAAAAAATATTTAATAGGATAAGCTAATTATTTATTATTAATTTATTACTGCTTCCCCAAAATGAGTCAACATCTATGGTGAAGTTAACAACTAAAGTAATCAAAGCTGAATTACAAAATTGACCCTATTTAGACATTTATAATTTTTAAAAAGTGAATTTGATAGCAAAAGTAGCTTACAATAATTAGCTTTTCTGAAACACTGATATTTGTATCTGTTACTGTAGGTTATAGTTCAATGCTATTTATTATAATTAATTAATTTTAATTAATATTTGTTTAAATTTAACAAATATATTACAAAGACAATAACTTTAAGATGATAACCAACATTGAGTTAATGATAACAATTGCTAAAGATGAAAATAGTGAGAGTAAAATGAGCTGAGCTTTAACGAAAGTATCATTAGTATTTCTTTTATTGTCTTAGTTGACATTATACTAAATAAATTTGTTTAATTTTATAAAATTAATTGAAATATCGATTAATTTTTTTCTTAAAATAAATAAATTTACTTGCCATTTATTTATCAAGTATATCAATACAAAGCAGAAACATAGAATTATTAAAGTACAAATCCACGTGAAAAGTCTTCTGCTGAACTATTAAAAGCTTGAAGCACTGCAATTCTCCCAGTTTATATCAGTTGGTTCAGGTGCTCTATGAACATTGATTATATATGTTTTACCTTCACGAGAAACATTAAAAATTTCATAAATTTCACTTCCAAAGCACACTTTAACTCTAAGCCAAAATCTTTGTAAAAAAGAAATATGTTGACTTTCAGTAACATAATCCATCACTAATTTTATAAAAAAACAATATTTAAATAAAATTATAATTGTTATGAATTTAAAATCCTTGTTAAAAAATTCTTTAAAAAAGCACTTAATATACTGTAAATGATTGCTAATGATCCCTTGTTTTTTAGGTCCTTTTTTGAGGACCATTAAAAAAATAATTTTATTTATGTGTGTTCAATTTAGGGGAGTAGTGGGTGAAAATATAAGGATATTTACAATAATAGAAATTTAAATTCATCTTGATAAAAAGATTGAAATTATTGATGAAAATTAAACTTAAGTAAATTTGCAATTCTTTCAGTTAAATTTTTAATTAAAAGAAATAATTGCCTTTTCTGTTATTGAAAGTGATAAAAGCGTGTGGAGTAGTTTTATTGTAATTTCCATCAAAAACTTCTTTTTCTAAAGCAGAAATTTAATCTTCAATTTCTCTCCTTTTAGCCTTTAGCTCCTCAGTAGCTGGTTATTCTTATTTTTATTAAAATTAATAAATACTAAAGAAAAAGTAAATTTGATAATTAGATTTTACTTGGGGGATATTTTTTATTAATTTTATAATAATATTCATTTTTTCTTATTTATAGATTAATTTTGTTTTTCTCGCTACTCTTTTGTAAATAATCTTTAACATCATAAGCTATGCTGACTTTTTCAATTACAAACTGACCTATAGAATCTTTAGTTTGCTAAGACTAGTTATCCCACCAATCATTTAAAAGTTTTCTAATGTCAGGCTCTTGGAAATTTGGAGGTAACCCAGATAATTAAACAGTGAAATCACTAGGACTGATTAAATCAAAGTCTAAGTAATCTTCAACTGCTCTCATTTATCTTCTGTACAAATGTAATGCTATCACAAGCACTACTACTGAAACCAAGTTAACCCAGTTTTAATGTCTAACTGCATCCTTATCGTCCATCTATTTTTTTAATTCAAAAAGAAATAAATGAATGAATGAAAACTAAAATTTATTGAGCTTCTTAACAATAAATCTTAAAAATTAAATTCGAGAAAATCTTATTTTCCAATTTCTAACTTCTACAACTTATAAGATAAAAAATATTGTTTTTGTTTTCTTAATTATTTGTCAATCTATTTTTCTACGTTTATTATTTTTTAATTCAAATTTCCTTATTAAGCAATCCTCATAAAAACTTGATTATTCGCTTAAACAAATTTTTATGATCATTTGTAGAAAGAAAGCAGTAGAAATCAATAAATCAATTAAACAATTAATCATTTTTCATGAATATGAAGATGAAAAAACTATTTATTTAACTCAAATTAATTTTAATAAAAAAATAATTCTATCAAATTTATACCCTGTTAACTAAAGAATATTCATTGAACAAATTTTTAAAGCATGCTCCTGGTGGGAGAGTAAAACCTTTTATAGGAACAAAGCAGTAACTACCTAAGTGATTAAGAATCATTCCATAAATAGTGTAGATCAAAGCAGTTATAGTTAGAAATATTAAAGAAGCTTTTATAAAGCCAAAATAAAGAGGTATACCAGGCCCTAAAAATGATAGCTCTTCATTATCACAAAACATACTTATCTCTTGGTTATCAACTGGATAACCACAGCATTAACAAAATTCTTTACAATCTTAAACAGGCTTAGCTACTTTTTTAGCTTTCTTTTTACAAAATGTAAAAACAAATAAATACAATGTATTCAATCTAAAGTAAAAGTGATAAGTAAATAATTACTCCATGCTTTTCTGCTAGACTAATATCTACAGGAACCTTATCTAAAAATTTAACTTCTGAGTCAATTTAGCTGACATTATTTCTCTAAGTATTTGCCATCATGTTATTGCTATCTAATTTTTTTTCATCATTTAAAGTATTTTGCAACTCAATATTAAGATCATTTCTATTTATTATTAATTTTAGTTGTTGAAAAAGCATTAATGATTCCGAAAACAACTTACCCTTAAATTGGGTTTGCCATTTATGTCTTTTCTATTTTTTTATTAACTTTTAATTGTTTGTTTGTTTGCTTGATTGATTGATTTTTACCTTTCTAAACTTTTAATTTATGATAATAAAACAAATTTAATAAATAATATTTAAACTAGTAAGAGTTAGTTATTTATTCCTAACCAAAATTTTGATTTCATATTAGACGAGTTTAGTCAAGTAATATTCGTTCGTTCTACTTTGAGAGTCAATTTTTATAATATAAAGTTATAATTACTCATTTTCTTATTGTATTTACAAATATTCAAAGCAAATAAGCAAACAAATAAACAAATAAAATACTGAAAAATAATATAAATATTAAATTACTGTAGAGCTTTAAGCAGTTAGTTAAAAAGGATAATTCTTTTATTTAAATATCTTGCTAATATTAAATCTAATCCATGCATTAATTGTGGTTAAAATTTAATTTTCTGTTAAAAATTTAGAACTAAAATAACTTTGTCTACGAAAACTTTAAAATATTAATAATTTTTATAAATGAGTTAGGTTCTATAACTCTTTAACAATAGTGATTGAAATTTAATGTCTATCACAGTAAATTTTATAATTTTTAGTTTTTAAATAATATACCAAAACAGAAATATTTATTTAATAATTAATACCTATTTTTAGATATATTTCTAAGGTAAAATTTTTTGAAATTAAAAAATAATAAATTGTTATTAAGATTTTTAAAAAGATTTTTAATACCATTTAAACAAAAGAGATAGTTAAAAAGGAGCAAAAGGTAATATAAGAGCAAAATGAATATGCGGCAAGATATAATATTTAAAATTTTCTCGTTATTGGTTTTATAAAGCAAATATCATAGAAAATTAAACATTTTTTTTAGATCTAATTTAGAAACAGATAAATTTGCTTAAGAAGTTAAAGGTTCTTTTGATTTTTCTAGATGCTTTTTGTAAATTGTGAATTCATGTTTATGGGATTTATTCTGCATATAAAGAGTGGTAGTTAAATAAAGAAGTACAGCAATAAGAATATATGGGAGAGAAATTAATGCTATGAATTAGTTAATGAACTTTATGTCATATAAATAGCTTAGCCCTTAATAAAACAAACTTTCTTATATTTTAATGTCAGAATTCTACTAATCACTGTTTCCAATAATAAAATTTTGAATGATTGAAACAGATACAGATGTAAAGATGACTTGATTTATCATTTATTTAAATTCTCTGTTTGTTAAAAAGCTTAAGCAACCTGAAGGATCTATATATTTATTTACCTGATAAAGAGATATCATAAGAAAGAAGTTTAATATACAACCTAGAGGAAGAAGTAGAGGATAAGTGAAAATACAATTCAAAATAGAGCTGTTCATCATAGATATGAATAGTAAATGGCTAAGATAATATGCAGATTTAATAATTAAAGGTGAATTTTTCTTCTGGCTTGGATCATTTAAAGATAAAAGTTTGAATTATTTGTTATTGTAAAAGCTAATCTTTTATTAATCTTCCGAAGAAGTATTGATTTTTGAAGGAGAATAATGAGTTTCAGGAGTTACTTAAGAATTTTTTATTTTATTTTTTTCTACTTCGTCTTTTGAAGCATTGCTCACCTCTTTAGCTTCTTTATCTTCCTGTTAGGTCTGTTTTTTTTATTCTTCGTTTATGTTAGTATTTGCAGTATCAAAAATTTTATTGCTAGCTTACAATCTTTATTTTAAGTTAGAAAACTTTTCTTAGTTTGTTAATGTTAAGCACTTGACTATTAAATATAAAAAGAATAACACTGATAGTGCTATAACAAACCCAATTTGAGATAAAATCTAATTTGCAACTGGAGTTTGTTATTATATTCTATTGAGAAAACTAAAATTTATGCTGCTATTAAACACTGAAATATATCTGTACTAGAATAAAAAATATATCAAAAATGTATTAAAGTACATAACCTGCATCATAAACTTTTCAGCATTAGAAAATGTTATTTTGGTAACATAGACATATGTTTATTTAATTATCAAATGATTTATTTCAACCAAAATCACAAGTAGAACTCCAATAATTATATGAGCTAAAAGGCTGCATTCAGATATATAATTAAAATCTTAGAGTTAGTCAATTAGTCTTTGATCATATAACAGGAAGAAAAGAGCTCCTAAATCAAAAGCAACTAGAAAAATTTCAACTAAAAGTATAAATGCCAAGGTTTCATACGGATAATGACCCTCAAAATGGTCATTTTCTTCTATTATTTTATCATAAACTTTATACTTTTTAAACAAGTAACTGATTCTATTTTTACAAAAAGTATTCCATTTTATTGAGTTGAAAATCAACTTTGTAGCTTATTTTTCAACAAATAAGGAGGAATAGACAAATTCTCCTTTAAAAAATACTTGAATTGTCAATAAAGTTAAGAGTATTAATCCAATATAAGAAGTAAAAATACTTTGAGAAGTTAGAAATTCAGAGTTATCTTTGTAATTATTACTTGAATATGTAAATGGCCACTTAATTTAATAAGCTATATCTACACTAGCAAAGCTGTAAAAAAAAAATAGAGTTCCAATTAAAGTAGTATTTGAAAAAAGACGAAAATATTTTAAAATAGCTGAATAAAAATGTATCAATGTCTTATCAAGAGTTTCTAGTTCGATTAAATTCAAACAAATAAAATCAACAATCAAATTATAGAAAAAATAGAAAATCCTCTAATTTTTCTTTCTTTCATTGTGCTGCTTGCTTAAAAATTAATGAAATCTCTCCACTTTTTAAAGAGAAACTGATGAAAGACGCTTGATATAATTATCTTTTTCATAGGCTTTCTTCAAACTAGCAAATTATATTGAACCAGAATCTCTCTTTCCCTTTTTTTATTGTTTATTTATTTAAACCTAATTAGCATGTTACTGGCCGAAAAAACTACTGTTAGCACCTAACGCAAAATCTTATCTTTTTCTTAACAAGAGAGATGCTTGAATCTATCTATCAAGAGGATTGAAATTTAAAGAACCTCTATCAGCGATATCAGTGAGTGACTTTGAATTCTGCTTTTTAAGCCTTTATATTTTATTTCTTTTTTTTAATATTGATTTTAGCAAACCTTCTTCTTCCTAATACTTCTACTTAGCTTAATTAAATGCTGTTTATTAAATTAATTAGAATTCCTACAAGAAATCAGCATCAGTTTCTATAACATCAAAGAAATGATAATTGTCTTCTTCAGCAAACATTATTTTTTTTTCTTTTCTTAATTAGTCTTTTGGAGATCCATCTTCATTATCAATTTCAGGATTTTATAGCCTGAAACCTATTGAAGGTTTCTTTGTTGAACTTCTAATTTTTATCTGCTCAGAAATCTACTAATTGGAATATTCATGTATCGAAGAGTCTTAACCAAAAGTGCTAAATTGGTTGGCTTGATCACTATTTCCATTTTTAAATTTACTAGAGTTTAATTTGTGTTCTATGTCCGAATCCTTTTTAAACTCACCAAGAATTTTTAGAGCAGAATTTTACTTAGTACTATCTTAGCTATTATCTCTTCTTTGCCTTCGTTTTATGGATATTTCACTATTAACAGCATTCTAATTTCCTTAAGGCGTATTAATAGATTTTACAGATTACCTCTCTTCATAAGAAGGCTATCTCTAAGACAAGACTTAACTACTTTGATCTTCGTCTTAAATTTTACTATTAATCCCATTCATTTAATTAAATAATTGTTGCTTTTTATTTTTATACTATTAATTCCTTGCATTAAATTCATTTGTAAAATTAATGTCATTTGGAGTTTAGCCATAATTTTATTTTAAATTATAGTCATCTATACCTAGCTCTTTGCTTTACAACTTTGATATCATCATATAGGAAGAGCTAGCGCTTTAATTCTAAGATGGGTTTTATTATAAGCTCTTGTTGTTATTGGTGTACCCACTAATCATTGAATATGAACTCCCTTTTATATAATATTACAAACTTTTCCACAATAATACTAATTAATTTAATATTTAGAAATCTAATAAAACAATCAGTCTTAATTAACTCATATAAATTAATTAACATACAATATTTACAGCCTAATCTAATTATTAATTACATGTTAAATTAATTAAAATGTAAAAAAAAAACAACTTGTCAACCAGTTTTAACCATAAAATTAATTCGATATTTGATTTGAGGATGATAAATTTTAAAATAAAGAATATGATATTTATTGAACTCTAAAATTAATCATTATGAGCACAATAAATATGTGTGTTATATTTTTAGTAAATTCTTTTGAATTTATTTGGATAGGATATTCTATATGAACAAATTATTATAATTAAATAAATCTTCTATTAATAATTAGTTATACATTTTTTCAAAAATTGATTTTTATTTTTTGTTATTTTTAATAAAAAGATTTATACTGGATAATAAGACTTTAATAAAATAGTTTCTCTTTTTTTAGACTTTATTAAAAATAATAATTTAATTAGTTTTTAAATCTTAAATAAAAAGTCTTCAAACTTTAAGAAATAAAATAATTATTTTAATTAAGTTTTTTCAATTTTTATTAATCAATTTTAATTTTTTGTTATTTTTATAGAAAGATTTACTTATATTGATTAAGGTTTTATTATTATCATCATTTCAAGAATTTATTTAAAATATTATTTAAATATAAATTTGAAGAAATCATTTAAATTAAAATTTTATCAAGCTAAAAGAAATAAAATCTAACAAAAATATTTATTTTATTTAATTTTGTTATTCTAAATGAGTAAAAATGTTTAACTGTAATGATAATCAAAATTAAAATAAAATATGTTTGTGAAAATATTGAGTACTTGATATTGTGATAGATATATAAAAAAAAAGATAGATCTCTAACTATTATTAAAAGGAAAGGAGGTTCTAATGAATAAAAAGTGATATATTACAGATTAAAATAATTCTTTGTTATGGGATATTTAATAAAACATAATATTAATATTACTTTACTAAAATTTACTAGTACTGTGGTATTTTCTCTAATTAGCCCACTAAAGAGAAGTATTAATAAATAAAAGCAAACATAATTATGATTTATATAGACAACCTAAAGACTAATATGATTTACTAATAAATAGTCTGTGTCTTGTTTTTTATTATTCTTAACTTAAAAAATGTCTTTGCTAACTAAGTCATATATAATCCACTACCTATTATTGATATAAATACTTAGCAATACGGCCGATATATATATTCTACTACAGTAATAGAAGATTATCCATAAGTTCTAGTATCTGTTTTTCTCTAAGAAAGTCTAGCCTTATTTGATTTGAGTTAAAATTGCTAATTATTTGCCATTTACAATCATACAGTTTAATAGGCAATATCGAGAGGTAGCTTCCTTTACTTCATCACTTAAGATCATTAAATGATTATTTAAAAATATATTCCCGCTTCATCATCAAACATTGATAATTATCACTAATATTTAATCAATGTAAATATTTACTAAAATACTAGTTTTGCTTTTAATAGTTTATATGTTGATAGCAACCAAAAATATTTATACATTGGCTGCTTTGGCTACTTGATTATATTGGATGTGAGCAATAAATTAAATATTTAAGAGATAGCTTTTGTAAGCGTTACTCATGATTTTACTTATTGGATTACACTAATTGAAGATCAATATGTACTTTTGAGTAATTACTATTCAAACATATTGATATTCGACATTAGCGATATTTAAAGACCTGTTCTGTTTCGTAAACTTGATCAGGTAGGAAGTGAGTCAGTGTAAACTTACTTCTTTTAGAATCAAAAAATACTTTATTCACTTTCATTTTATTATTTTTTGCAAATTACAGATTTAAGCTTGCTATTCTAAAATAAAACATAATTTTAAACGATGGATGAAAAATAATTTGTCTAAGGTATATTCAATATACAAAGCAGCTATGTGATTAATTCTATGTTTGTTTCTACAGATGAGAATTACTTGTTTCTTACAATACGCTCAAATGGATTCTTAATATATGACATTTCAAATACACAATTTAAAATGAGTCCATAGTTTTTAATCAATGTTAATTCATTTGGATTTTCTACTTTCATTCAAACTGCTGGAATAAATGATAGATATATTGTATTTTCTGAGGGAATTTCTTTGAAGATATATGAGAAAACTACTCCGAATACTTCCTAAACTGTAATAAACATTTTTAACTTAGATTAGTGTATATTGGTAAACAGCTTTAAGGAAATGTGGCCATGGAGTATTATATATATAGAAAACAAGTACTTAGTTGTAACAGCAGGATTTACAGGCTTTCAGATACATGACATGACTATTCCGTTGATGCCTCAATTAACTTTTAAAGATAAAAGAGAGAATGCTTCTTATGATTGCAGTTTATATCTCGCTAAGAGAAAAATTTTACTCATTGGCTAATCTGAAAAAGGAATAGCATTTTATAATACAACTTTAAGCTATTCTTCACCTACTTTTATACTTTCAAAAATTTACTCTGCAAACCCTGATACAGATTCTTTTGTTTCAAATTCTGACGAAAATATTTTAGCCTTTGTTGATGAAAAATCATTTGGATTTATTGATTTAACTGATATTTAAAATACTTTTGTCATTGATTCTGTGCAACTTCCTCCAACGGAATCAAGGTCACTTGAAGGTATTGCTATGGATGAAAATTTTTTATATGGTTGCTCTGCTTTGAGAAATAGAGGAGTTTATTATTTTAAATTTGATTATCCTGAAGGCGGAAAAAATACAGGGAAAAAAATATAAATTATTAACTTTGTGGAACTCTATGGTGCAGAGTCTGTCATATACGATAAAAGAAATAATGGAATTTTTTATGTGGCTGATGGTGTTTCTGGAGTTACTGTCTTAGATAGTTCTGATAAGACTAGATAAATTTAATTGGTTAGTACAAATTCTGTGTTAGGATGGGCAGGAAGAGTCTTTCAGCCTGATGGGAATTTAAATATTCTGATTGTGAGTCACCATGACAGAGGATCAATATCAGTAATGGATATTTCCAACCAGTATTAAATAATAAAAATACAAGAAATGTAATTTATTCCTTCTGGTAGTTTTGCTTCAGTAACTGATCTTTAAAACAGTTTCTTGGCTATTACTGTAACAAATGGATTTAGAATTTGCTAAACAAATTCCCCTATAAATTTACACGCTTAAATGATTCGATCTAAAGATAAACAATCATCTGAAAATCTAATTGACATCTTCAATCCATTTATATCATCCTAAAAAGTTAATAATTAAATTGTTGCCAAGATCGGTGAGAGTGTTTCTTTTACAATAGTTCCTTTATACTATTTCTAAGGCATTTAGTATAAATCTTTACTTCAATATGATTAATACTAAACCAAATAAATACCAAGTTGGATTACTTTCTAACCATTTACATAAACCATTAATATGGTTCCTTAATACACATATATTAGCTCCTATTAAGGTTTTTGCATTCTTCTTTTGGACATATATCTACAAATTTTTTCAAACTAATTTATATCTCCGCAGTTTAATATAACAAAAGAACACTCAAGTAATCTTTATGACTACTTTGTAAGCCTTTTTTAATTTATTTTTTCTTTAATATTTAATTCAATTTTTTTTTTCTTTTACTAAAATATTTTTTAACTTATAAATTTGAATGATATTTTTTTTTATCTACTAATTCATTATTTCGACAATTGAAAATTTCAAATAAAAAAAGGATTTTTTTTAATAAATAAATTTTGATAAAATAGATTCAATAAGGTATTTTGAGCTAGGATGGATTTTTGAGCAGTACTTATGACCCATTGATAAGATTTAAGATTGATTGGTAATAAATTTATACCAATAATGATGTGCCTTCAAATGATAATCTTTCTAGAATTTATGATTATGTTAAACTCACTGTAGACAGATCAACTTTTTACTATCCAATATTTATAAGAATTTTATAGTCTCTGAATTTAAACTTTACAAATGCTCAGGGGATTATTGAAACCTATTCTTCTTAAGTTATGGTATAAATAAGTTTGGTATTTGAAGATCCTTCTTAACTTAAATAGCAAAATAGACCTTAATTTATACCTTAAACATTTAATGGAATACTTTCTGATTTAAAAAACTAAAATTTACAGCTTGATTTACGAGGAATAGTTACTTCTGTAAACAACATTTTAAAAGATTAAATATACATTTATATACCCAAATATATTCAAGAGAGAGCGATGATTTAATTTTTTGTTAGAGATGAAATAAATGCAGATTTGTAAAAAACTGTATATTTATCAGAAATACCTTAATTTAAGTAAAAAGCTCCTCTTTTATCTCTATTAAGTATTCAAGAATAATATGAACAATAATATCCAGGAGGATTATTCGTAGAGTAGACATTTTCAATTAATATAAACTAGAATTCTTTCAAGTCTGAAGCATTTCTTCAGATAAAATATCAAGTAAATTTTATTATGAAGTTAAGATTTCATCTTATTTTTTAAAAAGCCTTAAAAAAATGTGCATTATTTGTGTCTTGCTTTCATAAAATAAATATCTTAATTAAAACTTTTAAATAGGTATTAATATCTGATGGAATGTGGAGGAATTTGACAAGCTCAGATTGGATTTCTTTTGAAAATAATGGATAAAATTTATATTTAACTGGTAAAGGAAGCTTATCAGACTTATAAAAATCATTTAGTTTACAAGTAATTGCAACAGATGAATTCGAAAATAATACATAAACTCTTGTTGTTACATTTTGTTAGATACCTTTAACTATAATACTACTCTATGTGGGATATTTACTAATCATAATTTTCTTTATTATATTTTTTTACTGCATTCGATAGAAAATTCACCATAGATTCTTTCCTTCTTAATTTTAAAGGAAATTAGAGAAAATTTATTACAAAAATCACTACTTTAAAAAGATATATTTGATGAAGGATTTTCATGCTATATCTACTAAACTTATTTATTTACTAAAATAAGATTATATCTAAAAAAACAAGAAAAATCTAAGCTATTTTTAACAGATAAAAAGCTAAATTTAAAAATCTCCTAAAAGAAGCAACAGTCTTTAACTTAATAATGTCAAATAATCAGAAATGCTATTTCTTTAGTAATATATAGATGACTAGGGTTTACCAAACATGAATAAAATAATTTTAGATTTAGTAAATATTTATAACTAAAATATTTCTAAATTCCAGAAATTAAATAGCTCTGAGTTTAATTAAACTAATAGTCGTTTATACTAAGCAATTAAAAGTGTATTCACGTTGAGAATTTTAGAAACAGACAAACAAACATTAGAAATTTTTTTAATTCTAAAAAAAACTCTCAAACAAAAGACTTAGAATGCTCTAAATTGGTATTAAGTAAATATTTTTTTTCTATAAGTATTATGTTAAATTTTAAATAATTACTGTAATTCTTCATATATTAATGATATTAGCTCCAAAATCTAAACTAAAGCTTTTAAATCCATTAACATAATTAATTTTTTTAAAAATTAATTGAAAACTAAATATCTTTTTATATGAGGAATTACATTGATTAGAAAATTATTTTTATCATTTAAAAGTTAGCTTAAAATTTTATTTTTAAAAATCCTTCTGTGTTATTAAGTTTGTTGAAATCCTTAATAAATAAATAAAAATAATGAAAATAGTAATTGATAGAAATACAAAGTGAGAAAGAACAGTATAAGTAACATTCATTGAAAAGCAACTTATTTTAAATTAGACAGCTAACTAAAGACTTAAAGCTCACATAAAATAATCAAAGTAAATAGTAATTGGAGGATATCACAAAGGTATAAAACCTATCACTTAATAATCAAACAAATTTAACACTAACTTAACCTTCATAATAGCTGATGCATAATAAAACACAAAGCAACTTAAATTATTTGCCTAGTAATGTTTTTTTGATGCCTGAAATAAAACTCAATGAAGAAGCGTTGATCTCTCAGATAAGTTAAATATATAAAAAATATAATGAATAAGGGCTAAAATTATTAATATAAAATGAGTCTGGATCTTTCTATAATTTTTAGCTTCTTAAAAGCGCCATATTATCTGAATTTTATGGTTTTGGACAGAATTATAAACCAAAGAGGTTCAAATCTTCACATGGGAGTGTTATTCATTTGAGCCAGAATTAAATAAAAGATATCAAAATTTTTTTAAAGGATTCTGAGTAGGACCAAAAAGAAAATGGCATTTTCTATTAAATTTGTAGTAAAATAAAATCAATTTTATTCTTCAATTACAAGAAAATAGGACAGAATTTCCATTCAGCATAAAATATAAGAAATTGGCTTAGGTATCAGATAAATGAGAATTACATAATCCTTTAAGGCGAGCCTTAGAAACTAAATGTTGGTGAATACCTAATATAAATTTTGAATTCTGACAAATATGTTACTTATCAATACTCTTTATAAGTAGTGTTAAATAAGCAAGAGGCTCACGCACCTTCATAGATAAAATAAAAATCGAAAAAGCTAAAAGAAGCAAATTAATCTAAAAATCTTTAAAAAAGTGTGGCTTATCAAAAGCAATCAATTTTTTTGCAATCATAAGAAAAAATAGAGCCACCAAATAGTGAAAATCAAATATAAGATGAGCAACAGTCAAATATTATTTTAAAAACAATTTAATTGAAGATTCCCTAAAGCAATTATTTTTCTGAAGTGAAGCTATAAAAAACAGAAGAAATAAATAATTCTTCTATATTATCTTATAATTTGAATAAAACAGTCAAAAAAGATGATGATTTAGAATCCAGCAGCTCAACATTCGAAATTTAAAAGAGATTCTCCTTTGATAAGTCTTATGTAAAATTTATTTTTTTAATTAATACCACTCAAACAAAAAACATAAAAATAGGCCTAGATAATCCCATATTTTGGTGAAAATATAAGAAAAGAAGAGTCATATAATTGAATATGATTTTATAAAATAATAATTGCGATATTTTTCTATAAAGTATATTATTTCTTTTAAATAACAATCACTATATGTTATCTATTTTTAGGATGAATTAATTAATTGAGCTATTATTAATAAATGCAAAAAAGTAAAAATTTTATGCGTCCAAAACTAATTTTATAAATTAAAATTGAATAGAATATAAAAGGAAGATTTAAATATAATGAAAATGATGTTTAATTTTTTAGTATTTTCCTAATATCTTTAAAATATCGAAAAAGACATAAACTAGCCTAAATTAATTTGCATTATTATTTGATATCATGTTGTGATATCTATAATATTTATTTGTGCTATTATATAAATTAATGAATTAATATTTTGATAATATAGTTTGTACTATTTATATAATTTAGTTAATAATACTAGCTAGTTCCTTGTAAATTATGAGTTGTAATTAATAATAATATAAATTTTATATAACAAATTTATGAGTAACGAAACTTCAATTTATTATGCATAAGCATACTCTTGCTCGAATAGATTTTAACAGGTTTCTCGCAATGATTTTAGAGCATTTATTTTTAGGTTGCTGGGTTTATTACATTTTTTAAATTCTGAGTCATTTATCAGGTAAAAAATCAATCAAATTAATAAAAATTCTATTTTTTGTAAGTCTTCTAATCTTAAAACAAAAGTTATTAATAAACATAAAAGAATGAAAAATTACAATTTTGACATTATATAAAAATTAAAAATTATAAATTTAATGGTAATTCTTCTTAGCCAGTAAGTATAATAATATTAACATTTTTAAAAAAGAAACAATACTACTTGAAAAAAAAGATTTTTATTATAAATCTGTGAAAAATTGCGAGAATTTTTTTTCTGTATAATTTTGTTTTTTTAAGTTTGAAAGTATTTTTAGTTTTTCTTAAATATTTTAAAATTGAAAAGTGTTTTTAAATATTGCAACAAGCATTTTCATAGATTATTCCTGAAGATTTAGATTATTTTAATTTTGTGCTCTTTCTATTTTATTAAAAATGAGTATCCATGTTATCCAGACTAATTTAGTTCATTTATTTTAACTGAGAAGAATAATATGATTATTTTTTTTGAAACATAAATTTTACTTGAATTTTTAATTTAAATTTGAATTAAGTAAAAAATTTTTTGGTTTGACTGATTTTTCTTTATAAAAATTGTGCTTTTTTTAATATAATTTATTTGTTAAACAATATATGAAATTATTTTTAAAGTGTAATGGCTGTTTTTAAACTGAAAGTATTTAATTTATGAATATGATTTTATATTTAACTTAGATTAATGCACTAGATATTTTAAAACTATTACCTTTATCAATACACAGCTGATTTTCATGCTTTGAATATTCAACTCAATTCTAACTTATTATAAAAATTAAAATCTAGTTATTAATTTTTTATCTAAAAAGACATTTTAAAGTAAATTATTGATTATTGAATTTATATTCGATATAAAAATTATTTATTTTTTTATTGTTTAGTTCTATAAGTTTTGTTTAAAGAAATTTAAAGAAGTTCTTTTAGTAGCCATTAACACAATATTTATTGAAATAAACTTTTTAATGATATTTTATTTATTTTGGTTATTATTACCAAAAAATACAATTTAAAATATCCAGTATTATAAAATAGGCTACTATTAAGCATTTATGAATTAATGTGAAATTAGTATTTAAATAAGGTTACAAAAATTTATTACATATAAAATTAATTGTAACATTTCTTATAATTTTAAATAACTATGATTAAGAAAGGGTTAAGAAAGTACTTAATTAATTTTTTGCATTATTTAATTAATTTTTGGATAAGTATAAGAATTAATTCAATGTAATATGACCTTTGTTTGCTAATAAGCTCATTGATAAATTAATAATTTTTTGATTAAATTAATTAATAGATTAAAAAATAGAAAGAATGGCTATTTTTAGAACTATGACAAAATTATAATGACACACTATTAATTAATTAATAAAAGCAAATAATAAAATACTAGTAATAAATCATTTAATTCAATTGCAAATATAAAAATAGATATGTATTTAAATAGATAAATAACACTTTATAAAAATAAATACTTTTATTTTATAAAATGGAAAAATATTATTTTTTATACGAAATTAAAAGGATGAAAATAAATCGAAACATTTTCATCAATACATATTTTAAAAATTTTGTTACAAAAATATTTGATTGGATTTTTTTTTTATTAAAGGAAATAATATTTTTGACATTTTCCAAAGAATAATGTAATAAAAACTTATTTATTTATGATTTACTTAAAATAAAATAAATAGCCGGCTTACAAATTTATTAGAACGAAACTTTAAAATTTATATTTTTTACTGGAATTAAATCTTCCTGTGCTTGTAGTTTTATCATAATAATTAATAGAAATGCATTTTTTCAAGCAGTAATGCTTACAAATTATGCTTTTAATGTAAATTAAAAGGATCCTTATTAAATTAAAATTGATTCAGCGCATTTAATTTAAAAAGTACAAAAAGTGATTTGTTAATTAATTAATTAATCAAATAAATAAATATATTATCAAAATCGTATTTTAGACACTATAATTAGTGTCTTTACCTTATTGATATAATTAGACTTCAAAAATTAATTTAAAATCCTTTTTATAGAGTTTTTCATTCAAAAATTAATTAAAATTTTTCTGTTCTGTTTGCCTTACACAATGATAATTAACATACAAACACCAAACAAGCTACTAATTAGTCAGTCAATCAGTCTCATTAAATACAGCAAGCTCAAATTAAAAATGAAATATAATTAATTTAATACAAAAAAATACTTAAATAACAAAACTTTAATAAACTCACCATAAATACTATTATTAAAATTAAAATATCAAATTTTATCAAATCTTTTAAAAAATGAATAATTAAAACCAACACACAATAAAGGTTGGCAAGTCAAATGTCGAAGGTGGCTGCGAAGTCCTGTACGCTAAGCTCTTGAAGCAGTCTAAGTCTGATATTGCCCTTGTAGTTTTCTTGAGTGTAATTACTTGTGGTGTCTTTCTTCTCTTGCTAAAATGGTCCTTCCGCTTAAGAAGAAAATTCCTTTATAAAAACTGCTCAAGTGTAGCTGAAAGCACTCATGTATTAGTAAGAAATGAAGACGGTGTAGTTTCTATCCAAAAAAGAGAATCTTTCCAAATAAGAAATCAAACCACTTAATAATTAGAAAATTGGGTTTGCTTCAAAAATCGTAAACTTGTTTATGTCCTCCGTAACTCATAGGAAGGCACTTAAGAGTTCAGAGCAGTAGAATTTCCAATCTGCGAAATTCCTTTCTCTTAACTCTCCAAGCGCGAATTTTTGACTGCAGAGTAAGTAATTGAACATAGAGAAGAATATGGTATTTGCGAAAAAACTATTGAAATCCCTTCTTTGTTCGGTTTCCTTGCTCATGAAATGACCTCTCCCTTTTACTTCTTGTAATATGCTAGTGTTATAATTTGGCTCTTATAAAACTACGTCTAATTTGCAGTCATTATTATTAGCGTATAATTTGCAATCACTCTTTTAAATTATGCTATGACAAGAATGTCCTTAAGAAAAATCCAATAACTTGCCAAAAATAATTAAACTATCACAGTTTTTAGAGCTGGTAAATAAATAAATGCCATATTTTTTTCTTTTAATTAAAATTTACTTCTTTATTATTTAAAATCCCCTAAACAAACTTCAACGAATAGTTAATACGTTGGTTGAGCAAACATTTTAAAATAATTTTAGAATTTTCTTGTTAAATTTGCTTTTGCTATTTTATTTTTATAATTTATATTAAAATAACAACTTATCAAATAAATTTAGATTCATAGTAAGGCAAGGTGATCGATTGCAAAGAACTTGTTGTAGGCGATATCATAGAATTAAAAGAAAAAATGGTTATTCCTTGCGACTGTATGTTACTTTCTGGAGAACTTCTTATGAACGAAGTTTCCTTAACTGGTGAATCTGTTCCCATTCCTAAATCACCAATTGGTTAAGAAGATGAATCTTGCTTTGACTATTCCTCTTCTGATCATAAGGTATTAATTAAATTATTAATTTTATTCATATCAATATTACAACTCTTTATTGTAATAATAAATTTATTAATTTAATCTTTTTAATAATAATTAGAAATTTTACTTATTTGATGGTACTACTATTTTCTAATCTAAGACTGACGGCTAAGGAAAGGTATTAGCCAAGGTTATCAGAGTTGGATACACTTCTTTCAAGGGATAAATTTTGAGATCCGTTTTATACCCAAGACCCACAGAATTTGATTTCATCAAAAACTCTATTCTATTCTTTGCAGGTAATAGATCAATAAAATAAAATAAAAACAAATTAATTAATTTTTAATTTATATAAATAAATAGGATTGAGTGTTGTTATGTTTATTATTTTCTTAGCCAGAGTTCCCAAAATGGTTGATTTGGAAATAGATGTTATCATTTATTTTTATAGATTATTCGATACTATTACATGGATTGTTCCTCCTTTCTTACCTATTTTCTAATCTCTCAGTCTCACTTTCTCTTTGATGAGACTTAGAAATAACAACATTTTTGGTATTGAACCTCAAAAGACACTTATTGCAGGAAAGGTTACTCATATGTGTTTCGATAAGGTAATTGTTAAAGTTTATTTTTGCTATTTCTCATTAAAATTATTTTTTAAATATTTATTAGACTGGTACTTTAACAACCATCGGTATTGATGTCAATGGATATTATGGCTCTAATTTGACTAAAATGCTTACTATTAAGGATGTTAAGAAAGAAGAATTTGAAGATAATATTCATTTCAAATTATTTTCTACTTGTCACGGTGCTTACTTGTTGAATAATGAATTAGTTGGAGATATGCTTGACATTGAAATGCTCAAATACTCATAATACAAGATTGAAAATTCTAAAGACGTCTCAATTAAATTCACTGCAACAAAGGGTTCTTCTAAGTTAGAAGTTTTGAACATCTTTGAATTCGATTCTGATGTTTAAAGAATGTCTTCTATCGTTCGTGATACTAAGTAAAATAAGTGCTATGCTTTCTTAAAGGGAGCTCCTGAACGTGTTAAGGAATTATGTACTGAAGATTCTATCCCCGCTAACTTCACAGAACAATTAAATAAACTCTCTCTTAAGGGTTTCCGTGTTTTGGGTTTATCTTACAGAGAAATTGACTAATCCAATGAAGATGTCTCAACCATGTAGCGTCAAGATTTGGAATAAAATCTCAGATTCTTAGGTTTTTTGGTTCTTGAAAATAAGTTGAAAGAAGACACAGCAGATGTCATCAAGCGTTTAAGAGAAGGTGGTGTCTAATGCAAAATTATTTCTGGAGATAACCCTTTAACTACTCTCCAAACTGGCTCTGAATGCAATATCTTAAATCCTGAACAAAAGATATTCTTCATCGATATGCAATAACCTGGCTAAAACATTGTTATTTCCAAGGTAGAATCAGAAAAAATAGAAACACTCTAAATTCCTAATGACTAAAATCCTCTTGATGTTATTAATCAACTTGTCAAGAATCAAGAATAAATAGTTATTACAGGAAAGATCATCGAACACTTTGAGAATATGTTAAAACAAATTAACTAAAACAATAACAGCAGCAATGGAAGTATGTCCGACCACAGAAGCAGTGACAAAAATACAGAATAAGGAAATGAAAATCAAAACGCCTAACAACTAACCTTGAACGAAGAAGAGATTGCTTCTCTTCAATCTGGAGTCATGAAAGGTTATCAAAGTTTAGTTAAATAAGCAAGCGTTTTTTCTAGAATGCGTCCTGAATAAAAGAGAAGAATCATTGAACTTCTCTAATTATAACATATTAAAGTCGGTATGATCGGTGATGGTGCTAATGACTGTGAATCAATTAAATAAGCCGATGTTGGTATTTCATTTAGTTCTTCTGATGCTGCCTTAACTGCTCCTTTCTCTTCTAAAAGTGATTCTATCTCATGTGTTGAAACTATTCTTTGTGATGGTAGAGCTACTATGGCTATCAATGTAGAAATCTTCCGTTGTATTGTCATTTAAAATATTCTTAAATTCGTAGGCTGTATGGTCATGCTTGAAGAAGCACAAAACTTCGGTGATTTCCAATTTACATTTTTGAGTTTCCTTTGCGGTATGCCTTTATTAGCTTTACTTGCTGCTAGTAAACCTGTTAAAAAATTATAACCTGAAATACCTGATGATAAGTTTTACAAGTTACCTAACTGTGTTAGTATCTACTCATAGATTATTATATACTCAGTAGCCATGATTATTTCTGCTCTCTATCTTAAAGATTAACCTTGGCACATTTCTGATGAAACTCTTGACGTTGTTAATGGACAAAGAATTTTCAGAAAGAAGGGTGAATTAAATACTGTTGTTTTCTTGATGATAGTCATTTTTTACATGACTTCTTGTTTCAGTTTTTACATATCTAAGCCTTTTAAGTAGCTCTTCATTTAAAATTACTTACTAACACTATTCTGGCTCGCTGAATTTACCTATGCAATAGTTATGTTTGTCAAGCTTGATACTTAAATTCCTACTTTTGACTTTGATCTTAACCTCTAAGATGAATAGAAAGCAATGAATATCATGCTTATGATTACTCTTTTAGCTGGAGCTGGTGCATGCTTATTTGAAGACCTTGTTGTCAAAAAGTTTATTGCTAAAAATGAATCTACTGACCAAAGATTAAAAATTATTTAACTCAAGTAATGATTAAATTAAATGATTGATTGATCATTCAATCAATTGTTTATTTGTTTACTCCACATACTAATTACTGATTTAATGATAGACAAAAATTAAAATCTACTTTACTAATATGATATAATTTACTTTTAATTTATATACAAACGTATTCAAATACATACTTAAATACTTATTGTAATTTTCTATTAAAATTTAACAACTTTAATAAACTTTCTGGTTTAAACTTAAACAAATACTTTTTAAAAATATATTTAAATCATAATTAAATTCTTTAAAATGTGTAAATGTTTGATAAATTTTAAATTATTTATTTTTTAGCTTCTTAGATTAAAGCACTTGTGATTTCCAGACATCTCACTTTCATAGTTCAATTCAATCAATTGACTTATAGAGTATAAAAATTTCAATTTTATTTATTATTTTTAAGAATATTTTAATATTCGTTTAATATTGCTTGATGTTATCTTTGAATTATTATCATTTAGAAGAAAATCTATTTGTTAGTTTTATAGTTTTTAAATTATTTATGTTCTTGCACCATTTTGCTTAAACAAATCTTATATAATTTGTTGTAAAAGAAAAGTAATCATAACATAATTTATTATAAATTTTTTAAATTTTAGACCAAAAATTTTTTTTTCATGTCAAATAAATAATATTCAAAACAGCTTTTACATTAATTATATTCAGAAAGCACTTTGTATTTTTTCATCTTTATATTTGAAGTTGGTGTAAAATTTTAATTTCTTATAGTACTAAAGATTTTACTATATATCAATCATTTTATTAATTAACTAATTGAATTATTTTGCTTTTATGAATAATTAATTTAAAACAAGTAAAATAAAGGTATTTCTTAATATATTGATTGTCAAATGAACTCATTTTTTAGATATAAATAAATTTTATTAGCATTTTTTATAATGCTAGCTCATTAACTAAGCTTCTACTAAATTTTATGTGAAGTTTTATATAATTCTTTGCCATATTAATAAATAGTTATTGCTGATATGAATCAAAATGTTCTCTAAATTCTACAAATAAAATAATATCCTCAATATATAATTATAGTCATATATGGCCAAGCGTTAAAAATAATTGATATTAATAATGATTATTAATTTGAATAAACTATTTAAATACCAGCTAAGTAAATTGTAATGAAAGACTTCCTTCTTTTTGCTGTCACTACTGATAACTTCATACAGGTTTTTAACTTTGATTCTGCTACAAAATAACTAAATTTTATAACCAAAAAACTGATGAAGGAATATTAAATTAACTTAGATTGCATTTGCGTAGAATCTAGCTTTAATTATATTTATGGAGGTTGGTAAGGAAATCTTATTATCTTAGAATTTGTAAATTAATCTTAAATAAGTTTAATCTCTACGAGCAATAATCAAAATGGCTCAGCTTAAGAATCATATTATGTGATCAAAGTAGACTAATTTGTTTATATAAGTAATTATCTTTATGGCTTGAGTATATTTAATGTAGAAGATTTGCATAATCCAATTTTTGTAATCACTCTAAAAATAGTAGGTGCTTAGTCTACACAGTCATATTTATTTTAGAATGAGAAAATTTTATATACTAACTCAGAGTACTATGGAGTTTATATAGTAGACGTATCAGATTTGTATTAAGATCAAAGTAAATTTATTACTACTAGTGAATAGAGTAATTTAATATCTAAAGTTTCACCAGATGTAGTTTTAAACTAATTTGCTATCACCTCAGATGAAAAATTATTTTTTTTAGGAGTCAGATCGATTGGCATACAGATTTATGATATTTCGAATCTTTAAAATAAAATGAATCCCGTATTTTTGTAGTTGATTAGTGCTTACGGAAATTTTTCAAATATGATATTTTTTGGTTCTAACTATAGATATTTTGCTGTTTCTACTGAATCAAATATTCTCATATTTTAGTAAACTGTAGAAATTGAAGATTAAGATTATGTAGGATTATATAGACAAAACTTAAGTGTGAATATTTAGCTCGATTAAAAAATAGATGATTATTTTTCATTATGTTTGGTTAATAATTTATACTTGGTGGTAAGAGGTGGTTTAACATATTAATTTTATGTTTTAGATTTATCTCTCCCTTACTCTTATCAGTTGATAGTTAAATCTCCATTTCTGCTTTAAGAGTTTGTTGTTAATGGGATTCTTAAAAAGAGTGCCCTTTATCATTTGGAAAAAAGGCAGTATTTACTATTAGCTTATTCTAAGAAAATATTTGTGTATGAAACGTAAAGTAAGAATTCTTTAAATTAGCCTTAGTTTGACTTAACTTACATTTTCTCTCTCGATTTTGTTTATTAAGTAAATGACATGACATCATCGAGCAACGAAGATTACCTTTTTATGTGTTATTCAAAATTTATTATTGTTTTAGATATAAGAAACATAACAGATTTCAAAGTTGTTTAAATTATTGAAAAATTAGAATAATTTACGAATGACTACTCCTCTATTGCACTTGCCCATGATGATAAGTTTGGCATTATAACTGTTTTACAGCAAGCTGCGATTTTTTTTGAGCTTGATTCTCATTTTTAAATAAAATACCTAAGTAATCTTAGCTTGTATGGAGCATTTTAAGTGGAATACGACAAGGGTGGCAGAAATTTATTTTTCATTGCTGATGGCATTTCTGGCGTTACTATCATAGATTCTTCAGACAGAAAAGATCCTAAAATAAAATCAACTTATTACATGAATAAATAAATCATATCAATATTTTAGCCTTTTAGCATGCAAAATTCACTGCTTCTGAATGAATCACAGCTAAGTATTATAACAGTAATTAATTTTTCAGACTTGGATAAAATAAAAACTGTGTAAAGCTTTTTCGACACAAACGAAGAATCTCATTAATGTATTATAGATTCCTTTAATAGGGTAATGATAGTCATGGAAATGTCAAATATAAAAATTTACTTCCTTGAGAAGTAAGCTAAAATTTTAAGATAAAACTTTTTTATATCTTAAATGTCTTCATCCACTTAAGTTATGTTTGATTTTTAAAATAAAATTGATGAGAAAAAGATAAAATTAGAGGCATAAAACGAGTATGCACAAATAGGGGAGGACTGTGTGATATACTTTTTCCCATACTATATTTAAAATTAATATTAAATCTAAAGCTTAAAAGTATTTTATGAGCCTTACGAATAATAAAATATACTTCCTAGCTGGATCAGCCTTGATAAAGTTTATCAAGTTATGCAATTCAATCCTCCAAAAGAGCTATTTACAGGTCAAAACACAACTCTACTCTTTTAAATATAACTATAAACAATCTTTGAAAATACTGATTTCATTCTCACATCACTTCCTTTAAATATTTCATCTGCAAATTCTTTACTCATACATTAGAAATTAGTAAAAAAATATTGATAAATTATCATTTTAAATCAATTTTTAATTTTGAATAAAATTTTAATTCAATTTTTTTTAATTTCTAATAAAATTATTTTCAAAAAAGATCAAATTAATTTTATAAAATATGTTTAAATCAAAACTAAATAAATTGTTTAATATTTATAAGTTGTTATTTCATAAAAACTTAAAAAAATTCAGATAAATTAATATATCATTAACTATTATCAAAAGATATTTATTATTTTTTAACTATTTTAAGCTGTTTTTAATAAAATATAGGTTAAATATGGATGGTTAAATAAAGATGGATTTGTTTCTCAAGATTTAAATCCTTTTAAGAATTTTCCTTAAGAATTAATTCAGAATTTAAAAAAATCGTATAATGACAGTTAAATAGATGCATTATTATCATATGTACGAATAAAGCTGATTAATTCTAATTTATTTTACTTGTTTTCAATTAACATAAATCGTTCTCTCTTTTTAACACCAGCACAATAAAAGTGTTAATATAATAAAGAAAAAATCTGCTATATCTAATCTTTATAATCTTCAGTATCATTGACAATATACCTGTTAAACAATATAACTTATTTTATGGATTAAAATTTTGATGGGATTTTATCATAATTTTACCAAAATAATACAATATTGTTGCTATAAGGGTCACCTGAAATTATAAATAGCTATTTAATATAAAACTTATCTATTTATTCTAACCAAACTATTCGCTAATAATATATTTAATTCAAACTTTCAGATAAGCTAGATTATGATTGGCAATCCTAATTTACTTATGATTAAGTATAATTTATATGGTATAAAAAAAATATTACAAATATAAAAACGATTCAAGACCTTTATTCACAAAAGTATCCGAATGGCCTTTAAGTTGAAACAGAGTTCTAGTTATCAATTAATATTAACGATATTTACTCATTTCATCCCACTTTGACTCTCAAAATATAAGTAAATAATATCTATCATCTCTACAAATTTCATACATTTTATTTAAAAACTATTTAAAATATGTAATCAATTTATTTTAATTTAAATCAAATATTTTCTCTAAAATCAAAGCTTAATAAAAAATCAAGAGCTATTTAAACCTCCGCTAATAACATCAAAATTAAGATTTTATTTTCATTTGCAAAAGTAAATAACAATTACTTAACAACTAGTATATTAATAGGGAATGAAAAACTTTTTAAATACCACAATTTTACGGAAGTAAATATGAATTAAATTTTTTATACATAAAAAATTTGGGATTATTTTTCTCAAAAAAAACTCTACCCTCTTAAACTGTATCATTTTATTTGATCAAAGAATTAAGGTATATTTAGGCTCAGTTATAGTAAATATCAATAATTCTAAATATTATTTTTTTAAATTTTAGTATAAGAAAGTAAATAAAAATAAGTGATTATATTTAATTTTAAAATAGTTTTTAAATAATTTTCTACCATTTCATATATAATTTTAGGATTGAAATAAATTTTCACTTTTTAAATTACAAATTTCATAATTAGAACAAATAACTAATAAATGATTTTTTTTAAATGATATACTATTATTAAAATAAAAAGATTATTCTAAATATCTAGACTTTTTTAATATACTTTTTAAAAATATTTTATTATGTTAGATAATGAATTAAGAAAAAAATTATAAAATAATCAAATTAATTATTTAATTTTCGAATTTAGGCATATTTTGATGAAAATCAAAAAGAAGAGCTTCCTTAGAATTGCATAAACTCTTGGATTTGCTTTGATGGATAGATTTTGTCTGGTTTTGCTTCTTTAAATTAGTATGATGATTAATATAAAATTTACTTTTTAGTAACAGATGGCTATGAATTACATGACGAAATTTTATTGTTAGATTTTAGCATTTACTCAACAAAATAAATTTTGAAAATAAGTGCCATAATAAGCGGAATATTATTTATAATCTTAATGTGTTATATTTTCAGATAAAACATCCAGCGAATATTTTTCTATAATTACTATCTTCATTAGACTGAATATGTACACAATAGTGAGGATGGTAAAATTTATAAAAAGCTATTCCTAAGATAGTTTAATTGGAAAATGGCTCATAAAATCTTTGTTCTTTTAAAAGAGAGCTTCAGAGAAAATGAACTAGCTAAAATTGTTGATTTTGATGGTGCAGATGATGATAATTAGGATAAATTTTCAACATTTTACTTAAACTATATTAATTAAATTGGAGATTTAAATGAAGAAGAATTCATTACTGATTGCATTTCTATTATATAAAAAAATTAGAATCTGTTTCATAACCTTCAATTAGAAAGCCTCAAAAAGAATAATTCAGAATTAAGAGAAGCTCTCATTTCCATATTTTTTAAGTATGCACTTTACACAGACTAGAATTCTTTTTATGTCTACACGTAAATAAAAAATCATTTTATGATAAAATCCAGGGGTATTAATTGGTATAAGGTAATTAAATTAATTAGCTATTTCTTTTCTAATTGGACTAAATTTGAAAATTCAAATAAATCTATTTTTTTTTTAAATTTACATTTATTTATCTAAAAATTTTCCTTTTTGAAGTTTATTATAAAATGTAAAAAATATAGAATTTGGTCAATGAAAAAAAGATATTATTTTAATAAAATAATCAATAAAAATTATAAAATTACGAAGAGTCTTCATCTAACACAAAGGGAGATAACACTTAAAAATCATCAGAAGATACCCAATAGTCTAGGATTTCATATTAAGATTTACAAATAAACAACGAAGAGTTAAAAAAATGTTTATCTGAACTAAAGCAATAAGAAAAGCATAAATTCGGACTAGATTATGACATTAAAATAATATAAAATGCTATTAAATCAGATTATTTTGGATTTGATTACATATTTGATCTAAAGACTTATAGGTAATGTTTCGGAGAATCACTTCACATCAATAATTAGTAAATAGGAGAAATACTTTGCTATAAAAAAGAATTAAAGAACATCCTAGATAATGATTTTAAATTAAATTATTAAAAATCAAATAAATTGAGTTAGATTTTTGATAATTTAAACTTGGGGTATAAAAGATATCCAATAGTTTTAAGTAAAATAGAAGATTAAAAGGAAGTTAGTGAAATTAGCTATGATATCGAGCTAGATAGCATCACTTTTAAAATAGATTTGGAAAACCTTAGTCAAGGATAATATAAAATTTAATTATTCAATACACAGAAGTATCTTATATTCCAATTTTCCTTTTTGATTTTATTTAAATGCTAAATATCTGATTATAAAAAAAAAATAAAGATGTTCACTTTTAGCTCATCACAAAACATCTTTTAATAATAAAACTAAAGAAAAAATATAAAAAATCTTACTCTACCAAAAAAGACCACAAATTCAAAAGGATCACACAAATTTGGTTTTTAAAAAGGGATTAATTTAAGTCTCTAATCCATAATAAAACGTCCAAACAACCTAAGAAGGAAGGAGAAAAATTCCACTTTAAAATTTGAGGATGATTCATTCAATAATAATAATGATTATGAAAACGTAGATTTTTGATTCTTCAAAAAACATAAAAAAGTATAGCTTTATATGTTTTAAATTGTCATAAAACTAAGTTAATCTTAATAAATTAAAACTTTGCCAAGTTATTTTCTATTAATGACTTTGTAAATGTATTAATTTAAGTTATCAAAATTGATGTAAAAATGAAAATGTTAACATTAAAAACAACTAATTATTTAAATAAAATTATTAAATTAATTAAGTTTTATTATTAATTTAACCTAAATATTACGCTCATGTAAACCTAAAGTATTCTAACTTAAATGATACATGAGTAAATTATATTTTTAATTGATATTTAATCTTTAAATGCTGTCTTATTAATATTAAAAATCACATGAAAAACGTTTTAATTATTTCATGATTATTTAGAATATTATCTACATTTATATTGTATAAAAATTAAAAGTTAATGCTCCTAGTTATTTATGCTTTATTTAATATTTAATGCACTGGATTTATACATTTTGAAATTATTAGTTTGAAAAGCACAATACAGAATTTCACCTTAAAATAAATAAAAAATTTCATTAAAATATTATAATTAAGCTCTAAAAAAATGATAACTTACAAAAAAAATGATATTAAATAAAAAATTAAAACAAATTAAAAGTTTTGTAAGTTTAAAAAACAAGAAAAAGAAGTATATAAAAAGTTAAGCAAAATAAAACAATCATATTAAGTAATTTGAATTGTATTTTTTGATTAGTAAGATAGAAAAGTAATCAAATATAAGGCGCTAAAAATTAATAATTATTTATTCCTAAATGAATCAATTTTTGTTAATAAAAGTATATTAAAATGCAAAAAAATTGTAATATTACAAAAAAAAATTATTGAACAGAAAAATATGTAACAAGTTATTAAAAATAATTTTTTTAAATGCATTTTCTAAGAAAACTTATAAAATATGAAAGATCTTTACAATACGATTCTATAAATTATTTGTAAAACTTGGTTCTTTATTTAATCAGAAAACTAAAAAATATATTTTTAAATTGTTATTATTAAAATATCTTTATAAATAATTTTTATAAAATCTATTATTTTATTGTATTTTTAAATTGTTTATATTACTTTATTAAAATATATGTGATTCTTTTTTTAAAGAATTTACTTATTAAATAATGTAAAAATAAATATCTATGTTAATTAATATAAGTAATTCATAAAAATTTATTTTAACATTATATTGTTATCTATTGGTTGATTATCAATTTAAAAAAATTAATTCATTATTTTATCAAAAATACAAATAAAAAATTATAATTTAGTTTTAATTTTGATGTTTGTTTTCAAAATTTACTCTACAAAGTACATTGAAATTATAATTTTTGTAAAAGAAACTAAATTTTATTGAAATTCTTTTACTAAAATATTTACATAAATTTAATTATCGAAATTATTTACAAAAACTAAAAATGTTTTGAAAATAAAAACTAGCATAATTATCATAAATTTTTTAAATAGTGTAATTTATATTCAGTTAATATTGAAGTCTAAAAAATAAGTAAGCACTCTGACTTACTAAGTATAATTTAATACTTTATTTAGAAAAAAAATGTATGTAAGTATTTAGTAAATCTAGTATTTATGGATATAAATTAATTTGATTATACTTGAAGATTTAAGGAAAATATCAAATTATTAGTCCATTAACAAAATACCTGTTACTGATAATAAAAGGCGAATTTAATTAATCTATGAAAGTTCTTAGTTTTTTTACTCCTTTTAATTATACTTTTATAAGTATTTAGATTATTTACTTGAACTATTCAAACCAAAAATATTTTTAATAACTAAAATCTTATAAATCGAACTTGGAGATATTTCTTTAATAATGAAAAGGTCATAAACCATTATTGATAATAGGCAAAACTTCCAATAAATATTTAAATTGAGTATTTTTTGCGTTTTTCACATTTAACTCCACTATGAAATATAAAATGCTACGTATCAGAGTTTAATATCGTATTGATTAATTTTAGTTTAGTAAATAGAGTTATTCAAGTTGAATGTTGTACAGAAGAAAAAATGTATGGTTATCCTCAAAATTTTTTCAAGAAAATATTGTCTTTGTTAGCAAAAATTAAAATTAAATAATAAGCAATTGAATAAAGCAAGAAATTATGAATAAAGCAAAATCATAGTAATAGTTAGTTATAATCTTTGATTGCATTTGATTGATATATTGATAGATAGGTTATTTATCATTGTTATTTCACATGCAAATTTTAATCATATTAATTTTTAATTAATCAATTAAATTTAAGCACTTAGCAAGTAAAATTTAAGCTTGGAGAAAGGTCATTTATTTTCACTGAAATTTAGAAAAATAACAAAATCTACAAGTTGTTCATTCCTTAATTACTCCATAAAATGATAGTTTAAGATTTATTTTTGAGCAATTTTCTTTGGATTCTTTTTATAATTTACTAATGCAGTCATAAAGTTGCTGCAGACTTTTCCTAGCAGCCAAATTAAGTAGAAAGAATATATGAACCCATACCTTCTACTTACATAAATCTGTTAAATATAGCCAACAAAACAAATAATTTTAATCCTATCCAACAATTATAAATACAGAGTTTCATGAGTGTAAAACACCCGTCTCTAAATGTAATTTATGTTGCAGCGCTAAACGGAGGACTATTTGTATTAGACTCAGCTTCTCAGGTATAATTTTAGTACTTCAATATGACTTGCAAGAAAGTCTTCCTCAGAAATGGCCAACTTTATGCATCAATGGGTAAAGAAGGGTATTCAATATTTTAAATGAACCCACAAAATGGCTTCTTAACCTTGGTTATCAATAACTAAATAGGAAGTTCGGTTGATAGCATCTATGTAGACTAAACAGCTTAATTCATTTACATAGGAAGCGAAGGGTATATATATTTAATTTAAGTATCAGGTTAAGGCTAAAAGCAAACCGATTATGCTGTCTCTATGCATGTAGGAATCTACTCAGGAGAGTCTAACTATATTTATAGTACTTAAGATGAGTAATATTTGATGGTTGCCAATTTGGGAAATGGTGTTAGTGTGATAAACATCTCTTAGAAGAACTAACCTTATTTAGTATCTCAAAAGCTTCCAGAATGGCAAGTTGTGGATCTCAAAATGGTTAGTAAAGGGTAGATTGTTTATGCCATCGAAGAATGGTATGGGTTATTTATCGGGGATTTCTCTTCACTCTACGTAAATGAAAATATCTTCAAAGCAAAAGATTAAGTATGGGTTAATCACCTTAGTTTTTAAGCTACTTCAAGAGCAATAGAAGTATCTTCAGATGAAAAATTCTTATTTGTAGGACTAAGACAAATAGGGGTTTATATATTTGATATTTCAAGTAGCTAAAACAAACTGAACCCAATTTTAATATAAAAAGTCTAAATTAGTGGCTTGGCTAACCATATTTTTATGTATAATTCAGATAACTCTTTCCTCTATTCCAATGGATGTTGTGTTTCAATTACTAATAAAGTAGAAGCAAATTTCAACACTGATATTCCTAATGTATTTAACACTCACATATCTCGCAGCTTCTAAGTATTAGATGTAGATACAATTCCTTGGGATTACAAATATTCTTCAAATAGCTAATAACTTTATCTGGCGGCAGCCTTCAATGGATTACAGGTCTTCTAACTGCAAAATAGCACTTTTCTTCCTCCAATTAAGCTTTTCTCATCTAATTCTTATCCCTCTACTAGTACAGATACAGTTACTTTAATAGAGGAAAAAAATCTGCTCGTATAAGGCAGTTCAGAAAAAGGAATCATATTATGGGACATTAAAAATTTAACCTCAATTAAAAAAGTAGGAGAATTTAATCACCCTCTTCAAAACAGTGATAGTGATGGAATAGTCTATAATTCAAAACTGTAATTTTCTTTATAAATTAAAATTTAATTTAATTTTATTCTAAACCCACATTTTTTTAAAAAACCAAGATAAATTTTAATTCTTTAAAAAATATTTTAAATCAATTAAAAATTCTAAAAAGTGAAGTTTTCCATTAAAGACGCATTTAATTCAATAGAAATATTATTCCAATTTCAAAAAATCCAATAAAAACTATTTAACTTTAACAACAAATTCAAAACAATTTTAAATAAATAATTAAAAAAGTATTTTATTTACATTGAAAAAAATATATAAAATATGTAATTTAAATTCAAAAATACCAAGCAAAATCATTTTTATTAAAATTTTCAAAGTAATGTTTTAAATTCTAGAATCTTACCAAACAAAATTTTATATAAAAATGATTAGCTTGTCTTAATTCTGAATTAAAATCTAATTAAGTTAGCTTAAAATTAAAATAGTTTAAATTAAAATATTAATTAAGATTTAATTAATTTTAATTTCAATAGAAACACATAATTTGATAATTTAATCAAAAATATTTAGTTTTAAAATCAAATTTTATAATTTTAAATTCTTATTTTTCTATAAAAATATTAAAAACAAGATTTATTTTTTTACATTTTCTAAGAAAATAAAAATTATTTTAATGAATATTTTACTGTTTTTATTTATTTAAAAGAAATATAATTTAATTTATTTATTTATTTACTTTTAAGAGGTTGTTTGGCTATTGCAAATGGATACTAAGGAGCTTATTTATTAGACATTAATGATTTAAATAATTTAAAAATGATTAGTGAAATAAATGTTATAGACTATGATATGTAAGTTACAGCTGAGAGTATTTTAATGACTTAAGATGCAAATTACTTAGCCATATCTCTAAGATATTATGGAGTATTAATATTTAATATGAAAATTCTTAAGAGTCCTAACCTTATAAGTAATTTCATAACTTATGGAGGGGAAAAATGTATATTAAGCTATGATGAAAATTACATTTTCGTTAGTGATGGCTATAAAGGAATTACAATAATAAACTTTGTTGATAAGGAAAATGCTTATATTTAATCAAGCTTAAACCTAGGGGCACAGGCTTTATATGCTTATTAGAGCAAAATAAATCAGAATATAATTTATGTATCTTTAATAGAAAATGGATAGCTAGCAGTTATAGATGTTTCAAATAAAAGTAATCCTTACAAAATGGCTTAAATATAATATGGATTTGAAAAATCTTTCGCCCTGCGTGAAGCACCAAACCAACAATTTATAACTTATTTAACTAGCAATGGGTTACGCTTCTAATCGATAAGCTTCCCAATAAAAATACATACATAGATCAGAAAGATAATATAAATTTAATAGAATCTCTAAAAAACTTTTATCATTGTCTCTTCAAATGAATAATTTAAAGTTGGGGAAACTGTTGAACTAATATTCTCATCAATATTATTTAATCAGTCTATTAAATTAGAAAAAATTTTTTATTACAAAGAATTTTAAGTCACTTAAATTGAATAATGGATGTAGTTTAATTAAGACAAGAATAAGCTTAGAATGACAATAGATAAAAATGCCATATAAAATAACAATGGTTTGAATATCGTTCTATTACAAATACTAATACAACTGAATCAAACTTCATTCATTTCATAAACCTACTCAATTAATCAAACTTAGTCCTCTTAAATCTACCAAAAGCTCGTAAATAATTTATCATTAAACTTATATAATCCTATAGAACAAATCTTTTAAATTTTATATAAATAATAAATCACAACAAGCAAAAAAAATTCAAAAAAAATATTTTCAATTAAAATTAAATTCTTACCGAAAATTTTTATGGATTTAGTTGCGATTTATTTGCAAGTGCTGTTGCCTGATTTATTATTAGATAATTTTCGAAACTTAAATTTTAATTTATTTAAGTACTATTTGAAAATAAGTTTAAATTTATTTTGGATTTACATACTTATTGATTTTTTTTAATGAATTAGAAACAAAGAGCTATATTGAACGATAATGACTATCTAAATTTAAATAACTTCTAACTAAATTCAAACTTTTATATAGATTTAGACAACACTCCTTAGTACAGCAATATTACAGCAACTTAAGATTATATTAAACAAATCTTATTATAATCAATTTATTACCAACCTATAAAATTTAACGTTGTTTCTAGTCTAGTTTTAAATTTAATTTACTCAGAAAATAATTAACCTATTTCTACAATTTCATAAACTGTGAAAATTATTATCTAAATATTTGATGCCTAATCTTATTTCATAGAGAATACGGTTGCTCTTTAAGCACAGATAAGCATGTCCTAGGATTTTAAATCAGTTGTTATTGAAGGCCAAACAATAGATGTGAATCAGATTCTTTTAGATGGAGTTGAAGCTGTATTTTATTAATAAATTGATTAAATTTTAGTGTAAGTTACCCTCATAGATAACATCAATTTTGATGTAGTTCAAACTTATAAAGTTTCCTAATTATAATTTCTCAAAAATGCAAAACAGATTAACAACTATAACTCTCTGAAATAGTAATTTGAAGATTAAATCAGCGAACAACTGACAGGTATTTAAACTAAAAATAATTATTTTTATTTACTTAATTAATTATTCCTTTATAAATAGTTGATAAAGTATACACATTTACATTCTCAAGCAACACTTTTTAGTATCTGCTACCTTAGCAAGAAGGTTTACAATTTTAGGTATTTTAATAAATTAAAAAAAAAATATAACTTTAATCTATTTATTAATTAGAAGTCATACTTTTATGAATCAATCAATAATTCTTAATCTTCGAATTTATATTTTTATGAATTAATAAAAAATTCTTAATATTCTTTTAATTTAATGAATTAATATGAATGAATTTGTTTAATTTATAACATTAATTATTTTATTTTTGAGTATTTAAAATTTTTGAAATTATTTTTTTGTATTTTTTTAATTTGAATTTTATAATTAAAAAAAGGCATTTATAAAAAAAGACTCAAATACTTATGTCAATATATAAGACATTGACTGGATTGATTTTGATTCTAGTAATAGATAGTTTAAATGGTAAGGAAGTTTATCATAGCTTTCAAAGAGATATACAATAGTTATCAACGCCACTCTTACCAACTCAAATAAATATTGGGCTGAAGATTCTTTTGAAATTCATTTTGAGAGGATACCTGTCGAATTAATTGTCATGATATGCTTAATAAGCTTTTTCTTTGCTTTAGTTATTCTTATATTATATTGTTATAGAGCTAAAATTTAATATTTTAGATATTTTGAAAGATACAGCTATTCAAGTGAACCTGCAATAGTCAATAAAAATTTCTATAAAATTATTATGCTTATTCCTAACTATCTAGGGGAATTTCATAAGCTTTGGTAGTAATTTATAAAAAACGAAAAAAAAGAGAATAAAAGTGTGAAATTAAACTTTAAAAAATATTTAACACCTTAATCTAAAGAAATTGATGTGCAGCTTTTAATAGACAAGCTTAAGAGCATATATGAATTAAATAAACATTTTTATTCCAAACTAAAAGATTAAGAATTCAAAGTTACCAATTTTAGGCTTTCGAATTTAGTGAGAGGTGCCTTTTCAAGGTAAATGCTATAAGAAGATTTAGCTACATTAGAAGTTTATCAATAGTTAAAAGCTATTGCATAGAAAAAAGGATTTCGCAAAGATTGGTATAAAGTAAATAATTATAATTTCTTAAGAATTCAATAATTATTTTTTTAAAACACACTAAATTATTTTAAATCAATAAAAAAAACTAAAATCCTTCAATAATCAAAAAATATTTTAAATTAAGAATTTAAATTCAATTATTAATAAATAAATTAATTTAAGTAAGTATAAGTAAAACGATACTTTTTTAGGATGCCTAATCCTATTTAACAATCATCAATCCTAATCCACCCCACTTTCTTTTAGTTATGAAATGATGAAAGAAAATGGAATTTAAAAAATACCCAATTCTTCTTATTCCTGTCACTTTTTTATTAGATGAATTTCACATATTTTGTAAATTAAAAAATAATTAAAATAAATAGATGAAGTGTAATCAATTATTTTAACGGTTTTCCTTTTTAAAAATAAAATAACCTCTAACTAATATAATATATATTTATGCAAATTGACAAATAACCTCTAACTAATATTTTAGAGAAAATGATTTAATATTCAAAAAAATTTAAAATATTTTAGCTTTAATTTTATATTTAATTAAAAATTTAGTTGTTAAATTAAATTTAATTGATTTTAATAAATAATTAATTAGTATTACACTAAGATTGTTTACCCTGAAAAGATTAATGAAAAAGTACCTGTGCTTACAATAGAAGAGAGTAACAGCCATACTAATGTTGATTCGTACAATATGTCTTAATTGGAGTAAAACTTTCCAATTATTATTATTGACGAAAGCAAAATAATATTTACCTTAGAAGAGGCGAATTCAAATTAAATGGAAAAAAATAATTCTTATAACCACTAATTACTATTCGAAAATATAAAATCAGAAGGATATGGTTACGTGAATAAAGCAATTAAGAGATAAGAACCCAGTTATGGAGAGGCAATACACATTTTACATTCTAACATTAAAAAAATTGTTGCTTTCAAAAAAAGAGCAGAAGAATCTAGATGTATTTGCTTTCCAAAGATTCGTTAAAAGTTTTTCTTGGACTTTTAAGAAATTTAGAATGTAAAAAACTCAAATCTGCCTGAATGGCTAAAGTGTGAAGTTACATAGAGTTCTATAATTTTGAGTGGAAAACCTAGCTCGTAAGATGTTGGAGATATCCTGATCAGAGTTTATGATAAAAACAATTACATACTCAATTAATTCTTTATAAATGTACGTAAAATGCGCAAACAAACTTATGTTAACCCTGAATTAGAGGCATATTAAATTAGTAACCGTCAGCAAATGCCTCCTCTTTCCCAACAATTATTAGTTCCATAACATAGTAAGTTATCAAATTAGTTTTAGGGGTTAGTTCCAAATAAAGTTGTAAGTTCAGTTGGAGGATCTGGAATTTTAAATACTAATACCTACTATTAATAATCTCCCCACACAGTTAACACAAATTCTCCTCTGCAACTAAACTAATCTTCAAATCAAGTCATTCAGGCTTAAGGACAGAAAAGAATTTTAAGAAATCATTCTAAAAAAAGCTCTTAAAGATATTCAATAAAGTAATATAAATAGTTATTAAACGGAAATGGAGATTTGAATATGATCAGATTAAAATCAGATAATTAAATTAAAGATAATTCAATTGTTACTGAAAACCACAAAAAGAACTCCGATGATTATATTTATAGGAAAAATATGTAGTCTCCAACATATCAAGATTCTCCAACTTTAGAGAACATTCAAATAAAATAGTGTAATAACCAAGATAAAAATGGCATAACTAATTATAGTAGTAGTAGTTAAATGCTTCATTTATAGGCCTAAGAAAACAATGATATTAGAGCCATAAAGGAAGAAAATCTATTAAAACTAAAAGGAGACAATAACTATGATAGTTTAGACCCAGAATAAATCTTCAGTAAACCCATGAAACACTTTATGAATAATTACAACCATCACCATCCTATTGATAATGAAACTATTTAAGAAGAGCTTCAAACAAACTAAAAAGATTAAAACAAGTCTCACTCTTCATTCAATTTCAATCAAAATAGTAGGTACAAATTTTCGACTTCTAATGCTTAACATTAAGAAGATTAAAGTTCAATTTCTCAATACAAAAGCTACCAAGAAAGCTATGATTTTGAAAAATCTTTAGGTTTAATGTCATGCGAGGTAAAATTTTAATTTTAAATTAACTTTTTAGTTTAAATAATCTTTTTGTTAAATAATAAAGCAAATTGATGTCAATAGCCCAAAACTCACTCAATTTAAACCAATATCTATAAAACAGTTAAATTAAATTCCATCAAATGAAAATATAGCTTGAATTCAATATTTTTTCACTAAAATAAATAAAATATTCATAAATATTCTTAATTATTTCTAAATATCTTCTTTGTAAATATTTTATTTCAATTTATATTCTTAAAATTTTGAAAACACAAATTGAAACAATTTAATTAAATGATTGGTTGGTTTTTGAAAAAAAATAAATAAATGTATTTTGAGTAAGCTTATATTTAAAAATAACTTATTTTTGAATGTTTTAAATCCTATTAATCTGTTTGATTTCAAAAAATTAATTCTCTCTATTAATTTTAAGGTAGTATTAAAAAAAAGAAATAATTACTTCTTCTAATTCTTCGTAATATTTAATCTATTATATCATTTATTTTTTTTTTTCAAAAATATTGTAAAGCAATTTATGGAGATTTAATTAATTATAAGTGGATAAAAAGAGCAAATAAATTACATGAATTTATTAAATAATCGCTTTTATTAATAGAAATATCAAAAAAGTTAGGGCAAAATTGATTTTTAAATATTAATATTTCTATTTAAAATGTTTCATTAAAAATATTGAAATCTAATATTGGATATAAAAGAAAATTAGAATGCTAATTCACTAGAATAAAATAAATTTTTATTATATTTTTTTGTATATTTTAAAAATTATTAATAAAAAAATATGAAAAATGTATTTAAATAAAAAATTATTTAATATTAAGATATCTTGTTTTAATGAGAAATATTTTTTCAATTATTATAGACAAATAGATGATGGATTAGTAAAAATTAATAAATAAAAAAATTGATCTAGTCAAATAATTTTGAAGAATAAATAATCATAGGTAAAGGATATATTATTTAAGAATGTGAATATATGTATATTTAGTTAGATTTATACTAAAATAATAATCATAATGAATTATAAAATTTGACTTGATTTTAATTATGTATAGTTTTTAAGTGCAATCAATTAATTTTAATACAGAGTACTATTGAAGAATGCTGTTTGTTTTTCATTAAGTTAATGCTTTCAGCTAAACCAATAGATCCTCCCTAATTCTTTAGAATTAGCTTTTCCTAGTAGTTTCTTGTCAAAGCTTGAAGAATTTTGATATTAGAGGATCAGTTGTGATTGAATAAAAAATATAAATAACTAGGAGGAACAACAAATATGATTGATCATTTAAAAGATTTTCATTTTAATATTTAAAAGTAGGAATTTCCTTAATATTTTTTTAATAATGTATATGAATGATAATAAATAGGCTATATCAAGTTTCTTATTTGAAGTATCTTCTTGTTAAACAATAATAAATAATTAGATAGATAAATTGTTCATTAGTACTTAATAATAAACAAAAAAATATCTATTAAAGTAATTTCTAATGAGAATATAAGATTTTATGTTTAAGAAAAAATATTTTATTATTTATACTAATAAATAATAAGAAAATTAAATCATAGTTTTTAATAATTAAATACCATATTTTAGAATGTAAAAGAGCTAGCTGATATATGGCAATTTTTTCCTTCAAAATTTTATCCAAAATATGAGAAAAACTAATTTTTTTATCTCATTTCAAAGTTTATTTCCAATGAATACCTTATATTTTTTAATATTCAAATTTTCTAATGTTAAAAAATCAATATAAATATCAAAAGCATGATATTGAGTATATGAACTGAAATCAACCTTACTATTAAGTAAATTTGTTTTCAAAATTATTTGGTTTTTTAACATATGAACTTTTTCTTATTAAAAAATAAATTCAAAGACAATATTATATTTATGGATATAGTTAGTTTTTAATAAAATTTAATCAAGCTTTTTTTATATTTAAAAATTCATTTTGATAAAATTATACAGGAAATTTTAATAATAAAAAAATTAATATATTCATTTAAATATTCCAAGTTTAATATATAATTTAAATTTAAAGCCATTAACCTCATTTTTATAATTAATTAATTATGTGTTTATTCTAATTTAAACATCAAAAAAAATTTTTTTAAATATTTGAAATTTAGTTCAAGTAAATTAAATTACTGGTATGTAATATAAAATATTAATAGTCTGACTGATTGATTGATTGAATAACTTATTTAGCTAGAGAGATGATTAATATAAAATATACAAATTAACAGATTTATTAATTCTAAATTTAATAATTTTTAAAGGAGTTACTTTACTTTATATTAATTTTAACTTTAAAACTTTATCAATTATATTTACTCAATCTAATCTATTTTATACCATTTTGAGTTTTTATGCAATTTAATAATATTTTAGAAATTTTTATTTATTTATTTTTTGATTTAATTTCTTTGATTGGATTAATGCTAAGGAATATTAATTTCTTATCAATTTTTGATTTATTTATTTATTTTATAAATATATCTATCTTATTAATCAATCAATATCTCGACCTGCTTTAAAAAATAATTTTTAATTTTAAGCGATAATTGTAAATACTATAATTTTATTTAAATTGTATAGAACTCATATTTATTTACTTTATAATAAACTACTAAAAAGCTACTAATATAAGAAAAAATTTATTTTGAATATTGCTAATTTTATTTTTTGAGAGAATAAATAGTATAATCATTAATTAATTTGACTTAATCTATATTTCACACTTCAAATTAATTTCTACAAAAAGGATCAAATAAATTATGAATGATGCCAATAGCTTAAGATCTCAGACTAGCGAAGTAAATCAAGATTAGAGTTTAAATTGCAAATATTATTTTCTTTATTTTAGGAACTGATACAAAATTTGAAATTGTGTTGTAAAAGCGAATCAGATGTTGAGAATATTTTTAAGTAGTTATCAAATTTAGAATTCTTCAGCTATTATTATTCTTAAAATAAATTTCAGACATTAATTAGAGAATGTATTCTAAGTGCACAATATACTTTTGTTCAATCCGGCTAATACATATTTAAGCAAGGTATTAAAGTTAATTTAAATTATGAAAATCTTATTTGGCTTAATTTCTTATTTAAACCATTTAAATTTTATATTACAGGTGAGATTTCTGATTTGTTCTACATATTAATTGATGGCATAGTTCAAAAACAGATTGTGACTTATAAAAATTCTGCACAAACTAAATAAAACTTGGTGGCTTCAAAAAATATAAATTATAGAAGGAAAATGAAATCATAGTTCAATGAAGATGAAAAATCTGTTATTATCTTAAAAATATACTATCAAGGAGATAGTTTTGGAGAGTTTCAAACGTAGGGCAAAGAAGTACATATTTTATTAATATTATTAAAGACTTGACAAAAATGATGAAAATATTTAATTAAAAATTAAAAAATTTTTAGTTGAGGAAATATTCTATCTTATGTCTTACTGATTGTCATCTCTTAGCTATAAACAAAGAGACATATTTTAATTTTTTTGCATATCAAGAAAAAAAAAGATTATTAAGTGTTCTAGAAGAGCTCAAAAAAATTCCTTACTTTAATAACTGGACACTTACTGAAATCAAAAGATTGTATAATCGCATGGAAATCAAAACTTTTTCCATAAACTCAGTCGTTTTTCAAGAAGGTGACCCCTCAAACTATTTTTATATAGTCAAATAAGGAGACTTTATGGTAAATATTTTTCATCTCTTAAAATTAAATAAAAATTATACTGAAATTATCTTCTTTTCTAAAATAGTTTACTTCAAAATTATAAACATTTTTTTTATATTTAAATTTTCATATTCCATTTTTTGATTAATTTTACTTTAAATAACTAGCTTGAATTTTGAAAAATAAATCTATTCGATAATTTTTTCTATATTTTTTTTGTAATAGTTAAAGTAATTACTGGATAAAAATTAAATAATTTTTTATTAAAAGAAAATTAAAAATTTTTTTTAAATATTTTAATTTTTAATAGTACTAAAAGTCCTTATACAAAAATAATGTATTGGAAGATGAAAGAGAATAAGGTCTAATGTTTTAAAATGTAAAATACCTTAACAATAAGTCTAAAAAATTAACTAATGTATAAGAAAATTTTGAAATGAATTTATTTTAGTTATTTTATTTTTTATATGAATAGATTTTGTTGCTGAGTAAAATGTAAACAATTGGCGAAACTGAAATTTTAGAAGGCAGGAAAGGAATGCAATTCTCTCTTGTTTGTAATACTTCGATTGGATAGCTTTATCAACTGAAGAAGTAAGATTTTATAGATTATGTTCTATCAGAGAATTAAAATATATAAGAAGTGAAAGCTAAAGTATAGCTTTAAAAAGAGGAGATGGAAAAAATAATGTCAAATATAAACCAAAGCTACAATGCCTATAAAGACTTTATTTTCAAGGATGAAACTATAGAAGAGAATTTGAGGAGAGAGGATCAATATAAATCGTTATCAGTAAGCTCAAATAAATGGAAGACCATTGCTGATGAATAAAATTTAAATTAATCAGGCTTAACTCTAGACAAGAAATCTTCAACTTTCAAAGACTACTTTAAAATGAATTTATAAAACACAGATTCTAACCTAATATAGACACCTCGAGAAGAGTCGCAGCAAAAGCTAAATGGAAGATCAAATTTAATTATGGAAACTCCTAAAAAAGCTTATAGTGCATAGTAATCTCGAGTATTCGATAACTCACATATATCTTCTCATTAATCTTTAGTTGAACAATTAAATGAGCAGGATTCATAACTCATTGGAAATCACATCAATGAGAAATAAATTTCTAAATTAACCCCAAAATTTTCTCAATCTCACACTAATACTCCAAAAGCTTCTAACTTTCAGCACAATTACTACATAAGTTCTCCTTAAAGCTAAAATTATGTTAAGTAACCAACAGATTTTAAAGCATTTTTGCCTAGTTATGTAAAAAATATTGGCATAAGCAGTGTCAAAAACTCAATTTTTAATTAACATAGCTCAATAAACACTTAAAAAAATGATAATAATCATAAAAATATCACATTTACTTCTTTGATTAATGAATCAAAAAATTATCAAATAAATGCTTTAATGTTGGATCAGGCCAATGAAAATGACAAGAAAGATAAAGAATAAAATAAGTATTTTCATCAAGATTATGCTATAAACTATAAATTTCACTCCCATAATAGTAGCTTGGCTGATATAAAAACACTAGACCAAGAAATGTAACCAATAAAAGTAGAAAAGCGTAAGAGTGAAAGAATAAGTTTGACTCATCAATAAATAAAGAGTCGACATTAAATGCAGCAATCATAAAGTTAAAAATAATTCTAATAAAATAATATGCAGCAAAATCATTAATAGAAGGAAACTGATTAAGAATAAAAAAATTAGGAGAATATTTAATAGTCATAAATGAAAAGAGCACAGTCAGCCTACAACAAAAAGGCAAAGATAACTAAGGTAGAAAACAGTTTACATAATAGACTTAGATTTAAATTTTACTAAAGAATCAAAGACTAAGAAAGAAATCCAGAAGGTATGAAGATGCATATCTTTGAAGATGTTATTTAAAAATTGCCTTACAAAAAAACACCACATCTTAAGCTGAGACCTCATGAGATAATGAACAAATCAAGTGATGCTTTTGATAAAACCAAGTTCATAAAATAAGAAATTTAATATTAAAAAACTCAGTCAATGCAAGAATTGAATAATTTTTTACATTATCCCATTTCAGTTAGGACTTAAGCTACTCTTAAAACTCAATAACCATCTACTAAGCTTACTACAACAGATACATTTAATTAATTTTAAAATGTTCCATAATAAAATAAATATAAAAGAAAGAGACCAGTTTCAATGTGTAATTTAAGAAAGCTAAATTTTGAAATCTAGGAACAAGTTCCTTCCTATGTAGATAGGCTCTACTCAACCAAAGAATAGCACAATAAATCCCAAAGCATTTCAATTAATGCCCTTTTATAAACTCAACATAACAGCAAATTGATAAATAACTTCACTTCTAATTAAGGAAGCACCTAAAATAAATTTATAAACAATATGTAATAAGTCGAAAATAATAACACAGAAAACCAGTAATAAAGTCCTCAAAAAGCATAAACTCAATCAAATGAATATGTCTTTAAGTATTTTATGCCAACTAGCAAAAGAACTCATATAAATGACGAGGGATATAAATTCTCTTAGGTTTAAAATAAAGAAAAGTAGAAGAGTGTTGCTTAAATTAATACTTCCATTCCAGAAAAAGAAGGTCTTTTCATATCCTAAACTAAAAGCTGTAGAAATTTAGACTTCAAACCATGTTTAATAGAAGAATATAGCAAAACATCAAAATAAAGTTATTAAAATTAGAAATATACAATTAATTAATTCTTTTAAAAAGGTTTGAAGCACAATTTAGCTATACATTAGCTCCAATCTAAACTAGAAGCATAAATCAAGCACCCACTTCAAAGTACAGCAAAATCATTCCCTTGGTAAACGAATCTGGCTTCTCATAAAAAGCTAGACTCTTCTGTTATAAAACCTTTTAACTAGACTTTCCATAATATACAATGAATTATGTTTGTTTGTTTGAGATATAATTCGAAATACCTACCATCTATTTACATTATTTTATGTTACATTAAGAAATATTTCTTTCACATCTATCTATCTTTAACTTAGTTGAATATATTCGTTTATTTTAAAACTAAGTAATTCTTTTTGTAGATTTAACATAATTAAGATAAATAAATCTGTTTTTATTAAGATATACAAATAAATATTTATATTAAATTAATTTAGAGGCAAAAATATATAAAATAATACTAAGCAATCAAACAAGCAAGCAAGCAACTAAGAGAGTGTTTTAATAATATTAAATAATTAATTTCAATATCACATTAATTAGTAGATTTATTAAACAAAAACTTAACCAAAAATGTCAGGCAGAGATAGAAAGTTTAACAATAACAAGAGAAAATAAAACTTCAATGATATGAAGAAGAAGAAATAGAAATAAGTCAAAGAAGATTAATACGATGAAGAAGAAGAAGAAGTAGAAGCTCAAGATTTATTACAAGACTAAGACGAATCTGACAATGATGTTGATTTAAAAAAAGCAACCACTTCTTCTAAGGCTGAAGAAAAAGATGAAGCTGAAAAAGAAAGTGAATAAAAAGCCACTGAAGCAGAAGAAGATAATGAAGATTTCTTAACAAAGGATGATGTATAAGATAAACGTAAAGTCTACGTAATTCTTGAAAAGTGTCCTTTAGAAACAGCCAAGTTAGGAAAAGATTTTGTTTTATTGAATTCTGATGAACACAAGGGTTATATTTCTAAGAAATTGAAGAAAGATTTCTCAACATACAGACCCGATATTGTTCATCACTCTTTGCTTTCTTTGATGGACTCTCCTTTAAATAAAGCTGGCTTATTGCAAGTTTACATTCACACTGAAAATAATGTTTTAATATATATTTCTCCTAACACTAAAATCCCAAGAACTTATAAGAGATTTGCAGCTCTTTTCGCATAATTGCTCACAAAATTGAAGGTTAGAGCTGTATAAAGCAGTGAAACTTTACTTAAAATCGTTAAAAATCCTGTTACTCAACATCTCCCTTCAGATGCCATGAAAATTGGTATGTCTACCTAAGCCCGTTTAGTAAGTTTTAAGGAATACATCGAAAAGTTACCTAAAAACAAGCCCGTAGTTTATATTGTTGGTGGTGTTAGCAAAGGTAACCCTGCTATGGAAGTTGACTATGCTGATGAGCACATCTGTATTTCAAAATACGGTCTTTCAGCCGGTTACTGCATATCCAGAATGATGAACTGCTATGAATAGATGTGGAATATCAATTGAAATTAATTAGCATTATAAATTTTAACTTTTCTATGCACTTTGAGCAATAACAAAATTAATAAATAAATAAGTAATTTGGATATAAAATAAGTAGATAAAAAATTCAATTAGTTAAATTAAAATAATTAACCAATGAATGAATGAATATTTTAGTGGTATTATATTATAAATATTTGTCTAATAGCATGTTTTTTGTATATGTAAATTATGTGTATAATAAATACTTCTTTCTTAAATTACCTTTTAATCATCTTAATTATCACTCCAACTTTCCTATTTGACTGACTATTGATTTAGAATAATTCTTTCTAAACTGTCTAAATAATTAAAATTAATTAATATTCTTTTCTTCTACTTATTCTCTATAAATCCAAAAAAATTTACTTTCAATAAGATATTTCAGAAATCACTTAGTAAAAGACTTAAAATAAAACAAAATATTTCTATTCTAGCTAATACATAAATGGGTAAGAATAACAAGCAAGTTCCCTAAAACTAATCCTAAAAGGTTGCTTAAAAGCTCAGTTAGCCAATATGTAAATTATTTGTTTACTCTAAAATATATTAATTTTTTTTTAGAAAAGGATAAGCATAATAATGCCTCTTCAAGTAATAACAATAAAAACAACAATAGTACATTCAAGAGCAACTAAAATGTGAAAAGCAAACCAAACACCATACAAAATAAGACAGATAACTAAATCAATACTAAACAAGCTAATAAAAACATTGATGATTTATTTAGTAAACTTTAAAAGTCTTAAAAAGAAAAAAAAATACAAGATGAAAAAGAAAAAATAAAAATAGAAAAGCTAAAATAAGGTATAATTTTTATATATCTATGGCAATTAAATTAAATATGGTATGTTAATTATATAAAATAGCCAGAAAAAAGATCAGGTAAGAAGAACAAAAATATAAAACTGACGAAAATGGTATAAGATACACAGAAGAAGGTTATAGAATCTATACAATTGAAGAATTAAATATAGGCAAAGGTAAATTATTTTTGCTATAATTAATATATTAAAAATCAAAATTATTGTTTGATATTTAAAAGGAGGTAATACCGATCAATGTCCTTTTGACTGTGAATGTTGCTTTTGAATAAATTAATAAATATCTCTTAAATAAAATATTATATTTATTTATTTATCTTATTATTGTAAACATAAAATATATTCTTTGTAAATATAAAAATCAAAAAAATCTAAAATTATTTTACAGGCTAAGAAAAATAAATCAATCATTTTTATAAGAAATTTACTAAAAGTTATGTAGAAATTGTTAAATCTTATTTATGATTTCCATATTTAATTAAACAAATTTAGTAAATTAATAATTAGCTTATTCAAAAAATATCTGAATAATTTCAAATAATTTTTGAATCCAATTAAATAATATTTAAACCATTTTCAATTAATTTAAAAAATTAACATTGTTAAAATCAATCAATAATTCAATTTCATTTTAAATAAAATTAAAAAATAAAAATGTCATTTTAAATTAAAACTTTATTTATTCTTCAGCACCAATTTAGTTCTTACTTTTTTAATATTGAAGAAAACATAAAAAAAATAACCAAAATTATTTAAAATTCATTAGAAATTGCAAAATTATTTTGAGTTTAATTATTAATTAAATATTAAAAATTAATTCTTGATAAGTTTGATAGAATTATTTAATAGAAAATAATTTATAAAAAAAAAAATCAATTAATATTAGTTAGTTATTCATATTGCTAAAAACTCTTCATATTATTGAAGAAACTTTTTGTTTTTCTTTTTAAATTAAAATTAAAGTAAAGGAAATAAAAAAATAAATTTGAAATGAAATGAATTTTTTGATAATTTGATTTTATTGATAGATTACAAAATATGGAAAGTTTATAATATAAATAAATATTTATTTATTTAGTAAGTAATTAATTAATTATGCTTATAATTTGTGCTACATTAAAATTATTTTCAATTGAAGCCAAAAACATAACTTTTAAAAATTATATATATAAAAGAAAGGAGGATTTAAACTCTAATTAAAGAGCTATCTTGTTTATTTTTAATTTTTTTATATACTATTTTCAAAGGTTTCTAGGTTCTTCAAAAGTCATTCCAAGTCTCTTAAACGTTTTTTTAAGTAGATTTTTAACTTATTTAATATCATTTGCATTTTTAAAGTCATAGTTGTTCATTACATCATTTGAAATAACTTCCTTCATTATATCATCGTAGTCTGTTCTAATTTAGTTGATTCTAACCACAACCTAATTTTTTATTTATAATTATATAAAATTTATTATAAATTATATTTATTTTTGATTACTTGCTATTAGATTTGATCAACATCTGTTTATACACGCATTCTTTTTTTATTTAAATCATCAGCATCTTTCTCTAATTGTCTTATCTAAAGACCTAATTTTTTATATTCTTCTAAATCTGCATCACTCAAGATGTGATCTAAATCTTCTTCTAAATTCTTCTTTTACTAAATTCTTTTTGTGATTTCCATTTCTACGTTCCTTAAATCTTCAGTTTTTCTATGAAAAATAAATTAGGATAATTACAAACTCATTGAATTAATTTTAAATACAAATCTCCATCTTATTTTAATCTGATGCACTGTTCTAATTTAGCTACAAGCTCTTTTCTTCTTTCTTTTTCAGTTTCGATTGCTCTGAGTTTACATTAAAAAAGTAAATATAAAATTTGTTTAAAACTTTATTAATTTACAGTAAGATATTAGAAAATGTGTTAATTGTCTCGTAAGTCTTATTAAGTCCTTATCTCAAAGCTACGTCTTCTTCCACCAATGGCTTTAAGAATAATATATTCTCTTTGAATTTTTTTAACAAATCCCTAATATCTAAATGATTTATTCCATTAAGGTTAGCTTAATTCATAAAGAGTTCTATGGCTCTCTGCATGTTGAGCCTCTTAACTAAATTATCTGATAAATCAGCATAGGCTTTTGCTTCTTCACTTTACTTTTTAATCAACTCTGAGAAAAGTTGATCATTCTAATAATTAAATAGAATCAATTAAATTTAAAAATATTTCAAAAGATTAAACTTACTTCTTTAAAGAGTCTATCTATATTCATTTATATAGGTTCTTCTAAGCTCTCTTATTGTAATAAATTATCTTTTACTTTAGCTAAATTTTCTAATTACTCAACAAAATCAATGTAATATTGTATTTTTATGCTTGAATCTGTATTATCATCAATTCCAAACACTTCAGCCAAATCTTGTAACCTTTCTCCTCTTTTTAATATTTAAATTTAATTTAAAATTTTGTTTTTTAAAATTATTTCTTCCAAATTACTTCAAACATTTTCAAAACACTAAATAAAAAATTTTCCTGTTTTTTGATAAAGTAAAATTAAAATATTTTTTAAGTTGCTTGATGAATTTTAAATTAAAAATATATTTTAAGAAGCAAAGTTATCCTTAAACATTATAGCATCAGCTACATTTTAATTGTGTAGAAAAAATGTGATTCTAGAAAAGCAAATGAAAAATATAAAAAAGAAAGTAGTTGAATTAAAAAGCTACCTGAGGTGCTTTAAGTCTGTTAAAAAGTTGATTATTCTACTAATGAGATGAATTTTTTCATCTTTTATTTTATTACGCTGCGAGTTCATTTGATTTAATTATTCATGCAGCCTTTATTTCTAGTTAAAAACTGGCTCTGCTCTTCGAACATGATCTTCATCCTTCGTCAGTAGCAGAATTTTTATTTGCTCTTCCATATTATCCAAATTTCTGCAAACTTCTTGAATTTAGTAATTGCATTTTTCAAGCTTTTAAAAATAAATAATTAATAAATTAACATATGTGATTATTTTTTTAATAAAATAAAATAAATACATCAGAATCTAATTATTTTAGCTTAGAAAGTAGAATGTCCACTTCATCTTCGTAGTTTTTATTTGTATTCCAAAAATCAGCGCTTCTGCTCATTTCTAATTTCTATTTTTCATGGGTATTAGAGGAGATGTCTTTAGTTACAGATTGAACAACTTTCTTCATTTTAGAAAATGAATCTGTATTATTTGCTAAATTTTGAATTATGTTATCATCAATAGAACTCCTATTCAAATCTTTTTACAGGTCTTCAGCACTTTACCTTTTCATTAACTCAATTTATTCTATAAATTCGTCCTTTAGCTTTTATCTCTTAACCATAATCAAATGCTTTCTTTTGTTCAAGAGTACAATTATCTCATTCACTTTATATTCATTTAAATAATGATTGTTAAATAAATTTATAATAAATAATTCATAAAGGATCTATCTTAAAAAATAATTTCTAATTGAAAATAATTAAATTACTATTTATATCAAGTTCCCTATTTATTTCTTCTAAGCTAAGACGGACATAATCCTCTTACTCTCTTTCAAATTTTTTTACAAGTAAATTTGGTGAAACCTAGTTGACTTAATTGTTTGATGCATAATTTTTATATCCGTTTATATTTGAATCAAAATAGTTTTCCCTATCACTAATTGAATTAGCTCTTCCGTTGTTTGGCATTTACATATGAGAATCTTCAAAGTTCTTGCGATAACTCAAAGGAAATTTCGATGCTACGCTATTACTATTTAAAGAGTTGTTGATAACATTTATATTGCTAGGATTCAGTGCCTATGAAATTTTAGGAGGAGTTGTTGTTTGCATTTTTCCTAATTACCCAGCTAATTATAATGAACCATTATTTGTTACCTAGTGGCTATTATATCTTAAATCCATTTTAGCTTAAGCTTTTGTATAAAATTATTTCTGTTTTAGAATAAAAGAGAACTTTAACTTAGAATTTATATATTATTTAGTTTTCTACTAACTAATATTTAATCTATTAATGAAATTTTTGTTTGATATTTTCTTTATTTTTAAATTTTTTGTCAGTTTAACTAAAATATTAATCAAAAAAAAAATAGCAAACGAACAGATTAACAAACAAACAAAAATTAATAGTGTTTTCAATTAGAATTGGGTATTGTTTATAAACAAGCAAGCAATCAATCAATCAATTCAAAATTCTAAACAACTATCTAAGAATCTTAATAAATCTAATTACTGTATCTTATTAATTTCAAACCAAGCATTTTATTTTTCAAAAATTCAATAACTATTATTACTTGCATACATACCTGCATGCTAGCTTGATTCTATTTATTTTAAATCAAACAAGCTATCGATAAATCAAAATTTATTAATGAATTCAAATTATTAGATTTTTGAATACACTTCAATAAAAAAATATTGTAATTCTTTATTTATTTAAAAAAATATCTATCAAACAAAATATATTCAATCTGTACAATTTCAATTTTTATAAAATTAGGAAAACAAATTAATTTAAATTAGAATTATTTTAAAAATAAAATTAAAATTTAAAATTATTAGCAAATTTAATTTTGAAATAGCTTGAATAAATTTATTTAAGAAAACTAGTATTGATTTTTAAAGGGAGATGGTATCTTATATTTTATTTTAATGAAGAAATTTAGAGATTTTTACTATAGGTAAATGTGGTATTTTGTATTTCGGATGTAAATTTAAGAGCTTCACCACCCTTTTTTTTCTAGGAATAGTAAAATAAATGATAAGAAAATAATTAGTAAAAATGATAATAAAAAATCCACTTTATTATTGATTAAATAGGTATCTTGCAATAAATTAAGTCTTAATTTTTTTAAATAAATAAACAATAATAAAATGATAAAAATTATTTATATCAACAATTTCATTCTTACTTATTTATAAAAAAATTTAAAAAGTAAATTTAAAAAATAAAATTTATTTAGAAACCATTTTTAATTTGTTTTTTTATTAAATTTTAGAAATAAAAAATAACTAATTTGAAAGATTCAATGAGATTAAATATAGGTTTGAAAAATAATAAATGGATGAATAATAAATATTGTATGATACTTACTTACTTTTTTTATTTAATAATTTTAAATTAGACCTCTAAAAACGATAGTTCAGACTTCAATTACTTTGTTCTATTGCTTAAACTTTACTTTTAAAATTATTTTTTAACTCTTTGAAGTCCTAAAAATCCACCATATCAGAATTCAAAAGATTTACATTAAATATCTTAGGAAAATTTTAATAAGATATAGAAAAAAAGACACTTTAAACTTCAAAAATTTATAAGATTGATATCAGATTGAACTAATAGCAACACAGACTAATAGACACTTCATGATAATTAGAATATTGAAATACTAGATTTTGATTGGTAAATTAATTATATAAATAAATAAAATAAACTAAAATCCAAAATACTTTTTAAAAAATGGAGAATATAAAAATTTAAAAGATTTTGTGGATAGACCAGGATGTTGAATCTGTGGAAAATACAAACTATCTAAACAAAATAAAATCTTTGGGCTTATCTGATGTTGAATTACAATGTTATAATAGCGTTGATGCTGCTATGAACTACTTGAAGAAATTACATTTTGACCATGTGAGACTTATTTGCTCTGGAAGACTCATGGAAAATCTGCTATAAGAAATGACAAAGAACAAACTCCAAGAACAAAATAACTTGACCTATACGCTATTTGTATTTAGTATGAACTCGTAACATTATAAGGATATTTATGCTAAGCTTCCTGAAGATCAGAGGATCTTTTGCACTAATAATTGTAGAGTTGGAAAAATAACTTGTATGATGTTCTCTGATAACTATGAAGATATGTTGAACTATATAAAAGCCGGTAATTACATCACATTTAATTTGAGATAAATGTCTTAGTATAAGCAATAGTTAATTTAAGTTGGTGAATCTTCTGGTTTGTTTGAATATAGCAATGATGTGTAGATTTTACCTGCCATTGATTTGACAGGGAAAAGCAATAAAAAGCTAAGTAATAGCAATGTTGATTTTATTGGTTATCAAAATAATATTTACACTTAGGTTCCTAAATTAGCTTATTTAATTAGACTCCCTTCTAAGAAATATCAATTAGATAACTTGAGCAAGTTATTAACTTGTGTTTTCAAGGTTGGAGAAGACTTTGATCTCACAGAAAATGAGTTATTACAGATTTTGAGATATTTTTGGATTTCTTCAACTTGCTGGAAAAACGAGTAAGTTGATAAGTATTTGTTGAGACTTTGGACTGAAGAGAGCAAATTCTATAAGATATTTAATGAAGTTCTAATCTCAGCTAACGAAAAAGCTATGAGCTACTTCCGCCATTTAGTCTATAGATATTTCCAAATCTTCTAATCTAAAAAATATCCTTATTACATAGGTACTGTTTACAGAGGTATTTAAGTAACTAATGAATAATTATAATAACTTCTTTAATTTGTGGGAGAAACGATTTACTTTACTACTTTCTTGTCAACCTCTAAAAGCAGAGATAGAGCTTTTAAGGGTAATGTGCTTTTTGAGATAGAAACCATTTCAAAAGACACTATGGATAAGCTAATTTTCAACTAAAATGTGGATATTTCTTCCTTTTCAATGTATCCTCAAGAACAAGAAGTTTTATTTTTACCTCTTGATGTATTTACAGTAAAATCCCATAGAATAGAAGGAAATCTAAATATTTTTAATCTTGTTGAAAACTCTGGTCTTCCATTTTAGCTCACTGCTTACTATCTAGGAAAATGATTTTAAGAAAAATACAAATTATTTTTTAATTATTCTCAAAAATAATTGTTTTTAAATTATGTTTTTTCATTCATCAATCATAAGATTTGTTTTCTTGAATTAGCAGAAATTGATTTTTTATTAAAATAATTTAAAATAGCAATGTGAATTTTGATATCATACAAAATAAAATAAAATTGAGAAGTAAAAACTATCCTAATTAATTGCATCATATAAGAGAGAAAAAAAATTGAAGATGAAAATCTTATTCAATTAAAAAAGATTCACAAGTTGTTAAAATATTTTTAATTCTTTATTTTTTATTTAATTTTTTTATATTTTTTTTAAAGCTAAAATACAAAAATGATAAAATACTGAAAAAAATTTAAACAAAATCTAATCAAAATTTATAAATGCAAATTATCAATTTTACTGTTTTAATAATCTAATAAGTGCAGTAAAAATTTTTCTTATAATAATTATTTTGGTCTAATAAGCTTATTTTAAATGCAAAAATTAATTTAAAAAAAGTAGCTTTTGAATTGTTGCATTAAAGATTAATTTGAAATATCTTAATTTAATTTGTGTTGATTTCAAATTTATATTGTAAAAAATCAATTGAAAAAAATCCTAAATAGTTGAATTAACAATAATATATTAAGATGTTGGATTATTTATAAATAATAAAATATTAGATTGATTATTCTCAAGATTTATCAAAAAATTTTTTATGATCAAACAAAAAGTGTTTTTTTAATTTGACTTAAATAAGTTACTCATTTTGAAAAGGCTTGATTACAAATTATTTTTAGGATTTTTTAGGACAAATTTATTATTTAATAAAGTGTTTAAGTAATATTTTAATTGTGTTTTATTAATTTATTATTTTAATAGGTGAAAATTTAATCTTTTTGAATTTATTCTATTAAAATACATGAAAAGTTAGAAGAATTTGTTTCAAAAAAAATTAAAACTATTTAATAGGTACAAAAAAGTAATAAATATCTTTTAAATTAAAAATAAAAATGTTGAAGATTTAAAAAATTTTTTAAATCAATGAATAAGTATTACAAATAAAAGAATTCCTTCATAATTAATTAGTAAATATGAAAATTTAAAAAAATATAAAAGAATAAAATGTAAATAATGTTACAAGTATTTATAAGAATAAATCGCTTTTTATTTAAATTAGATAAAATTCTAACTAAAGTGATCTATTAAAATTAGCAAAAACTAAGGATTAGATAATTTAAATTTAAAATTGATTTTAATAAGATATTAAAAATAGAATTATGTTTATCCTTATTTACAAGAGCAATGATAATTGTTATATATAAAAGAAAAAATTAATTGATATTTAGTTTGGTTATAAAGAAATCAATAAAATAAAGAAGAAAATTATTATAAAAGCTTAAATTTCTAATGAATTATTAAAATAAATATTTGAATTTATCATCTTGTACAAACTAATATAACAAATTAATGAAAGATATCAATCAATTCTTATCTGAAAAATAATAAAATAATAAAATAATTCAATTTATTAAGTCTATTCATGAAAATTTCAATTTGTTCTTATGTGCTTCTGCCAAGCCAAAATGAAATTGAGGATATTTATCATAAATTTAATAATGATACGTATAAAACGATCATATGTAAAATAGCTATGGTGTCATAACTCAGTAATTAAAAATTTTATTAGATTTTATCAAAATTAAGGAAATTTTCTTATCAATTAGACCTTTGTTGCCTAATATGTTATAAGATAGATGATTCGGATTAGGGATAAGGTAAAATTTACAATTTTTATAATTTAATTTTAAACCTTTTGCTCTAGATATTTTCATGGTATTCTTTAAATTCATAAAAATACATAATATAGACAAAATGATAAAATATGTATAATCGTAAATAAGATAGAATCATTTGATTGAATCTAATTGATAGCTCATTTTAAAACAGTTAAATAGTGGGGGTTCTTTTATAACTTGACTTCAAGTTCAGTTTCAAAGAATCAAGGAAGGATTCATTGAAAAATAAATAAATGCACCAAATACTCTAAAATATAACAATAATTTCTTAACAAAATACCAAACAAATATTATAATCAATAAGAAGTATCGATAAATCAGCTCTACCTACTATATTCTTTTACTAAGTATACTTACAAATAATTTGGGTTTCAAAGAAAGCTTATTTATTTATTTAATTGATAAATTTATGAGCTAAAAATATTTTCATCAAACATTTTTAATGAATGCTTGGATAAATTTTACCATTTTAAAAATAATTGAGCTTAAACGCTTCGATTATCTTTTTTTTACAGAAATTTGTGAGAATATTTTAAATTATTTATTATTTTTATCAGTAATATTTTTTTTCTTAAAGCCTACTTTAAGAATATTCATTTTCTCTGAGATTTCTATTTATTGCATGCTGCTTATCTTTTTGTTATTGAATTTATTTTTTGATCAAAAAATTTATTGTCAGATTTATAATAAATTTAATTTACTCAAAATAGAATGTTTTCAGTAATCCTAAATTTATTTGGTCTATTACTGGTATTATTAAGATTAATACTTAAAGAACCTCTACATTAAAAACAGAATAGAGAGATGATTATTTATTTATTTATTTCTTTGTTTGTCTGCTTGCTTATTTATACACTGCTCATATATTAATTAAATTTATAATTTTTTATTATAAATCAAATCAAAAATAAATAAATATCTATTTATTAATATATTATAAATATTTACTTCAAATGTAAAAGAGCTGCTTTTTATTTTTACAATAACTTTAGAAAGCATTACAGAAAAAATACTTACCACAGAATAATGCTGCAATTAATTATTTTATGTAGTATTCAGGAAGTAACTGGAATGACTAAGGTGATGTCGATGCCTGTTTAAGGTAGCCTACAATGAATTTTGTCGAGGTAGTTGCTGGTTAGGTCGTTAAGCTTTTTAGGGGTCTTTGTTTGCCTTCTGCATGCGATGCTTAATTTTTAAATGACAACAAGGATTTTATTTTCACAAAATCATAAACGTTTCATTTGCCTTAAGGGATTAAACCCTCTGATATAGAATTTTAACAATATCCTTCTGCTCCTTTCGATTATTCTTAAGCTTCTTTTATAATTATGACTTGCTTCTTTTCACTATTTATTTTTTGCTTTATAGGTGCTTATGTAATTTCTAAGACTAAAAATAGAGCTACCTCATAGTTAACAAAATCTCAAGTATCTAACACTACATCTGTAGCTTCAGTAATTGTTTAAAGAAATTAGATTGAAAGACCTCTTATTGATAAATCTGGTCCAACAGAAAGAACTGAAACAGCTACCGATCTTGAAGCACTGAGAGATTTGAAGTAATTTGAGAAGAAAAAACCTTTTATAATTAAGGTTATAGAATGCTGGAATTTAAAAGATAATTTGGATAAAATTCTCACACTAAATGTAAGCAACAAACAATTAATGGCTTTCAATTGTCTCCGTGTCATAAGCTTCTGTTAAGTTATTCTTGGCCATGGATTTTTTGTAAATACTTAATACTTTTCAAATTTCTAAGACTTTTAAATCATCTAAAGCTAGCCTTTCCTCTTATTTGTTTTCGGATGCTTGTACTCAGTTGATGTCTTTTTCTTCCTTGGAGGCTTTTTTGTAGCCTATGTCTCAGCTGATCCTAAATTCATGACTTTCTTTTCTTTAAAAAAGCCAGTTAAAGCTTTTATGGCCTATTTCATGGCTATTGTTAATCGTTTATTCAGAATTTCGCCTTCATATTACATAGTTTTATTTATTGTTTGGAAATACACAGACTTTTTAGCATCTTCTCCCACTTGGCCCCAATATGAAATATTCTCATCAGATTGCGATTCTATATGGTGGTAGAAAGTATTATATATTGATAACTTTACTACTGATTCAACAAAATGTTTCGTATGGTCATGGTATCTTGCCTGTGACATTTAAATGTTTGTAGGTTCTCTCTTATTAATAATAATCTATGCTAATCATAGAATTGTTGGAAAAATTTCTATAATCCTAGCCTGTATAATAAGTGTGATATTTGGTATACTCCTTGCTGATAAGCACAACTATCATATAACTATTTCATAGCTAACTGTTCCTACAGCTAATTATTACACAAAACCCTATTTTAGATGCCCTCCTTACTTAGTTGGCCTTTACCTAGGTATCCTCTATAAAGAATTTACTTCTTTGAAAGGGGATGACAAATAATCTAAAACAGGTTTTGCAAAAATATAAAAACTAGTACAAAATAACCAATATATTAAATGGGTTATGTATATCTTAGGTTTGGGCATAATTTCCGTCTTAATATTTGGTCCTCGTTAGCTTTAGGTTCATGGAAAAAATTATTGGAATAAACATGTTTAGCATATTTGGTATGGAGTTTGCAGACCTTTATACGTAATCGGAGTTACTCTCATAATATTGCCAGGAATGTGTGGTTCTAATGATCTAATTATGAGAGTAATGAGTAGTAAAGTCTTCTAACTTTTAGCTAAGCTTACTTATTAAGGCTATTTAGTACATTTTGTAATCCTCACATATACACTTTGGAGCTTTAAAGATCCAATATACCTAAACAATGAAAATATCATCTCACTTTACATTGTTTAATTGCCCATCGTTTTATTTATTTCTTTCTTGTTTGTCCTCTTTTTCGAATAGCCATTCACTAACTTAGCTAATATTCTATTTGCCAGTAGAAAGTAAGCCCAAAGGACACAAAGACCCGAATAAGAAAAGATAAAGAGCAAATAAATCAATTGAACTAATTAAATAAATCCTTAAAAATCTTCATAAAAAATTTATTTTTATAAAAAACGCTTGATTAACATTTCTTAAATAAATTTTTGTTTAAATTGTATAAAGTAAAAAAGTGCATAATAATACTAATTAATAATTTCTTTGCTTTCATATTTTCACAAAGCTCAAATATTTAAATTTTAATTTTTTATGATTAAAGGCGAGGGGTAAATCTATTTTTAAAAAAGACAAAGACTAGTAAATAATAAAGAAAATTTTTTCTTTTTACTTTGATTGATAAAAATTTTAATTTTATTTTCTTTAAAAGTGAAAAAATAATAATTTTAATTTATGAAAGAAAGTAGAACACAAAATACTAAATAATTTTAGCTAAATTGAATTATAATTATTTGATTTTTTTCAATTAAATATTATTATTCAGTTTTTACTTTTTAATCGACTTTTTGGTTATGGAGATTTACTTTTAGATTAATCTCTTTATTAATCTTAAACTCTATAATTATCTGCATTGTGAGGTTAAGGACTCGATTTTCTTTTTACCTGAGGCGAAGCTTTGTATTAAGTACTCTCTACAGCTTTAGGTTCAATTAAAGTAAATCTTTTATTTAATAGATAAATAATTATATTAAGTTAAAATAAAGTGATTACCCTAATGCTTAAATAAAAATTTCATTGAGAATTTCATATCCATATTTCATCCCTTAAGGAAGCATTAATTCCTAAGGAACTTAATATTTAAAAGCTAGTTCTTTTTCTTACACCTTTTTATATCCCTAATTTATTTATGATTTAATAATTTAATAATCAAATCATTGATTTATTCAAAAAAATTTTTAATTACCTCTGGTAACTCGGTATTTGGGTTTTATTTAAGCTATTTATTGAGTTCTTGCTTCATTTAAAATTCTTCATAGTTTATTTTATCAGGGTCTTCAAATATGTTTGTGCTATGGCCTTACTTTCTAGTTATACTTTTCATATATTCAATTAACTTTTCAATAGAGTAGCTTATGGGCAAATGACGAAGATCTTAAGGTGGTTTGGAGCAAAATTTGTAAGAAAATTAAATGATATATTGTTCAAATCCTTTAAAATCTATTTATTGAAAATCATTCTATTTATTTTAAATTAATTAAAATTTTATTTTTAATCAAATTTAATAAATTTTTGATATTTTTACTTTTTTATTTAGGTAATTGGTATTGATAAGCTTAAAAATAGTTTTGTGCTCTTCTTAAGTTATATATTAAATCAATTCATAATCTTTAATCATTTTCCAAACTTCTGCTGATGTTATTGATTAGGCTTTATCCTTTAGTTTATCGAAGGTCATACCTTAATTATCAAATGTCTAAACTAAATTTATAAATTTTGTGGTTTTTTTACTCAAATATTAATTTATCATTTAAATTATTAGCTTTAAAAAATAATAATATTTTAAAAACTGTTAATAAATTCAAATACAGATTAATGATTTAAGCTTTAAATCACTTAATCATTAAAATATTTTGATGTAACTTTTTAGTGTGAATTAAATTTGTGAAAATTTGAATGGAACTTTAATTCGATTATTTAAATTTAAAAAAATTAAAATTTATTTAATAAAATATTTGAAATTTGTTATTTAACTTTAAATAAATACTCTCAAAGTCAAAAATAGTTAGTTTAAATTTAAATTTTACTTTAACTATTTTTTAATTTTTTTATGAGGAAATTATTAAATTTTTACCAATTTTGATTTTGTAAAATTTTTATAATTCTTTGAAAATATTTTAAAGTAAAATAATTAAAATGTTTAAGCTTTAAAGTTAGTTTTAATTAAAATATTTAAATAAAAATATTAATTAATTATACTTGAATTAGAGTATTTCACAAAAAGATGCCTAAAAAGCTTATGGTATTTTTTTAAAAGAGCTTCAGCCATTAATTTATCACGGTCTTCTTCTTAATTTAAATCAAAGTAGTTTAATTAAGGAGATACTTTTTTATTATCTTTTTTCATTTCTTTTTCTCGAGAGCCAAATTCAAATAAATGATTTGCCTCTGTATCTGGTTTGTTTTTGGCTGCAATACCCTGCTCTATACTTCTCACTTCAAGCTACTTTCGAAGTTGTTGTTTTTATTTTTCTATCTATTAATTTTCAACTTCTTTCTTTTTTTAATCACTTTCCTACTTAGCTTTATATTCTTTTTTTTTATCTTCAATAATTTAAAGAATTTTAGGATCTGTTTCTTGTGGCTTTCTCAGCTATGCCAATTTATACTGCTCTTCTTTTGTCAATGTTATTTTTTTCTTTTGATGTTTTAATGCATATTTTTTAAGGTTCTCTGTTACTTTTTTTTCATGGTCATTCATATATTTCATATTTTCTTAATTTTCCCTCTCTTCTTGCTCTTCTCTTTCTTTTTTTTATATTCTTTTAAAATTATAAATATTTAACAAACATGTTTTAAGTTTAAGCTACTTACTCTATGTGACTTTAGTACTCTTTTTTGTATTCTTAAATAATTTCTTTAGGATCTCCGAATTCTTCCAATACATGCATCATACCTTTCCATTTATATTAAAAGAGAGTCTTGTGTTAATTAAGATTATTGTATTTAATTAAATACCTTTGTTTTCTTTTTTCTGGAACTCTTCAATTTGAATGGCTGTGTGAGCAACTAAAGGCTTCATTTTTAAATTTATTGGTCTGCTTTATATGTTAGCTATAGATTTTAAAAGTTAAACAATTTTAGCCCTTTTTTGAGCATTTATTAGTTCTTGTTCTATTTCTGAAGGCTGTAAAACGAGCGATTTAGAAGCTGCTTAGTTATTGTATAGTGGCAATACTTTTTCTTTTGGTTTCTTTTTTTTCTCACTTGCATAATACATTGCAAGATTAATTTTGATGAATTTATTTAAATAGTCTTAAACTGAAGGAATATCATAATATTTATAGAGAAGCTCCATGAAACAATCATGGACAATATTAGAAAAAATAATATTGTTTAAAAGAATTTTTCCAAGAAAATCTATCAGCAAAACGAGTAATTTTGTGTTCAAGTTTTTGTTTCTAGAAATAAAATTTAGAAATTAGAAATCACAAACATTCAACTTTTCAAATATCTTATCAGAAGCTTATATTTGTGAAATATATGGTTCTAGCATTATTCCTACTGGAATCGAAGGTATTTCATTAAAAATATCAATAAAATTTATTAGACAGAATTCTCTCATGCTAAGGTTTTCTAAGCTCGAGATCAAAATTTAAGTGAGTGCCTTAATTTATTTTATTTTAAATAAAAGACTGATCAGATAGAAATAGATTTTATTTATTATACTCTAAATTATTTGGGTTTGTTTATTTTTTATTTCATTGAGAGTAATTAAGAAATTTTTCTTGATAATAATATTTTACTTTGTAAATTTTTGGTGCATAAAAGTTCTTTTCTTTTCCGAGTTTCATTAGCAGCCTAAAGAGTTAACCTTAGCAGTTAATGCCTAATAAGACACTTTAACTTGAATCATAGCATCCTTCAATTAAATGATTTATGACTTGATTAGCCCTTGATTCAGCCTCTTCAATTTTTTTGGGGTGATTTATCCAACATTCTGACAAAAAATTTAAAGCTTCTAATCTTAAATCATTTTATATGTATGGCTGTGCACATTCAAATGCTATTTCTAACCAATCTTCCATTATTCCATTTTGTAAGACCTGTTAAAATTTGAAGAAATTATTTTTTATTAATTAATTATTCCATAAGTGTTTCAAAAATATTAAAAACTATCCTAAAATAATTTTTTACTTCTTATAATATAAACGGATGAGAACTGATAGGCTAAATAATAGTACTAATAAAATGCATGTGGTCTTTAGTGTCAGGTAATTCAACTTTAAGGTAAGTAGTAAATAGTTCAACAAAATTAAATTGCCCATACTAATAGAATATTTTCACTATTTCTTCATTTAGTTTTGGGTGTCTCTTAATACATTTAATACATGTGTAAAGTCCATTGTTATTATCATTGACGAACCAGTCCCAAGCCTTATTTGAAAGGCTTCTTTTATTAAATTCAACCCCAAAGCCAAATATAAAATTGCAAGCAAGCTAAGCAACAGTATCATTTTTACAAACCATTCCTGTTTTAAGTGCCTTTTTTTAGTTTATTTTCTTAATATTTTAAAATATCATAAAAGCAAATACATACATTCATTATGATAAAGATTATTTTCATATCTTTTAAGCAGAGCTCAAAAAAATGAGTGATGTACTCATTGATGTTCTAAAAAAGCAGAATAATAGGATCGTACAGTCCTCTCACTCCTTTAACGATTGCATGAGCTAAATACTTACAATTCTCAGTCATTAGACTTGCAGACTTATATAAAGCAATAAAAAAAGCATTATGGAAAAATATTTTTAATAACTAAATTAAGATTCTTTAATTTTTTATTTAAAATTTAGATTTAAAAAGAGAATATCAACAAAGAAATGTTTAGAAATAGAATTTTTTAAAAACTAAATAATCTTTGGTTTTTTATTTTAAATTTAGTCTTTTCAGCCACAAAAAAAGAAAGCCAAAAATTCTTTCAAAATAAAATTTTAAAAAACAATTTTATTAAGTTTTATAATTTTGATTTAGATTTTTAAGAAACTTTGTAGATTAAGATATTTATTCAATATTTCTCTGCTTATTTTTTCTATGTTAAATTATTTCTTTCTTTCTATCATAAATTAAATTATAGAAGCTAAAAGAGAATATCGAATTATTTTAAAATGGAATTACTTAGTTAGGAGTTAAGTGCAGACTTTTGGACATTAATGCAATCAAGAATTCTAAGGAAGAAGAAGTTTAGAGAGGATCCTTTTCTATCTATACCTTTTTCAAATCAACTGTATCTAATTTCAATATTTATAGTAAGATATAAAGAAAGGTTATTCGTAGGAATAATTTAAGATATCAATCAAATAGTCTATTAAATTATTTTTTGTTAGTTAGTTAGTTACTTTCTTTTTCTTTTTACTTTGAAGGCGATAATTATTATGTTTTCTGTACATAATTCTGATAATCGGGATATTTTTTTATTACATATTGATGTAATGTGTCCAATAAGTGATTTGCGGCCTGGAAATCTCCTGAAGCGATGAGTGTTTTTTGATCTGGATGAACTGAAATATCGTATTTTATAAAATAAGACAAAACAATATTCCAATTGAAGAATTTTGAAGAAGGTTTGTTTCCCTCTTTGAGTGAACCAATGTTTGGAAGTGGCTATTCTGGCAAATTATTTTTTATTTACTGAATCCTATTTATTTATTTTGCTATCTTGGCGAAATATATTGCATTTTCAAAATTAGCAGACATCTCCTTTGGAAGCCTGACTTGTTGATTGCTTAAGCGAGTGGCTTCTTATGGTATGATGTCAAAGCTTACTAAAAATTTAAAGAGTTATTCACTTATTTCCATCTTAAAAGCTGAACAGAATCAGATTTAAAGTAAAAAAATGATTTTAGCTTGTTAATTTGTTATAATCAAGTTAAACGTATCTGAAATTACTTTATATAAATACTCAAAGCTAGTAAAAGCTAAAACAAACAAGAATTATTAAAGATTTAGAGGTTATTAACATTAACTGAGATAATAATTCGCAGAATCCCAATCAATCAATTTTTTAACCAACTATCCTCCCAAAATAATAAATTTTTTGAAAAATAAGCATATGTAAGATTAAATTTTTTTAGAAAATGACATTTTTTTAACAAATAATAAATTAATAACTTTCTATATTTATCAAGAGTTTTTTATAATGAAAATAGCACAAACTTTAACAATTTTTTATTTTAATTAAAAGAAGTATTTTATAAATTAATTAAAATATTTTTATATTATTTTCAAACTGAATATTTAATTTTAACAAACTAGATTTTATTTATCTACAAATGCTAATTTCTAACAAGTAAGCAAATTATTAATTTCTAAGTTAAAAATAAATGCAAATTAGTTAATTTGAAGTATTTTAACTGATAATTAGTGTTATTAAATAATATTATTAATACTAATTAGTGTTATTAAATAATATCATTAATACTAATTAGTGTTTTATAAAATAAAAACTAATTAAAATATTTCTATATTATTTTAGCAATAAATATATATTTATATATTTTAACAAAATAGATTTTATTTAATTACAAATATTAATTTATATTTCTAAGCAAGCGAAAAATAAATGCAAATTAGTTAATTTGATGTATTTTAACTGATAATTAATTAGTGTTATTAAATATGATTAATACTAAATAAATATTTTTATATTACTTTCTTAATACATATTTAATTTTAACAAACTAGATTTTATTTAATTACAAATGTTAATTTATAGAAAGTAAATTATTAATTTGCAAGCTAAAAATTAATTCAATTTAGTGAATTTGATGTATTTTAACTGATAATTAGAGTTATTAAATATTCTCAATATTAATTAATTATACTAGTAATATTTTATTTTTTATTTTGAGATAATATTAATTAATTAATTGATTATTATTTGGGATCTAATTCAGTTATAATTAGATTGTTCTATGCATGGAGAGTAAATATTTTTTCTTTACATTAAATACTAGAAAGCTTATCTTAAACTGATGAAAGATAATGAAAAAGTTACTCGAAATAAGAAAATTAGAATTTGATTGAAAGTAAATGTTATCTACATGAAAAAAAAATTAATTTTCAAAAGCGTGTTTCATTTTTTTTTCTTCAAAAATTAATTAATTGAAAATAAATAAAATACTGATAAATGCTAATTAACATATCAAATTAGTTCTTTCTTAAAAATTTTGCTGTTAAAAATAATATTTAATAATTAACTAATTTTTTTTTCGATCTAAATTTTTATGTTTGACTTTATTTTTTTAAGTCTTGCAATCGAAATACTAACAAACTAACGTTTGCTTGCTTTTTGTATGAAAGATAAATGTTTGCATGAAAAATTCAGTATTAGCTTTCAATCAAGGAGCTAGCAAGCTAGTAAGCAAGCAAGCAACAAAGCAGACAACAAGTTTGATGTTAATAATGTTTTTCGCAAAAAAATAAATAAATAAAGAAAGAAAAATGAAAATGGAATGGAAATACAATAAAATAAATTATATATCTTTTGTTTATAAAATTTATTGATAAAAATCAATAAAAAAATCATCAATAAAATTTAATCATATTAAAAAATTATTAATTTAGTAGAAAACGCGAAACTTTCTTAATAATTATTAATGCTATTACATTCATTTTGATTGACTGATTGATCTTTCTAATTAATAGAAGCAACCAATTTGCTAATTAAAATTTAGTAATAATTAAATGCTATATCAATTAAAGAAAGAGTGTTAACAAAAAATAAGAAAAAGGGAAAAAGAGTCGCTAAATTTTATAAATCTTAAAAGAAAGAATAATAATTAAAAAAACAAAATTAAGACAATAAAGCTTGTCAATAAATATATATTATATTTATATATACAAAGACACTCAGTCAAGTAATTAAATAGTCTATTATTCTCTGTTTTCATAGAAGAGTAAGAAAGAGCAGGCAAGCAGCATTTTTTAGCAGTTAAACTTCATATCTCAATAACAAATAAGAGCAGAAAGATGTACTCAATTCAATTCATGGAAGAAATGTAATTGTTTATTCGCTTTTCTAATTAAATTCTCCAAACCATATTTTAAATTTTCTTAACTCTAGTTAACAAACAGTTCTCCTCCTACTTTACTTAATAAAAAAGCAAACATAAATCCAAAAAAAATAAAGCAAAAAGCGTTTAAATAAATGGGCCAAAAAGCTCAATTCTTCAATTAAAATGCTAATTTCAATAAAATTAAGTAGCAACCCATATTAAACTAATTTTATTATATAGAGAAAAGGAAAACTTCTCAAACAGCGGCCAAATTAGTCCTATTTCTATGAATTTCAACGGAGTTGCGCAAAAAAATTTTTCTTATTACAATAAGGACAACATAGATTTAAATAGGTTCTTCGAAAAAATGACCTTTTAGGACTTGTACAATGACTTCGCTGAGGAAAATACACCTTAACACTCAGGCAGTCTACAATCTTGTTCCAGCTCCAACTAACCTCAACAAATAAGCTAGAATTGTAATACTCCTAACAACTAGATCACTTAAACTTCTTGTTAAATGCCCCTTTAAGAGTTCACAAATAACTACTAAAATATGAATTATCGCTAAAAAATTTAATTATAAAGCTAATCATCCTTCTGCTCTTCAGCTTCTACTAACTCCTCTTAAATATCCTCTTTTGGGTCTGCAGCAGCATATTAAGCAAACCCTTTTAGTAATATTACCAACATCAAAGGCAATAATTGCACTGTGATTACTACTTAAGGAAACACTCCATCTCATTTCAGCCATCAACACGCTGCAAACCAACAACTTCTACAAAACATTCCCTTTAATAAGCAAACTTCATTTAAAGTGGAGAAAAAATAGACCAAATAGCTTAGATTGAAAAATTCACTTGATGAATTTTTTGCTCGTCCACTTGATTGCAAATTCTAGTAGAAAATAATGTATTAAAATACATGCCCATATATTATCCCTATGAGTGTAAATTCTATGTAAAATTATAGTGATCAATTCTGCAACAACAACAATAGCAATAAAAACAACGGCAACAATACTTACGATCTTTTCTCTAATTCAACTAACAGCAGCAGCTGTTTTTCATTATTTATGAGCCAGTAAAACAGCCAAAGCTTCTCAGAAAGTGAAACAAACTCAGAATTCTCTGTTTATTGAAAAAACTCTTGTAAATAAACAAAAAATAAGAAGTGAGTTAATTAATTTCACAGCTATAAGCAAATAAACAAACAAAACAACAAACACCCTAATTAATTTAAGTTACAAACGAATTATTTTGAATATCAGATATATCCTAGTCTTATATTCTAGTGTTATTTAATTTTCAACTAACTATTAGCATAACAAAAATTTCTAATTTAATGACAAGTTATTTACCTAATAAAATCTGCGCTCTTAGATATTCCTAATCCAACATGCATCATAATTATCGAATACGAACATTTTTTATCAAATAAAACTGATAGTCATTTATTTTCTTCTTAATTTTTTACAAACAGCAATGCTTTATTTAAAAAGATAGAAAATAAAAACTAATTACAATTAATAATAAATAAACTATTCAGGCAAATGATTGTTTACTTTTCTATTAAATAAATTGCATAGCTAATTTTTGAATTTAAAAAGACCTATTAAAAATAATTAATTAACCAAAGGATTAGATTAAAAATAAATTTGAGCACAAACTATCTATTCTTACTATACTTACTTATTAACAATAAGTAAAGAACTAGATTCTATTTAAATTAGAAGTTAAGAATATGCTAATGGTAACCTAAAATGAGAGAACACAAAATAAATAAATAAATATAAAACTAATTTCAATTTTTTTCCAAATTATAATAAATATATAAATAATTATAAAAAAATATATAATTAAATAAATAAGAAAAATAAGTAATTAAATATAAAGGATGTATAAACTAAAACAATTTGGTAAGCCATTTAAATTTAATAAATCAACCAATCAATCAAACTACCAAAGAACCAACATTTTTACTGTAATAATTAATGATAGAACTATCTATCTATCAACTTGAATAATAAACAAATAAATATCTACTTATCAAAAATAATATTAATTTAACATATTAGAACTATTGAATTTAAGTGTATGTTTTTATATTTTAATTTATTGTATTATCTTTAAATAAATTATTCAATTAACAACCAATCAAATTATTCATTTTGATAATAAATTAAATTTAATCTTAACTGTATTTTTTAAATAAAATTTATTACTAAATTCTATTTAACTTTTGTTTATGAGCTAGCTCTACAAATTTTTAGTTACGATTATTACAATTTTTCTTCAGTTTAGTCTAAATAAATTATTTTTTTAGGCACTCTAATGATTCACTCACTCATTTGATTAAATGATTTGACAATAAAAAAAGACTCTTCATTAAAATAATTATTAATGTCAATATAAATATTTAAATCTTATATTTGGATATTAAATAAATAAAGTATCCCATTCATGCTTAAGCATTAAAGATAACATTTTAAAATACAATTTTAAGATTTTAGCTAAAATAATCTTTTAATAAAATAATAAATACTGTCAATCCTCATAAATTTAAGGTTTTTTATCAATTATTCTTATGAATAATTTCTATATTTTGAGTTCCTTAGCCTAGTATAAAATTTGGTCAGAGGGTAGACCTTAATTAATGAGGATTAATGATATATATTATTCATAAGTTATAGATTGCCTAAATATTAGTAAAAACTATTCAAATATATTTTTTTATAATCAAACTGATTTAATAAATAAATTCAAATAAAACGGAACTGTAACCAATTATTTTTTATAATAAAAAAAATTATTTAAAATTTATATGTTTTTTTTACATGAGAGGATATTATCAGTTATTTTTATCTCAATATTAAAAGCAATCATAGTTTAACCCAAAAATCTTCTAAATTGTAAATTACTAATTTCACATTTCATTAAAAAACAAAGGTTTATTTTTTGATTTTTTAGGTCATTTAAGCAAAATAATATTTTAAGGAAGTATTTTAATTTAATTAAATTAATTCATTTTATTATTTTGAACTTTTTATTAAAATAAACTTGTAATCTTTCTTGTTTAAAGTTTAAATAAATTAACATTTTAAAATTATATTTTTTAAGTAACAAATATTAATTCTCTGTTTAAGTAATAATGTTTCATAAATTCTGATATTTTATCAAAAAAGATTTATTTTATTTAAATTATTTTAAATAATAAAATAAACAATCTATCTTTGAGATACATTAAAGAAAAATATAGAAAAATAGTAAATTATAAAAAATTGAATTTAAAATTTACCAGATGACTGTTTTCTTTAAGTTTTTAATCACCAAGTAAAATAAATATCTATCATTCTTCTTTTTATCATTTTTATATTTTTTTAAATTATGGTCTTGTTTAATAGATTTAATTGAGTTTGTTTCTTTGTGTTTATTTGTATTGAAAGTACTCTTAATTAATTAATTAAGTATTATTTGAAAAAGAATTGAATAATTAAATTTACAAAATTTTATACACACTAAATTGGTTATATATTTTATAAAATTAAAAGCAGCTGCTTTTTAGCAATTTAAAGTAGATTTTTTAGATAGGTGGTTAATTTTGAAATATGAATAGCAGTGCTGGGTTTGCTGATAGTGCATAGGAAGGTGGTTATTTTTATTGTAAATTTGATAAATGTGGAAGAAAATTTGAAAGCGAAACAAGATTAAGAGATCATTAATACAGAATGCATGATAAAGATATTTTATAATAGAATCAAAAGGTATAAGTAGAAATGAATACAAGCAATGGAAGCAATATGTACAAAAAGGATGAGTAGTTAAAGTTACCTACAATAAGCAACAATAATAGCCAAATTTCTTAAAGCAATTAGCGAGTTAATTTAGTTTAAAAAAACGCAGATAAATAGGATCAACTTCACCCTGTAATTAGGTAGGCTTAACAAATAGCCAGCTTAAATAATAGTACAGCTACTATGATTTCTAACAATAATAGTAGTTATTCTCATTAGAAAAAACCTTCAATAAATAGTCAAGTTGTCAAACACAATAATAGTATTTCTGGGGGAATTGTTGTTGGAAGTCGCCCATCATCATCATCTTCTTCTAATTTTAACACTACAAGCTCGTCAACAAACAATATTGAGTTCGGAATCAAAGAGAATAATATAATGAAAAATTCTTATTTGGAAAATAGCTAAGTTTAGCAAAAGAATATTTAAATTTAGAATAAGATGGATCAAAAAATAAATGTAGAAAGTAATTAATCAAACATAAAGCTGAATATTTCTTCTAATGATAAATCATAATATAATAATGGTCGGATAACACCTAATTTAATGAGAAAAAATAATTCTTAATAGTCTCTTTAAGCGTAGGTTAAAGTTCAAAATTCTGTTGATTAATAGTAGGGAGCAGAAATAAAAACCAGTATTCAAGATAAACCTACTAAAAAGGAAGAAAGGATTAAATCGAAAGAGGAGATTTTATTTGGTAAAAAAGGTGTTGAGAGAATTCAAACAATTTTAAAAGACTAAAAGGAGATCAATAGCAAAAAATAAATTCAAAAAGTTAGAGATTTAAATGAAAATTTAAACAAGGAATAACTAGAAAATTAAGATGATAGTGAAGATAGTGATGAAAACGATGAAGATATTGCTAATTAAATTAATAGAGAAGATTAGATTCTTAATATGTAATTTTCTGATGATAATGAAGATGATGGTGAAGAGAGTGTTGGCGATAATGATGATGATGAAATATTTGAGGAAGATGAAGAAGAATAAGAAGTAAGTTTAAATGATAGTTAGGACAAAGAGGATTTTAAGAAAATTACAAGTAAAGAATAATAAGAGATTTTAAACAAAAATAATAAAATAACTGATAAAATAATGGCAAGACCTTCTCCTTAGAAGCAACTTAAAGGGAAAGATTCTAACTAATAAGAAAAAAATGATAAACAAGCTAATAAGCTGACAGAAAAGAGAAAAGTTTCATTCTCAAATTAAGAAATTGACCTTGTAAAAGAAAAGGAAATGGAAGAGTTAAGAAAATAAAGTTAAATTGAAACACAAAAGATCTTGACAAGTAAATTTATCTTGGAATACACTGGATATGAAAAAATAGAATAAGTAGATCAGCTTTTCTTGAGGAATAAGAATTTGTTATATTTGAAAGATACTGATTAACTTGATTGGAGTGAGTTTATGGATTTACAATATTTAGTTGTGGCTCACAACCCACTTTTGGAAAACATTGACTGCATCAGCAGTATTCCTAATCACAATTTACTGTAGTTAAATTTAGAATACAACAATATAGAAGATATCACTCCGATATTCCATCACACTTAACTTCAAGTTTTATATTTAAATGGCAATAGAATAACTTCTATTTAGGGAATAAATATATTATCATAACTAAAAACTTTAGCTCTGATGAAAAATAAAATTAAAGGATTTGAAAATACTCTTAATACTCTTTGTATGCTCAGTAATTTAGAAGAGTTAGAATTGGAGTAAAATCCGGTTTCCTCTAGATTTAATTATAAGTACGATCTTTTATGGAAGCTGAAACTCAAAAAACTTGATGGGGAGGAAGTTACTGATATTGATTTAGAGCTTTCTAGAGCATTTCAAAAAGAGTCTTTGAACTACATACAGCAAAAATCTGGACTCCCATTAAGACCTGGTACTGCTAAAGATTGGGGTAGTAGAAGTGCCTTCAATGAAGGTGCAGTTAATAGTAAGAGCAATTACAAAGATAGGTTCAAATAAAAAATCAATGATTTAGTATAAGAGTCAAAAGAAGTATTGAAGAGTATCCCTGAAGACAGAGCTGCCGAATTAGAAATAGAAATAGAATTGGCAAGACAGTAGCAAGAATAACTAGAGTAAGAACTCGAAATTCTCTACTGTGAATAATAAGAATTAAGAGAGAAAAAAGATAAGTTAATTAAATAAAATGATGAATTTTAACAACAAATCCCAGAATTTTAATCACTTTAGTAACAAAAAAATTAACTCTCATAGAAATATCGTTCTTATGTAGACCATCTTAAGAATAATGATAATGATGTAGGAAAATTTATCAAAGAAATATTTAAATTAAATCTGAAGCTAGAAGATCTATAATAAGAAAACTAAGAGTTAGTTATAGAAAACAATATGTTGCAGCAAACTTAATCCAAATTTTTCTAATCTACGAATAGACCTTCCACAGCAAATAAAACAATGAAATAATCAAAAGCAGATTTTCATAAAAGTCTAACTATTTTTAACTAAATAGAATAAACTTTAAAGTAGCAGTAGTAACAACTATCATAACCTCCTAAATATTCTTCCAAAATTTATGATGATGCAGAAGAAGTTTTAAGCTAAGATGAATAAGATGAAGAGTAATAGCAAGAATAAGAAATACCAGACAAAAAATAAAATAAAATCTTAAAAAGTGATATGTTGCAAGATAAAAAAATACAAGAATAAAAACCTGAAAATGATTTACAAGAAGAGGAGGATGAAGATGATTTAAATTACGGAAATTTACACTTAGATAAAGGATTTGAAAGTGAAGAACTTGATGATGACATGAAAGAAATTTAAGAATTATTGAGGAAAAATGATGAAGCACTTAAAGGAGTGAAAAGCGAATTAAAAGATTTTTGATTTAAATTAATTAATTAATTAATAAATTGCTATTTTATATTATTTATTGAAAAATATATATTTATTTTTATAAACAAATTAATTTACTAATTTCAAAAATTAAAAAATTTCAACAATTTATTCAGTTTTTTAAATAATTATTTATAGTTTGCTTAATAAGCACTTTTGGTAGTATCAGCAAAATAATTATTTATAGTTTGCTTAATAAACACTTTTGGTAGTATCAGCAAAATATTTATATCCTTTGCAAGAAATACCATATATATTTATTTTTATAAACAAATTTACTAATTTCAAAAATTAAAAAATTTCAACAATTTATTCAGTTTTTTAAATAATTATTTATAATTTGCTTAATAAACACTTTTGGTAGTATCAGCAAAATAATTATTTATAGTTTGCTTAATAAGCACTTTTGGTAGTATTAGCAAAATATTTATATCCTTTGCAAGATATACCATAAGAATCAGAAAGATTATTAGTAGTGGACATTCAATTTATTAATCAAGATTTAGAAATATATTTTTATAAGAAAATAAAAAATTTTAATTATTTATTCAAATAAATTTATTTTCATATAAACAATAGTTAAATAAATATTTTTATGTATAACTAATTACCTAATCTCTCAATCACCATTAATTTTTCAATAAATAAAAATCTATTTAAAAAAATTCAATTTAATGTAAATCTTTTGAAAGTAAATAAAAAAATTCCTTTAATTTTGAATCTTAAATTTGAGATTTTTTATAATCTAATTTAATATTTATATTAATTTAAGCTACTAATAGTTTTCTCAATAACAAGTATTTATTTATTTTTTTATCTTTTAAAAATATTATTTGCTAATTATAGCTATATTAATATTCATAAAAGTTATTTGAAATTTGATGATTATTTTTAATTTTTTAAATATTCCTTAAAAAAATACTTCATTCCATTTATCAAGTAATAAAGGATGCTTTTTTATATATAAATGCACATATAAATAGTCAAAAATTAAAAATATATCTATGCCGAGAATAATTTTACTATTATTATAAAAGTAGATCGATAAATCATAAAATTTAATATTTGTATTTTCTAAATTTTTATTATAGAATGAGCTCTAATAGAGGGTGAAAAATGTATAGCTCAGCCTTGCCGTCGTAAGAAATAGGAGAAACAACTGGTATCTTGAAATTTTTAGCTTCTTAAGACTAATGGAACTGCTATTCTTCACACTCTCTATAGCATAGAAAAGCTTTGTAAAACTTAGCATAGAAGTTCTTGAAATGGACATCAACTCTTTCTATGTTTTTGGTGAAGCCAATTTTACAGTAGTAATAGTTTTGGTAGTCGTCAAGACGGAATTTTTTTTAAATTGCATCAACAAGATGTTGTCTAAATTGCTTCCAATTTGGATTAGTGACTAGTTAATCATCTTTAAGAGTAAAAATAGAAATATATATCAAATTAATATCATTTGTTCTTTATTTTAAATGATAATAAGTTTAATACCCCTTTTTTAACTTTTCATCGATGATATTATGATAATTGCTAATAGAAAGCAAAAAAGTCTTACCTAAACTACTTTGATTATTAAACATAACTATCTAATTACTTTAAGACAAGTAATTTTAATTAAAAAAGTTATTGGATTTTTCTTCGATTTCTAATTCTTGTTCATCTGAAAGATTTGATTGCTCATGATTGCAAGTAGATGTATTTTCGATGTAGACCACTTCGCTATTATCTTCCGAAAATGTAATCTCTTGTTACTCATCTTCTTGCTTTTGTGATTAACTCTTCTACTAAGAATTATTTTAGGATTAATATTCTTCTTATTGTTATTATTAAGATTGGATATCAGATTATTGTTCTAATTTCTACTTTTTGATAAGATTTTCATAGGCAAAGATATTAGAGCCGTTTATACTATTAGTGGTGTATATTCCGATTTACTACTAAATGTATTTTTTATTCTTTGTTTAACTTAAAATGCTGTCTTCTTAGGAGTTTTCTATTTTTTAAATAACATTTTGCTCCTTAGATTAAATTTGATGTGATTTTGAAGAGCTAAGCTCACTTTCAATGTCTCTCAATTAGATTTTACTAGCGTATAATTGATATGCCATTATGTTTTCACCTTTTAGCCGAAATTGTTCTTTGTGTTTGTATATGTAGACAGTTTTAAGAGATCTACTAAACTGGTCTCGTGGAATCAAATTATTTAAATTTTTTAAAAGCTACTCTCCAGTAACTTCTTTGATATCTTCTGTTTTACTAATAATTATGTCTTGATTCACAGCAAGAGTCATGATGAAATCCTAAATTGAATTTAATGTGATCTATTGATATTTTTTAAAATCTCCTATTTGATTGCGGCAGCATCCCTTTTGTGAGATGTAGCTCTTGAAATTAAGCAGACTATATTTATGATAAGGCTGAGGCTGAACTTTAACTGTTCTCATTAATAATCTTATTTTTTATTTTTGCTTTTCTTTATAAAAAATTATTTAAATTAGCTATCCCAAGTTATGTTTATAAAGGCAAACATGTCAAAATATTTCAATCTAATGTAAAACCAATCAAATTATAATAAAATCCTCTTTAGAGGAGCACTCTAAACGGTAATAATAAATTATTAGCTTCAATCAATTAATTATTGTCTTGCTTCATCCATCACCTTCTTTATTTTTTTAAACTTTATTTCGTATTATAAACATTGTTTAAAAATATTTAACAAATAAATCACATTCATTATTCCCCCTTTTCATTTCCACAAAGTAGATTTTACTCTTATTTTTGTAATAAAAAATATCTGATCTAAAATTATAAGAAAGAGTTTTCCTAATAATTGTTATTAAAAAAAAACGAACCTTCAAGTTGACTTTAATATCTTTTTTAATATAAATTAATGATATTGCAAAATTTTTACTGAAAAAATGGTTAATAAATAAATAACTCGTTATTTTAATCAAATGATATATAAAATTTTTGATTATCTTTTAGACTTACTTACTTATTCATCTAATTTGTAAAAATATTTTTTTTAAAAATCTTTTAAATCCATTTTCATATTTGTAAAAATAGTATGAATTTCAAAAAGAATGGATTTTTTTTGAATTAAAAAAGCTCATTAAAATTAGATGAATAAAATTATTTTCTTTGCTAACTCAAAATCAGATTGTTAAATATTTAAATTTATTTTTAAATAAAAGCTCTTGTTTAGAAAATGATAAAAAAATTGATCTATTTTTATAATAATTTATGTTATAATAAATATTTTTTTTTATTTTTCTAAAGAAAATCAGTTAGAAATAAACATAAAAGAAGTTAAAATTGGGAGTCAAGTTATTAATTTAATTTGAAAGCTTAATAATTAAAAATAATTGATATGATAATATGCATTTTTTTATCTAAGATATTCATTAATACTTGAAGAGCAAATTTATTTATAATTTACAAATTGATTTAATTATTTATTTATTAAATAAATAAATAACACCAAAAAAAAAATGTATTTTGATTTTGTTTGATCAATCATTTATTTATAATAACTCATAAGAAATTATTAAGATAATTTATAAATTAATACATAAGAAGAAGAAATTGAACTGATAAAATGTTGAATTATTTATTATCTCTAAATATATTTTATCTATTGAATAAGTATGCTATAGTTTACTATAGAGATATTCACAAAGTGATTATTATGTTTTTTATTATTTTGCATAAATAAAAAATTATTTTTATTTTATTGCATACGATTCTTTAACTAACATAGGAAATAAATAAAGGAAGATCATAATGAAATATAATATAGTAATAATGAAGCATAAAAGATAATAAATAAATAGTATTTATTGATTGCTATATAAAATACTATTTTGTCGATAGATAATTAAGGAATAAATAATATTAATAGTATGATTTTGATTAAGTTGATGTTAGTTATAAATTAAAAGATTTTTTCACTATTTGACTAAATTATGGATTAAATTGTCTAGTTTTCTAAATCTACTATTTAGAGAAAAGTGAATCTCTTTTTTAAATTTATTAGTTGCTTCTTATTCACTAAGCTGTAGAGCAAGCTTGTTCTTAAGATATTCTATATTTTTAGCAGATTGCAATTCAGGAATACCTAAACATTTATAAATATAAAAAATAATTAAAATTTTAACATAAATATTAATCCTAACCTGCATCTAACATCAGTAAAAATATATTAATTATAAAGTTTCCTTGTTTCCTAATCAAGTTGTAAGCCTATGTGCAGTAATCTGTGAAATTTTTGAAATCAGCAGATTCTTTACCACCCATAACAAACGCCATTTCTTCAGTAAACACAAAGGGTGCTCTTTCTATATTATTCAAACAAAATATATTTTTTTAATAAATAAAATTAAATAAATAAATTGATACCTCTGTCAATACCAAGTTTCTTTTTGAAATTTCCTAAGAAATGACCAAAGTCAATATGGAATAAGTGACCTGTTTAACTAAGCATAATATTATCAGGGTGGCGATCACCAATACCTATTTGTTATTTTTATTTATTTATTTATGTATGAATTTTAATTAAAATTAAAAAGAAGTGTTTTGTTTTTTTAATATGCAACTGAATAAAAATAAAAAATTTATTAAGAAATAATATAAAAAATAAATAAATTACCAAGAATGTAAGTTGCAACACAATAGCCTGCACATGATCTTATGAAATTCTCCGTAGCACTTTTCAAATTTTCTTTATCTGGATTGTGTTTTTGTAAATAATTTTTAAGAGTATCTTCCTTGAGAGCACCCAATCCACCACCTTCCTATTTATGTATTCTTGCTGTAGTTTCAGCATTTACTACTACTTCTATCATACCAACTTAATCTCCAGTAGTAATAACTTTGTAGGGCTTCATTCTAAAATCTTATCCAGCATCAAGCCAAATTTTATCCATAATCTTTAGCAATTAAAGAGTTAACTGATCTTGCCTTATATCATCACCTCTCTTAAATAATATTTTCATCTCTAAATCATTTTCTGATATTATTTCTTTTTATTGTTAATTTTATTGAAATATGTTTTGTGTATTTATTTATTAATTAATTAATTTACTTTTATTATTATTTTCATCTATTTCTTCAATTTCAACTTTGTTTATTGTTTCAATCCACAAAGGCTTCTTTTTAGAGTTCATACACTTTATTCAATCAAAATAAAGATTAATTAATTTATGTCCATGACAATAGATAAGTAAATAAATAAATAAAAAGATATCTTACTCTGCAGCCTTATAAGTTGAAGTCTGTGACTTAGATTCTGCTATCAAGAGCTAACGAAAAAGTTGGTTTTGGTAGGTTATCTCTTATTTTTCCAAGTTCTTCTTTAGATCTCTCCTATAGTTTTGCTTTGTCTACACCTTGCTTTGCCTCGTATTAAATAATTTTAGCAACACTATTTAAAGATCCGTTTACCTATAATAAAAATTTATTTAATTAATTAATTAAATTATTAAATATATTTTTTATAAATTCAAAGTTTTACATGCACTTAATTGGCAATTTCTTTTCTAAAGGATCCGCACACCATGATAAATTACTCAATCAAAAGCGAAAACCTTTCATGAAATGCTTTTACATTGAGCTAACTCTTCAACTACCAGAAAAACTCATGCCCAACAACATAGGGATTTAATAGTGACCTTTCTAAAAGCATTTCAGCAAGAGGAGAAAAGTGATTTCTCTCATATAAAAGTAGCTGAGTTAATTCGAGCATGTAAAGAGCTATTTCATCATCTGAGAATGTACTTATTCTTTCTACTGCATAGAGTCTAACTATCTCATTTGAAATATGTGCATCAAGCAAAGGAAGGGCATCTTCTGGCTGGAGAGGTGTCCACTTTTTAAGCATCAAAATAGCTTCTTTGACCTAAATAATATTAAAATTTTATAATGAATTTTGATATTTGCTTTCTATCTTGCTTGTTTGTTTGTTTACTTATTCTGGATCTAACCAATCTACTGCTAGTAAAAATACTTAAAGAGCTTATGTTAATGTTTTATAATGGTTTCTGCTGATCATTAAAATGTGCTTATCTTCAGGAGTAAACTCAGGCCTTTTTATTTAATACATATTTTATTTCTGATAAATTTTTATTTTTAATTTGAGTTAGTTACCTTTTGAGAGGATCAGCATTCAACAGGAATTATAAACGAGCTAAGTCTTCTGTTTTAGGAGTTTAGTTAAAATTTCTATGCCTTTCTGATTGATGACTAGATTTATAGGGGTTAGGCAAGCCCATTGATTCCATAGTTTTTTCATCTCTGAGAGAATAGAACATAGGCTCAACGAATTTATCTAATTATATAAAGAGTCTACAATAATTTTAGCTAATGAATTCTTTAATTTTCTTTTCATCTTTTTATTCGTGCATACGAAGTTTAGTAAAACATCCCCAATACTCATTCATGCAGCTGAGTCTTCCGTGAACACGGTAAAATCTTAATTAAAAAATTTGTAAATAAAAATCTAAAAATTTTAACAATTTTTTTACGGCCAAACATTAATCGCATTGAGTCCTTGCTAAAAGAGCTCTTGACTATTAAAAATAGGAAGAGTTGAACTTCCAATAATTTAGTAATCGTTTGAATTCTAAGCATAAGCTTTTAGATTAAAACAAAGTCTAGATTCTAAAGGTAATTGAGAAACCTTGATATTGTTAAAAGATATCCATTGATTGAATTTGCAAGTATTTCCATATGGAACTCTTTTTGTTTCAACACTTTTGATGCAAGTTGAACCATTCATTATGATAGCTTCAATTGAAATAGAGAAAGGCACTAAGTTCATACCATAATATCCCTGTATCTGCTTCATAAATTCTACTCCCTTAATACCATGATTGACGATTCTAGTGTTTAATTTAGGAGTCACTTAATCTTTTCTTTGTTTCTGTTACTATTTCATTTATTTCAACCAACAATTTTTATAAAATTTTTTAACGATAATATCAAACAAATCATTACTTCTTATTACAATTGGATGTCCTTATTTTGTTTGTTTTTTTATTCCTTTTTATCTTTTTCTTCTTTGTTGTGTTTATCTTCTTTGTCGTCCACACCATGTCTAACCAAAGTGACATATGCTGGCTAAGTGAATCCATTATAGGTTGCTTTTAAACCAGGCCATTAAGGATCAACTGCTTGAAGTATTTTGAAAACATTTTCTAATCCACATATTCTAACTTTGAATAAACAATCACATTCTCCAGAATATAGATTGGTATTTTTCATGTTTATCGAACTACCATTTTAAACAGGTTACACATTCTAAGTGAGAATTTCACTCAAGTTCTAATTAAATATAATTCGATAAAAACAATTAATTAATTAAATTTTTTAGCTATAATTTTTACTTAACTCTGTTTCTTCTTATTTAACTTCAAATCCTACATTCTTTGATGCATCATTCTCTTTTAAACAACCTAATTTGGATTAGGAGTATCCTTCTCTGGAAAATCAACCCATGGATACCACAGAAGAATAGGAACTTCATAATAATTAGACCAGTCAATAGGAGTAAATATTCCCTATTCCATTTCTGACTACTTTCGTTCTATTGATAAAAAATTGAGTAATTTAATGAAAAATAAATGATTTTAAAGCAAATCTTATTAAAAAAATATAAATAAATATATAAATAAAGAATCAATAAGAGTAAATAAATAGATTTTTTTGAAGTAAACCCAATAAATAATAATGTCAAAATATAGAATTGTATTTTATATTAAAAGAAAACAAAAATGTTATTTAGAAATAATTTCAAAATAAATTCTACTCTCAAAGACGATAAAGAAAGTAGATATTATTTTATAATAAAAAGAATTTGTGTTAAAGTATAATATGTATTTAATAATTAATTATTTTAATTTAAAATCATTGCTGAAAAATATTAAAATTAATGATTTTATCACAAGAAAGAAAGATCATTTAATTCACCAAAAATATGTTTGCTATTCCAAAAGGTAAGTTTTTATTTTAAAAAAATAAAAGAAAGATATCTCTGTTATTTATTTATTTATTTTCTTAAAAAATGAAAAATAAGTTATTAGTTTATTATTACCATAAATTGGTGGAAATTAATCAGCTTGTTAATTGTTGATTGGCATTTCTGTCAATTTGACATCTAAGTGATCTAAACCTCTTAGACTTGTTCTCACTCTATCATAATTAAGCATTGGGTGATTGCCTGCTAAATACTCACGAAATCCCTTTACTTGAAGTATAAATTGATGGTTTTAATCCTTTGGCTTCAGTGCTATCTTATATTCTTTGTAAATTTTTCTTAGTATATTTTTAATGACTTCATCTGCCCTATTTATAAATATTATGATTTAATTATTGATTGCACCATTTTTCTACTAAAAATAAAGAATTATAGAATGAATGTATTTTATTTAAAATGACAATATCACTCTTGAATAAATTCTATATTCCTATTCCATAAATATAATATAGTTTCTTTATTATTACCCTGTAACAAGTCCAGCCTCTATTGTAAGAGATTTGCAGTCCCAATCTACTTCGGCAGGCTTTTTTTCTCTTAACTAATTTATGTACTCGTCTAAATTCACATTTAAGTTAATTGAATTCACTTTTGAAAACGCTAAAGATAGATTTGACTAGCACAAATATTTAGGATATTTAGAGCAGTCTTTATTTAGCAAATAACTAGGAATTTTTCTACGCTGTAGCTCTTTTGCTTGTTCAGATCTAAAGAGCCAGTAGCTATCATCTAAATTTATAATCTTGTATAAATCTTTAATAGCTTCATCAGCTTTTTGTCTCATAACAACATTTTATTCTGCATCTTCTTCAATTCTAAGTTCGTTTGTATTTGTATTAATAGTATAAAACCATTTTGTCTTTGGATCTACACAAATGAGTAACTTTTATGTATCCTCAGCCATATTATTTGCCTGCTAATTTTGTCAAAAAAACTTGAAAAACAAACTATCAATTTAAAATCGAGAACTTAACTAATTATAATTAATTTATAAAGTTTTATGCAATTTGTATAATTAATTATTGCTTTTAATCCAATTATAGTTTGCTTATTGTTATTTCAGTATTATAAAAAAAATTATAATTCATTGAAATGAATCAGAAATTCATTCACATAAAATAAATTTCTAATTCAACTTCTCCTTTCTCAAACCATTAAATCACAAATAATATAAACTCCAGGTGTAAATAGTAGCTATTTATTCTTTAACAGTAATACTTATTTTGCCTACTTTTTAAACAAATTTCAGTTATTTAAGCATTTTTTTAATTTAATAAGCTTTTTATTTCATCTAAAAGTTATTTCTTACTAGCATGTTTATTTGATATTTATTCACTTAATTTGCTCTAAATTTACGAAGTATAATAGTTTTTGCATAATTCTTATGTCATTTTAATTAGCTCATATAATAAGAGTAATAAACGATTCATACAGTCAACATTCAACTCATTTTTAATAATTTTTTATTTAGAATAAATTTTATTTTTATCTTATTAATTACAATTAAAAAATCATTTTATTAAATATATAATCAATCAATCAATTATTTATTTATTTATGATTTAGATATTATTATAAATTAATTATCTTGATGTATTTAATTATTTAATGTAAGAGTCGTTTGTTTACATTAAAATATATATTTAGCAATTTAAATAGGGAATTAAAAAATAGAAAAAGTATTCATTAATTAATTAATAGATTTAAAAAGATAAAAAAGTAAAAATTAAATTATTTACACTTTATCCCTTTTATTAATATTTTAAAAGTAGCTAACAAATGAAGAAGAAGGAATTTAGAACTATATTAAACAGTTAGCCAAATTATTTGAAAATAATTTATTGATTTATATAATAGCATTATTATCTTAATATAATTTCATAAATACAAAGAAAGTTAATCAATAATTAATATATTTAAACAGCTATGAATGTAACTAAAAAATATATTAAAATATTTAATTCTTAAAAATGTTAACTTTTAAATAATATAAAACTAACTATTCAATGAAATCTCGAAGAAGTAATTTGGAATTCATTTAAGCATTAAGCTTAATTAATAATTTGCACATTTTAAACTAATTTATAAAATATCTTTTTATCATTCATTATATTAATCATAAAATTGATGGAAAAAACTGTAAATTTATTTAATATATTTTAACTTAAAATTGTAATTAAAAAGACTAATAAATTCAATCAGTTAGTTAAATTATTTTTAAACAATTTATTATATTTATGATAGCTTTATTATCACTATATAAATTAATTAAATTAAATTGAAAAAAATATATTTTATATTTTTAAACAGTAAAAATTATAATAAAAAATATAAAATGATTGATAAAAATATTTACTTTTTATTCATATTTTCAAACTTATTAATTAAAACTGAAAGAATTATTTTAAACAGTCAGTGAATTAAATTATTAGTAAACAATTTATTTATTTTTATGATAGCATTATTATCATTATATAAATTAATTAAATTGAAAAAAATATATTTAATACATTTAAATAGCAAAAATTATAATAAAAAATATAAAATGATTTCTATTTATTAATATTTTAATACTTATTAATTAAAACTGAAAGAATTATTTTAAACAGTCAATGAATTAAATTATTAGTAAACAATTTATTTATTTTTATGATAGCATTATTATCATTATATAAATTAATTAAATTGAAAAAAATATATTTAATACATTTAAACAGTAAAAATTATAATAAAAAATATAAAATGATTACTTTTTATTAATATTTTAATACTTATAAATGAAAACTGAAAGAATAATTTTAAACAGTCAGTGAATTAAATAATTTGTTAAGAATTTATTTATTTATATAATAATATTATTATGATTATATAAATTAATTAGATTTGAATTAAAAAAATATATTTAATACATTTAAACAGCTAAAATAATAATAAAAATTATAAAATGATTTCTATTTATTAATATTTTAAAACTTATTAATGAAAACTGAAAGAATAATTTTAAACAGTCAGTGAATTAAATAATTTGTTAAGAATTTATTTATTTATATAATAACATTATTATGATTATATAAATTAATTAAATTAAATTGAAAAAAATATATTTAATACATTTAAACAGTAAAAATTATAATAAAAAATATAAAATGATTACTTTTTATTAATATTTTAAAAATTATTTTTTATTGAAAATAAAAGATTAAACAGTTAGTTAGTGAATTAAATCATTTATTAAGAATTGACATATAATAGCACTATTTATTTTATTATATTAGTTCATAAAATTCAAGGAAGAATATATTTTTTATAATTGGAAATTAATATAAATTAATATTTTAAAAATATAAATTAGATATCTATTTTATATAAATATTTTAATTATTAATTAATTTTCATTATTTCAATTTTTTAACTTAACATTTTCTATTTGTTTGCAGAAAGGTAAAGAGTAGTTAGTTATCTGTGCATAATTTAGCTAATTTAATAAGAGAAACTTTATCAAATAAATAATACCACTATGATGATGGTAATTGAATAGATTAAAATATTTGAAAAAGTTGTTGAAGTTTAAATGCCTGCAACACAAGTACCAGCACTACCAACTACTGGTGCATTCGGATTGCAAAGTGCACAATCAGCTGTAGACCAAGAAACTTAGCCTCTACTTGAAGAATTGCATGAAGCAGAAGCTGCAACGCATGAAGTACCAGCTAAATTTGCGTATAAATTTTTATTTCCATAGTTAGTTGCACACAAAGAGCATATTGTATCAGAGAGTTAAGTATTAACTAAGCAATTCTAACATGAATTAGAATTCAAAATATAATTATTTCCAAAACAAGTCTAACAATCATCTTTCGTCCAAGGTTTACTCTAATCTCTTGAATTACATGAATTTTAAGAAGCAACACAAGCTGTTCCGGACGCATTTGCATATAATTTATTTTAGTTTAAGCTTGCACATGCCTAGCAAGTTGTATCCGTTAATTATTAGAAAGAAGAGCAGTTAATACAGGATTATTTTCCATCATAAGCATATGTATTACCGTAACATGTCGCACAATCATTCGAATTCCAAGCTAGTTAACCTCTAGATTAGCATTAAACACTTACACACTGAGTACCATTAATATTAGCATATATATTTCCTGCTCCGTTATTACATGCATTACAAATTGCATCAGTAAGGGAATTTGTTGCCTAACAATTAACACATTAATTATTAACTGCAGCATAATTAGTAGGATAACATAATCTACAATCACTTGTACTCCAAGCAGTTTATCCTCTATTTTAGCATGAAGCAGTAGAAGCAACACAAGCATTTGCTTGCGAATTAGCATATTAGTTTAAGCAGGCTTAGCAATTTACGTCATTAAATGTAGAAAGACTCGAGCAATTTATACATTAATTATTAGCTGCAGCATAACTAGTAGTATAACATAATTTACAATCACTTGTAATCCAAGTAGTCTATCCTCTATTTTAGCATGAAGCAGTAGAAGCAACACATGAACTACCTGCAATATTAGTAAAAACTGCACTATTTTAACCACAAGATTGGCATACTAAATCTGTTAGCCCTGCCGCTGATCCACTAGTAAAACAAGAACAATCTGTTATTGAACATGTAGGAGCGGTTTAACCTTATGGAAGAGACCAACTACAAGAATTAGGTACTGTAGAACAGTTTTAAACTGAACATTAATTAGTTCCTTGGGTACAAGAAACGTTCTTTCCAGCAAGGGCCATTATTTAAGAAGTTGTAGATAAAAATATCAAAAGAAATTAAATTCTCATGTTTAGCTTACTCTTATATTTCTTTAAAACTTATTAATTATTCAGAAAATATAGATTTGCCAAACAAACAAAATCTTAGAAAAAAATAAAGAATTAATTTAAAATTTGCTTTTTTCGTAAATTAAAATTTTGAATTTTACTACAAAATTAATTTTTAGGGATGATAAATTATTGAAATCTATTTAATCTTTTGATAGAGTAAAATAAATATTCTATTGTTAAAAGAATTTCTTCATAAATCTTAAAAATATTTATCCATTTTTATTTAAATAATTGTAAATATTTTTGAAATTTAAAACAAAAACTTTAAAAAATAAATAAAGAAAGAAAGAAAGAAGAGTGTGCTGGCAAATATTGTTTTATTAAGGAGATTAAAATAAACTAACTAATTACCCTGAAAGAATCCATTCATCTATCCATCCATTTTTACATCAAGAATATCTTTTTTAATCATAAGAGAAAAATAAATTTAAGAAAGATTTGCTTGAAGGATAAACGAAAAACAAATAAAAAATTTTTTTTAAATTATAAAAATTAACTAAGTAATCTAAAATAAATGATATGACTAGCAAATATTTAATTTGTTAAAATATAAATAAAGTATTAGAGACTAAAAAAAAAGAAGTTTTTCTTAAACTTCTAAAGCATCAAATAAATTATTAATTAATAAATAAATATATTTTATTTTTATATTTATTTTTTCAAATTTTACTTGAAAAATAATTAAATTAAAATATTTTATTTTAAAATAAACCTTTAATATGATATCTAAGTGCTTCTTCAAATTATTGATCATTTATTTATTAGTTTAATCTAATAAATTAATTTTTAAATAATTTCAATAATATTAAATAAACTTCAATAAAAATATGTCAGGCCTATCACTAAATTCTTGCTTATTAATTTAAATTTAAAGTTTATTGTTCATACAATTTTATAAAACTATAAAAATTAAAATTATATTAATTAATTAATGATACTTTTTTTCTTAAACTTACTCCCTCAATAAATAAAGTTAACAAAAGATTAATGATGAACTTCAATAAAAATATCTTTACTTTTTTTGTTAAATTTACATAAAAGACAAAAAAACTTTATAATTTTTTATATTTTGTATGATTTGATAAAATTATAAAAATACAAATTATTTTTATTGAATAACTAACTGATTTAGATTAGCTGTGGTTGATTTTATTTAAAAAATGTATTTTTAAATATTTTAAATAGAAATGTACTTCAATTAAAATGTAATAAATATACTTACTGTTAGATTTTTATTAATTAATTTTTTTTAAAATTAAGATATTATTTAACTATTATTCAAATTTGAAGAAATTAAAATATATGATTGAATAACTAAATATTATCAATTTTGTTTAATGCTTTTAAATAATTTCTCACTTTATAATCAATAAAAGAAATTTGTTTTAAAATATTTCAAAAAATATTTTTTTTCATCCATTATTTATCTTTTATATGAAGTTATCAAAATAAAAATGTAGATTATATTGATTAAATAATTTTAAATTTGGTTAATTATTAGTTTATCATACCTACTTACTTACTTACATACATAAAAAATAAATAATACACTAAATTAGTATTTTTAAATATATATATTAATTAACTAATTAATGATCTTATTAATTAGTACATTCAGAATCTTCTTTGAAAAGGTTATTAATTTTAACCATAATTATTTCTATTTTAGTATTGTGGATTACTTTAAAAATTTCTATTTTAGTTTTGTGGATTACTTTAAAAATTTCTATTTCCTTAATCAGTTCTTTCAACATGTTCTAATAATGCTAAGGTAGAGAGAGTTATACACTTTTTAGTATTGTTTTTGCCTTTATAATGTACGGTTAGCAATTAATTTATTTCAACTAAATTTATAATACTTTTAAATAAATAAATATTTTGTATATCTCCTTGATTTTTTAAATTAATATCTGACTTGTTTAGCTAATAAGTATCATTTGACAGATTCCAAGTTATAGGCTAAATAGATTATGTAGTAGCTGTTACTATCGTTGCTTGATTAATTCCAAAAGATATTGAAAAGTCATTTAAAGGGAAATTGTTTTCATAAACTTTCTATACTTGTATCAAGTTTTTTGCTGCATATAAATATCCTAATTTAATATTTATGATAATTAATAATTAATCAAATAAAAGAATGAATTATTCATCAGAAAGAAAATACCTTAAGGTTGATTGTTTCCTGGCTGTTATTATTATTATTGATTTCTGGTATCGTTTCTGAGCTAAGCAAACAAAAATAAATCGCTTGTTTTTGGATTAGTTACTATCTCTATTTTCTAAATCGCAGAAGTTGGAGGACCAATTTCTAGCTTTTATCCTTGAATTGGTCTTTGCTGAGTAAATTCAAGTTCTAAAACGTATGCACAGTTAGCTTAAGCTTATTGCTTTTGCTATTATTGAGGTTAGAATTGTTCGAATCTAGGCTAATTATTTCATCAAAAATATTTTTTAATAATTTCATTTCTAGTTTAAAAATAAATTGAAATTTTTTCATTCTATTTTCTTTTTTAAAATTCAAAATTCATTTTGTTTGTTTGAAAATAAAATAAAAAATATATTAAAAAAAATAATTGTAAATGTTTTGAATAAAATCTAGAAGAAAAATTGGATTGATTAATTGATTGATTCGATTGATTACCTTGTTAAATGTAATGATGACAATTTATTTATTATTCATAGTAGTAAATTATAAATTATTAATACTTTCTAATTTTATGTTCTTCGAGTTAAACCATTATTCTAAATTATCTTTAAAAAATATTGTTGAACTCTAGTCGAGTGTTATTCCGTTTTGTTACAACTCCCAAAATTTGACAAAAGCATCTTGACTTGAATCTTAACTTGAGTTTGAAACAGTTACTATTTTACTTACGTTTCTGCTGTTGATTGATGTTTGGAATAAAAAGATATTTGTTATAGGTTATTAATGAGCTACCATTTAGCACAACTGAGAGGTAATTTGATTACTATTCTATGGATCAGTGGTTATTATGGTAAATCCATAGTAGCCTTATTGGCTCTTTATCGTAAAAGCTGAAGCATCTTATCCGTTATTCAATAAATTTTTAAGTATAAAGCATTTTTCAATTTTAAAATTATTATCTTATATGGAAGTGCATCCGCTTGAAATCAATTTCATTCCCTAATCGCTTTTTTCAATTGTATGAACCTACATTGCTTGTTCATTGCAGAAAACTATTTGAACTTTATCCATGAAGTTTTATTAGATTTATTATGCTTAAGGCTATTGTTGTTTAGAACTTTGTACTAAACAGAGACTACTATCAGTAAAATCTTCAGTTAATGCTTATTCACTAATGATTTAGAGAACTGGCTTAAATTACTACTTAGGAACATAATTCTAATCTCTATTATTTCTGTAGCCATCTCCTTATCCTCCAGTTTAGATTCCATTGTCGTTAGGTTAATTATATTGGCTTCTGCCTCCTGCAAAACCTCCATCTTATTATTATCTTTATTAACCTTAATTATCTCCTCCAAATCCGCCTCCTCTTGGTTTGTTACCATCATTTTAATCATTTCCAAGAAATCTATTTATTCCTCTGTAATTATTGCTTTAGTATTAATTCCTTTATTGCTATTACTATCCGTCTCTTTAATCTTATCTCTAATACATTTATATATTTTGCTTAATAATTTAATTAGCTTCAAAAATATGGAAGGAATATCTTATTCTTTATAACTTTAAGATAAAAATTATTGATATTTATTTCTTGATCAAATAATTGATTAAATAATTAATTAATAAATTTATTGTTTTAAATAATTTGTTTCTACCAAAATGCAATAAATAAATAAATCAAAATCTTTTATCTATTAAATAGCTTAAAAATATTTAATTTTTATAAATAATTTCTATTACTTAACCTAGTTTATTAAGAAGATATTATTTTACACAAAATCATTCATATAATAAAAAAATTACCTAAATTAAAACATATTCCTTCCCTCTAAAAAAACCTTATTTATTTATTAAAAAATTCAGATAAATGGAAAATATCAAAAAATATTTATTTTTATTAAATGAATTAAGTAAAACATTATTTTATATATTTCACCCAAATAAGATTAAAATATGACTTGCTTGAATGAGTAATTTGTTTTAATTGAAATAAAAAATATAATTTTTTTTTAGTTTTGTTTCAAATTATATCAAAATCTCATAAATATACAAAAAATATTTTTAAATTTCATACTTACATCAATGTGTAGTAAAGATTTAAGAAATACCTAATGTTTTAGAATAGATTTTATTTAAAATATTGATTTAATGAAAATTAATATAATAAATACGTTCTACAATATTATTATCTAAGCAATTATTAAGATAGAAAAGATTAAATAAATGTTTTAGAATTAGCGTTCTATAAGAATATTGATGTTAATAAAAAATAATATAATAAATACGTTCTACAATATTACTATCTGAGCAATTATTAAGATAGAAAAGATTAAATAAGTATTCCATTATAATTTAATTTGATATAAAGACAACAATAAAATTATAATTTTATCTCATTTAAAACACAAATAAACGAATAAAAAAATCTATTTTTTATTTTATTTTAATCTTTGTTAACAAAAAATCCTTTTTTCTGAAATTTACTCACAAAATAACGATTTCTCATAAATATTAAGATAAAATACAATACCATTTTCTTAAATATCAATTACAAAATTTAATTAATTAATTAATTCATCGTTTTAAATTGAATTTTTTTAAACATTAATTTAAATTTATTTATAAAAAAAATTTAAAATGTTTTGAAAAATTAAATTAATAAATAATCTTTACTTTAAATATCCTTTCCTAATCATTGTCATTGGCTAAGGAATAGTAAAAATACAATAAATAATGGATAATATTATTAATATTTTTATTTAAATGATAATATGTTAAAAAAAAAGTAGGCTTTGCACAGAATATTAAAACTTAACTAATATATTATAAGTTATTATTTTATGTTAAAAACTATTAAATAAAAAAAAGTCTATGAAACAATTTATTTATTTTTATATTAATAGAAATAAATTCAATCAATTCTAAGATTACAATTTTTAAAATAATCAATACAATTTTTGTTTTTTTATTATTGATTGATTGAGTGTATAACTCTATCAATATTTGGTTCAAGAAAAATAAATTTTGCATTTAATAAATAGTCAATATCTTACTAAGCTAAATAGAAATTTTATCTTAATTTGAATTCATAAATAGTATAATGAAAATTATTGAATGAATGTGCAAATAAATAGCTTACCTAATATATTTGTTTCTTGCTAGACCTTAACTTTGATAATTAAAAATTAAGTAGGAAATACATAAAATTTAGAATCTTTGTAAAAAATAAAAGCAAGGAGAAATAAGTGATTAAACAGAAAAATTATATTTATTTTTCACTGATTGATTGAAGAGATTGATTAATTTGTATAAGTCAACAAAAAAATCAATATATTTTTTAATATAAATTCAACATAATTTATTAAGAAGAAAGTAAAATAAAAATGAGCAGCAATGAGCACGACAATAGTATTTTATCATTAAAGTACTTAGAAAATGATAATAATCTAGATGATGAACAGGAGAATTTAGATAAATTTCTTGATAACGACTATATTTTAGAAGAAAATCCCAAGAATGTTGCTGCGAATTCAAATAGCAATAATAATAATTAATAGAATAGCTCAAGCACTTAAATCCAAACAAGTTCTACTGAGATATTTATGGATACCAAAAAGCCAACTCAAATTTATGGGTCTTCATAGTCTTCAGTCACCATGCTGAATAAGGCTTCTTTCACAGACCTTGGCTTTTTTCTTCAAAATAACTCTGAATACCCAATTGATTTGAATTCAGCAGGAGCTAACTTTATCAGACAAATGCTTTAAAGCAATTAGCCCATGAAGAATTACATGAACTACCTAAAAAAAGACCTTGTCGATCTTACAGATGAGAGAGATGCAGCGGTACTTTTAAACATCATATTCTATATTTAAAATATTTGAAAAGGGATTGAATTAAAGGTTTAGTTTCAATTTTCAAGAAAGTTCATATCAAACTACTTCATTCATTCATTTATTAAAAAATCAATAAATGTGTGAGTGATTGTTTATTTATTTGTTTGTTATAAATCTTGTTAATTGAAATTCTAAAAATAAGAAAGAAAAAGAAATTAATTAAAGAAATAACACGAAAATTTCTTGAGAATTGAATAAATTGATAAATTATCTTAATATAATTTATATGACCATTCTAACACTTTTTAAAATTAATAGGTTGTTATGCAGATTCTGCAAAAACCGACAAAGAGTAAGAACGAATGCGACTTTCTCCTTAAATCTATACAAGGATTACATTTATTCTAAAAAAACAAAGATATGTTAACTATGAAAGACTGTAACTAGACCTTGCTTGAGAAACTCAGATTGGAATATTTTCCAGCAAGAAAGACAATCTTTAATTATGGTACAGAAAATAAAAATTTTACTAATAAATTTTTAAAAATAAATAAGTGATTTTGACTATCTTGTGATTTGAATTAAAAGCATGCAAGGACTTTTGATTAAATCTTTCTTTATTAATTTTCAAATAAATATTTTGATTGGTTGGCTGGTTCGACTTAATTTACTTTTTAAACGAATTATTAATACCTTTGATATTTAAAATATAAAAGCAAAAATTAGAATCTTTCAAGCATCTATTTTTAATTTTCTGTTAAAATACTTTACTATAAATTAATTAATAAAAGAAGTGCTGATTAACAACTAAATATTTAGTTGAAAAAAATAAATAGATAAATTAAAGACCAAAATAATTTTTTAATTTATTTAAATTAAATTTTTTTTTTATTATAAAATAGGTGACTTTGGTTACACTTATTACATAGTTTTGCAAGGTAAACAAACTACAATTATAAAGAGATTGTTTTTTTTATTATAAAATCTTCATAAAAAAATTCAAAATCTAATTAAGCAAATTGTTTAATTATATAAATTACAATAATTAAAGGAGAATGTGATTTGTTGATTCCAGCTCCAACTCTAGATGCTAGCGATAAGTCTAAAAAGGACGAATCTGGTCATGGTAAAAGCGAAAACAACAAGGAGCATACTACATAACATCATAAACACCATTAAGAACATTATGCTAATAATTAACATAGTGAAGTTGAGAGTACAGTAGATTTAAGAGAAACTCAAACTGGTTCTCATCCTTTAAGTAAATTAGGCAAAAAAAAAGTAAAACTTGATAGCAAGTGGAAGGTGCTTAAATAAACATTCAATCCAGATCAAGAAAACATGCATCTTTAAGAAATGTAAGTTTATTTAAATTTATGTTTAATTTTAATGAGATATTGATTGATTGATTCTTAAATTGGGAAATGACAAAGAAATATTCTGAGAAAAATATATTTTTAGAATAAATGAATGAAATATTGCGTTAAAAGTAATTAAGTAATTGAGTTAAGTATTTCTAAAAGATAATTGGAAATTATTCTTAACAGAAAATTTGCAAATAGATTAATTTATTTTCACTATAAATTATATACTAATTTAATGTGATAGAAAAATAAATTTCTTTAAATTACATTGTATCTAAGAAGCATAAATAGATTTATAAAATTCTACTCAATATAATATTTATCTAATTACATTTAAATATAGAACTATATTTAATTCATATTTTTACATAAAAAGATCTTCTCCACGCTAGAATTCAGACGCAACACCTATCAGAGACAATGAAACCCAAGAATAGTTTTTAGAAAGATGTTTTGTTGGGTTAAAATACATGAAGACTTTTAAACCAGGAGAGGCATTTGGTGAGATTGCTTTGATGACTAAACAGAGGAGGTAATAATAAATTTTATAATCAAACAAGCTTCTTCTTTTTTAAATTTATTTTATAAAATTGATTTTTTTGTTAGAGTTTTTAGCGTCAGCATTTGTTTTTTAATTTTTATTTCAATTATTTGAATTGTGTAAATTTGCTTTAATTTATTCATTTAAAATATTTTATTCTTAAAAATTATTAGAACTGGTACTATCGTTTGTAGAGAAAACACCTTTTTAATGGCATTAACTAAAGAAAGTTTTGACATCATACTAGGAGCTTATCATGAAATAATTATTTAGAGAAAGCTCAACTTTTTAAAGTCATACAATTTCTTTAGAGGTGTACCAAACTCAAAATTACTTTCGTTGCTCCACATGATGAAAATTGTTAATTACAGCAACAAAAATATTATTTACACTGAAAATGATCCAAGCAGATTTGTGTATTTAATTAGAGAAGGAGAAGTTGAAATTTCTTAAGTGTGCAATATTGAAACTAATGTGGAAAAAGAGAAGAAGAAAAAAGAAGAGCAAGAAGACAATCCCAACGATATAAATGCAGTTAAAGCTTAAAAAGAAATTAGAAATAAAAAGAAAAGAATTCCTATTGTAATTAAGGGTAAAAATTCTTATTTCGGTGAAGAAGAAATTCTCAAACACATCGATACAAGAAAATAATAAGCTATTTGCAGCAGTGAGACAGCAGAAATATTCCTCATTAAAAAAGATGTATTTTAATTTTATTTAAAGAAAGCAATACAAACAAAAAAACATACTTTAAAATTTATGTTTTACTATTTTTTTAATGTTTGAAATTTATTTGATTAATTAATTTTGTTTAATTAATTTTGTTTAATATATTCTTTATGGAATTAACTATTTTTATGATCAAATAAATAGATCCTTTACAATTACACAAGAGGATATGGAGTTATTGATAAACTCAAGGAGGAGTTTAAGGTAAAAGGAGAGTGGAATTAAATTAGGTAGGCTAAGATAGTTCAAACAACTTAAAATACTAAAAGTGATATTGAGAAACAAATAACTTTATTGTCGTTGAAGAGATCTTCAGCCACCTTATAAAACATCAATGAAACAAAAGGTTTGGAAAGTAAATCATAAAACTCGAATATATTCTCTATTAATTAGGCTAGAAGCTAGACTTTGCTAAATATTCCTGCAAATCCAGTATCTATGACCAGTATTAATTCTTCTGGAAATAAAAGAAATAGCATGATGAATACTTTTAACAATAATCCTCGTACTCCTTCATAAACTAGTGGTCTAACTTTAGATCCTTTTGATGTCATGACTTCTAAGCAGAGATTATCACTAAGAACTAACCCTTTCAATCCAAACAGCTTAAATACACTTTAAAAGCAATTAGAGTTAGGATCTATTAACAAATAAAATTAAGGTACTGCTAACGATGAAAATAGCGATGCATTCTTTACTACTGGAGTTGGATAATTCTCAGCAAACACCATCTAAAACTAAAAACTAACTCCTGATTCTAAAGTTCATCTTAAACTAAGGCAAAACAGAAAAAGCTCGTAATAATCAACCTTTTATGGGATTGTTGCTAACGAAAGCTAAACTCCTTAACACAATAAACTTCCTACTACTATCACAGAAGAAGAAAATTACATAGAAAATAAAATCCTTAATAACAAAATGAGAAGATATGTTGGAGAATCATAAAAAACAAAAGAATAATTAGCTCAAGTAGCTCTTGAATAATTCGGGGATATGTCTCATAATGCTTTTGTCAACAAAGTTGGTTAAACCTTAGAATATAAAATGTAGATTCTTAAAAAACTAAACTAAAATGGTTTGCAAAGTCCTACAAATGTTTTCGCTGATTTATATGAAGAGTTTGGTTTAAAAAAGAAAACAAACTTTAAAGTCCGCAAGAGTTTGGCTGCTAGCAATCAAGGAAGTCAGAAAGATCTCAACAGCAAAGCCTAATCTACACCAAACGGACAAGACTTCCAGAAAAAAATACTCTAAGAGAGAAAGAATTAAATTAAAGAAAACATCAAAAAACAAAACACATTGAATTACATTGAAGACATCAACCTAGTTACTAGTGGTACTCTGTAAGATCATATCTAAAGAGGGAAAACATTCCATTCATTGTAGCAAAACTCTATGTAAGAATTGAATACTCCTGACCATTTCTCAAGAAATAAAGTTAGAGCTTCAACCACCATCAACTTCAACACTTACAATCACTAAACTTCTTCATCATAAGAGTAAATTTTTTATTTCTTTCCTCCTAAAAAATATAGAAATTTAATGAAAGAATAAAATTTATTGAAAATTTTTAATAACTTTAAATGTAATTTAAACTTTCAACAAATAAATAAAATTTAACAGAAAGGAATTTTTCTAAAATAAATTGAATTTGAAAAAAAACTTTTTATTATTTTAAGTGATCAAATTTTATTTTATTAAAATAGCTCTAGAAGAATAAGTGATAGATAAAAAAGTTTTGATGAAATAAACTTGAGTGGATATGAGTCACAAACATCATCTTAATCAAGCATAACACTTCCAAAGAGAAACAGCTTTGCAGATAAATTTAAAAACCCTCCTATGATATAAGTAAAGAATTTAGATGTTTTAGAGGAAGTGTCTGAGAATAACTCTCCAGTTAAAATTACCCAAGAGCAAACTAAAAAAAGAAACAATACTGTAAACGAAATGAAAAGTCCTAGCTAAAGCGAATATGGGTTATCAAAATCACAACTTTTGTAAGTTTAATATTTGTAATAGAAAATGAATAATGTTTAAGGCAGGATGTCTTTAGAGAGTAATGAAAATACATCTTCGTAGAATCTTACTAGCAAAAGCTAGGTTTTCTTAAACCCTTCAAAACAAATACTAACGAACTCAAGCAATTATAATACAGGAAACAGCTAATCTTAAAATTCTGATACATCATCAGTCACTAACAATTCTAATATATACACTAGTAAGTCATTTTTAAATAGAAACGCAACCAGCTTGAAAAAAAAATAAGAAGCAAGAAGGGCTATTTCCAGAAATTCTTCATCCAACTCTAAAGAAAATTCTTTTAGAATCAGTGCAAAATAAAATAACTTTTTCTCTCTTCATAAAACTATGCAATATTGCCAATCCCAAGGCAATATGTAACATTAAAACCCAAATAGTACTCAAGTTTGATAAAAAAATAAATAAATAAATAATTTATATAAATATAAAAACTTATATTCAACGAATATATATATCCAAAGAATTATATTAACTTACATTATTTACTTTAATTACAAAATAATTATTAATTGTAATTTATGTTATATTATTTATATTCTTATTTATCAATTTACATTATTACATCTACGTATGAATGAATTAATTAATGTATAAATAAATAAAAAAAAAAATATATTTATTACTTTTTATGTTATTTCTCAAAACTTTTTTGTAGAAATATTTATTAATAATTTCTATTGAATGAATAATAGGTAGGTCACTCATAAATTAAATAGTATTTAAAAGATTTAAATTTAAAAATAAAATAAGAAAATTTTTATTTAAAATTTTTTTTATTTAATAAACTTACCACAATATGACATTTATATGTATAAAAATAAAATAAATCTATCTATCTATATTTTAAGTTAAATTATCTATTTTTGATAGTCAAAGTAAAAGTAAAGAGCAATCACCTCTTTATTTTAAAAAATTTTATTCTTAACACAAATATACTCCTTTTTGTATATTAAACATATTTTATAATATTTATATTTATTCATGTTTTTTTCACCACTTTTTTATAATCATTAGAAGTATATTTTATAATTAACTAATCTTTTTAATTTAAGGCACTTTATTTCTAATTTTACTTATTATGAGTCATTGATTTAATTGTAACTTTTATTATAAATTAGTGTAAATTACTAAAAAAAATAAATTAAATAAAATTTATTTTTAATTAATAAAAAAAAATTTGCAGTATAAAAAAGAAAAATAAATCAATAAATAGCAAATAAATTAATTAATTAAAAGAGTTAATTGTATTATTTTAAATTAGTATTTATAATACACAAACCAAAACTAATAAACTGTTTTTACTAAGTATTAAATGCCAAACTTGAGAGGTTATTGCATTTTGCTAAACCAAAACTTAAGCCTAATGCACCATCATCGCCAATTTCATTGTAACTTTTTAAATATTGAAGAAATAATAAAAAATTAATTAGTATGTTGGAAGGAAGAAATGAAGAAAAATTAAAGAAATCAATTAATAAATATACAATAAAATCAAAAGCTAAAAGTGAAAAATGAATAAATTAACAAAGATAGAAGAAAAAACTGCAAAACATAAAAAAATAGAAAGAAAGGTAAATCAAATTGAACCTATTAAATGAATTAAAATTGTTATTTTATTTTAAGTTCATTTTTATTATAAAAATTATCATAATCTAATACAAATAAACTGTGTTTACAGAAGATTAAGTTTCAAATTGAACAGATTATTGCAACTTGCAAAAGCAGAACCTAAGCCTGATGCACCTGAATCGCCAATTTAATTATCCCTTTTAAAATATTAAAGAAAAAATGAATAATTTATTATAACAATAACAAAAAGCAAATAAGTAAATTAAAAGAGTTAGCTATATTGTTTCAAATTCATTTTATTATAAAAAATATCACAATTCAAAACTAATAAACTATATTTACGAAAGATTAAGAGCTAAATTTGTGAGACTAGAGCAATTTGTTAAAGCAAAACCTAAGCCTGATGCACCTTCATCGCCAATTTTATTGCAACTTTTTAAATATTGAAGAAAAAATATATAATTAATTAGTTACTTAGAAGCAAAAAATGAAGAAAATATGATAAAAAATGAATTAATTAATAATTAAAGCTAAAATTTAAAATGAAAAATGTTTTAAATTAACAAAGATACTAAAAAAACACATGAAAAATAAAATAAAAAGAAAAAGAAATCAAATTAAAACCATTAAAGATTTAAATTATTTTAAATTAATTTTAATTTAAAAAATAACACAATCAAAAATAAATAAACTATTTTTACTAAAGTTCAAGTGTCAAATTTGAGAGATTAGTACAAAATGCTAAACCAGAACCTAATCCTGATGCACCAATTGCACCAATTTAATTGTAACTTTTTAAATATTGAAGAAAAAATATAAAGTTAATTAGTTAGTTAAAAGGAAAAACAAAGAAATAATGTGAGAAAATAGCAAATTAATTAATTTATTTATCTATTGATAAAACAAAAGTTAAAAATTAAAAAATGATTTATTTTAACTAAGAAAAAAAAAGCAAGTGGAATATAAAAAAGATAAATAAATCAAATAAAAATATAATAAGTAAGCTAAAAGATTTATTTCGCTTTAAATTTATTTTTAAAAATAAAAAATATCATTTTCAAAACTAATAAACTGTTTTTACATAAGATCAAGTGTCAAATTTGAGAGATTAGCGCAATACGCTAAAGCAGAACCTAAACCTGATGCACCTTCGTCATCAATATTATTCTACCTTTTTAAACATTGAAGAAAAAATATTTAAATAATTAGCCATTTAGAAAGAAAAAATGATAAGAAACGAATTAATTAATAATAAAAACTAATAGTTAAAATGAAAAATTGATTTAAATTAACAAGGATAGATAGATAGTAAAAAACACAAAAGAATTATATTGTTTTAAATCATTTTTATATTAAAAAATATCGCAATCAAAAACAAATAATCTGTTTTTACTTAAGCTCAAGTGTTAAATTTGAGAGATTAATGCAATTTGCTAAAGCTAACCCTAAGCCTGATAAACCAATTGCACCAATTTAATTCTTACTTTTTAATATTGAGGAAAAAATATATAATTGATTTGTTAGTTAAATTAAAAATGAAGAAAAAATATGAAATAAAAAGAAATTAATTTATTAGAAATAAAAAAAAGTTTAAAATTAAAAAATTAATTAACAATGATCAGATAGAAGAAAAAAAACACAAGAGAATAAAAAAAAGAAAAATAAAAAACTAAAAAATAAATTAAAAAAGATGTTTATATTGCTTTAAATTCATTTTCATAAAATGTTTTTACCTCAGATCAAGCGTCAAATTTGAGAGATTAGTGCTTTTTGCTAAAGCAGAACCTAAGCCTGAAGCACCTTCGTCATGAATTTAATTCTAACTTTTTATATTGAAGAAAAAATTTTTAATTAATTAGTTAGAAATAAGGGAAAAAAAAAAGAAATTAAATAATAAGAAAGAAAGAAAGAAATAAATAAATAAATTAATAATAATAAAAACTGAAAATGAAAATTGAGTTAAAGTAAAAAGATAAAAGAGAAAAAACACATTCAGAATAAATAAAAAAAGAAAAATAAATCAAATAAAAACTTATAAATACATAAAAAGTTTTATTGCTTTAAATTCATTTATATTTTTAAAAATATCAAAATCCAAAACTAATAAACTGATTTTACAAAAGATTAAGTGTCAAATTTGAGAGGTTAGTGCACTTTGCTAAAGCAGAACATAAACCTGATACGCCCTCATCGCCAATTTAATTGCTTCTTTTTAATATTGATGAAAAAATATAAATTTAATTAGTTAGTTAGAAGGTAAAAAAGAGACAATAAGAAGTGAATTAATTATTAATTAAAGCAAAAGTTGAAAATGAAAAATGAGTTAAATTAACAAAGATAGAACAAAAAAAACACACACAAGCAGAACAAAAAAATAAAGAAAAATAAATAAAATAGAACTAATTAATAAATTAAAAGTGTTATATTATTTTAAATAAAAACATTCAATATAAAAAAACTGTTTTTACTCAAGACTAAGTGTCAAATTAGAGAGATTATTGCAACTTGCTATAAGTGAACCTAAGCCTGATGCACCTTAGTCACCTATTTAATTTCCCCTTTTTAAATATTGAAGAATATCTATAATTTATAAGTTATTTAGAAGGTTAAATTGAAGAAATAATATGAAAAAATGCGAAATTAATGACAAAAAAAGAAGAAAAAAAAATGCAATTAGAATAAAAAAAATTAAATAAATAATTAACAAATAAATTAAAAGATTTTATTGTTTTAAATTCATTTTTATAATAAAAATATCACATCTAAAACTAATAAATTGTTTTTACAATAGATAAAGTGCCAAATTTGAGAGGTTAGTGCATTTAGTTAAAGCAGAACCTAAGCTTGATGCACCAATATTGATTTTACATTTTATTTTTATCAAATTTTCAGGCTCTTTAAAAAGTGAGGAAACTGGGTGTATGCAAAATAATCAAAAAAACAAAAAAAAAATAAATAAATCTTAAATTTATCTTTAGTCTTTTTCATTATTAATTATGAGAACGAAAATGATTGTACACCTAAAAAATACATAATTAAATATATATATAAACATTAAAAATAAAATTATTTTTAAGTCATATTCTGAGTGCATTTATATGTGCGAGTATTTCTATTCTATTCTGCACTAATTTAATTGCCACTTTTTAAATATTGAAGAAAAATATATTTGAAAAATAAAAATGAGTTAAGCATAAGCAGAATAAAAAAAGAAAAATAAATCAAATAAAAACCTAATAAATTAATTAAGCTAATTATTTAGTAATTCATTTTTATAAAAAAATATCACAACCCAAAACTAATAAACTGTTTTTACGATAGATTGAGTTTCAAATTTGAGAGGTTAGTGCAATTTGCTAAAGCAAAAGCTATGGCTGATGTACCTTCATCGCCAAATTAATTCCCACTATTTTAATATTGAAGAAAAAATATGAAATAATAAGAAATTAATTAATTATAATAAAAAAGTTTTAAATTTTTAATCAAAAATAAATAAACTGCTATTTATTAAATAAGTGTAAGTATTAGAAAGAAATAATGAAGAAAAAATATAAAATCTTAAAAATTTATAATTAATAATTAAAATAAAAATTGAAAAATTAAGTTAAAATAATTGTATAACTAAAAATAAATAAATAAATATATTAGAATAATAATTTTATAAATAACTTGAAAAGTAAATTAAAAAAAAGCATTAATAATAATTATATCAATAAATTAAATATACCTCTGAGTAATATCGAGTATCTAATGAGATTCGAATGAAGAGTTTAAAAACTTTTTTTTACAAATAAAATAAATTTAAAGAATATTAACAAAAAAAAAATTTATTACTTCTTGTAATTCGTAGAAATAATTTATCTTTTATGTCATTTATTATTTTAAAAAAATATATTTAATAGCAATTTATATCAATTTAATTAATAAGAAGTATATTAAAAAATTAATTTGCTTATATTTCTAATTAATAAAGATAAAAAGTATAAATGAATTTATAAATTTGCTTTAAGGAAGAGATATTGTAAAAAATTAGTGTAACATTCATTATTTAATCTTAATATATCTATTTAAAACATATAGTTAAAAGTATAGTAGGAAAGAATTAGAGATGGATAGTCATACATGGAAAAAATTCTAAGAATTATAGTACTTAAGTTTTAATAATATAATTAATATTTAGGGTATTTTTCTGTTTTATTTGAGTAATAAGGGGAATTATTATATTATAATTTTTATTAAATCTCTTATTATTCTCAATCCTTTTAGTTTTTTTTGCAAACCATAAGCCATGTTATTTAGGCAAATGGGTTGCATGCACCAAATAAATAAGTGCATTTATTTTTACCTATTTAAATAAATTTTTATTAAATAGATTATTCATTCATTTTTAATATAATCAATAATTAAAAAAAAATTTTTTAAATTCACAAACTATGTTTGTAAGAATTAAAAAATAAATTAATTAGGATATTTATTTACTATAATAATTTAATTACCAAACAATTTAAAAAATTTATACATTTCCCCGATTAAGCAAGGAATAGTATTTTTTTTATATTTATTTTTATTTTTTTGATATTTTATTGTTTAAATAAATTACAATAAATAATTTTTTTAATCAGCAAAATAAATGTTTTAAAAGATTTTTTTATGAATATTTTTATAATTTTTGTTACAATTGGAAATATTAAAAATATTAATAAACACATTTTAATATATTATAAAATTCAAGCTTTATCATTCTATTTTTCTACTTCTGAATCATCGTTTTAGAATCTACTAAATTGAAGATAAACTTATTCAAGAGAACTTTGGTTGATAGAGAAATCCTCAATAATTTGTTTTCCTTTTAACTCGTTTTCGCAGAGATTAAATGCCTTAGAGAATTTAAATTCTTCCTTTTTAATATTGAAATGGCAATAATCACTTCTCTTTTCAGGGATTTCTGAGATAGAAGGGAAAGTTTTTTCTAATATTTTTTTTATATCATCCTTGTTTTACTAATTGAGCTTAATTGTAATATTATATCCTTGACCATATTTATTTCTTAATTATTAAGGAGTTCCTATAGTTACGAATTAACCCTTGATAAGTATACCAATTTTAGTACAAAGAGATTCAGCTTCTTCCATAGTATGCGTAGTCATACAAATAGCTGAATTTCTTAGCTTTATTCCCATATTCAAGGTATTCCATAAGAATCTTCTTGCAATAGGATCAACACCAGTAGATGGTTCATCGAAAAATTAAACATCTGGACCTCCAATCAAAGCATTAGCGACACATAACTTTCTCTTATTACCTCCACTTAATTATCCTGCTTTCTTTTTTACCATTTCTGTCAATTACATAGCCTATATTTTTAAAAAAAATAAATATAAAAATTATTGAATTTCAATTCTTTTATTTAATTTTGTTAAAGTAGAATATTTGTTTACCTTTAAGAAGTAATCAACTGATTCATCAAGATCTTTGCCCTTCAAACCTTTCATTCTTCCGAAGAGCTTCAAGTGCTCTGGAGGTGAAAGATTTTCCCAAAGACAATCAAACTAAGGACAGATACCAACATCTTAGTAGATTTCCATGATACCTTTGTCAACTTCTATATTCTTAATTTTGAGTGATCCATAGGATTTAGGGATCAAACTAGTTAAGATACTAAAAGTTGATGATTTTCCTGCTCCATTAGGACCTAATAGACCAAATATTTCTCCTTTACCAAAAGTAAAGTTAGTATTTTTAATAGCAAGAGTACCATTATCATAAATCTTTGTTAATCCTTTCACTCTAACAGTTTAGTTTTCTAATTTAACTACTTTTTGATTTTCTTCTTCCACAAGTTGATCACCTTATTCTTCAATTTATGCTAGTATTTAAGCTTCATCTATTTATTAATTTTAATATTAGGTAAGATTTTTTTTAATTTAATTTTATATTACTTTATTAATTGCCTGTGTTTTTTACTCCGTACTTTCTCTATTCAATGTAAAGAGTTAATCCCATAAATATAGATGCACTTGCAATCTGCATTAAACAGAATTAGTAAGGGTCATTTAAAGTAATTACTAAATCAGTATGTGCAATTCCTTCATCAGAAGTTTGAGGATAAACGCTAATAAAAGCAACATTCATAGAGAATAAAGGACTAATTAAATACAAAGGAATTTCCAAAAATCCATTTAGCCACTCATTCAAGGTAGTTGCTATTACAAAAATGAAAAGTTTTTATTTAAAATAAAACTAATAATAAAAGTAAATTTACAAATAAGATTATTGTCATAAAGTTCATAAATAGATCCAATAATAATCCAGGGTAAACTGAAAACTACAAAGTAATTCATCAAAGGATAAAATTTAAGAGCAGCACTTGATTTTTAAAAGATAAAACCCCAGAAATAAGAAGATGTTATATAAGTAGACCCAAAAGTAACTAAAATGAAGAAAATGTTAACAAACTCATCAGTAACATATGTAAGATTTTAAGCAAAACAGAGAATAATAAATATCACAATAGTCAAAAAGAATACTGCAAAATCAAACAAGAAAGTTCCCAACCAATAAGGTAAAACCTAAAGAAAGAAAGTAATAAATAAATAAATTATTGAGTTAAAAATAAATTATTAATTAGTAAATATTTTACTCTGCAACCCATAACATTAAGAGCATACTTAAGATGATATTCTCTTTCCATAACAGGAAGTTGAATGAAAATAGCTGAGTTGAATGTATAAGCAAGAACCATAAAATAGCTCATAAATGATAATCTGAAATTATTCTCATTGACTCCTGGAGGTTTTGAGAAAAACCCAACAACCTTAAATAAAATTTATAAAAAACAATTTTAAAGAAGAAAATTATTTTATTTATCTTAAATTATTTTGAATAAGAAAATAAATTATTATCTTTACAAGTTCTTCATTTAAAAAATTAAATTTATAATTGATTTTATTGAAATTCTTAATTTATTTGTTTATTTAACTTTATCATTTTTTGTTTATTATGAAATAGAAATTGTTTAAAAATATTGTTTTATTTAAATGAAAAAGCTAAAATTTGATTTTTAATGTTTGAAAAAAATTAATTGTTTACGACTGTAGCGGCAATTAAAAGAATCAATGCAATAACAAAAGATATCCAATTGGTGGAATTTCTTATGGTATAATAGAATCTACGAAGAAAGATGGCTTGGAGTTGTGAAACAAAGCTGTAAGATGGAGGATTTTTCAAACAGTCAGGAACTTAGATATCATTGAAGTTTGTATACTCATTTTTGGTGATATTTTTGTGTTCTCCTTCATTTTACTAATTATTTTTGCTTCCACTTCTACTTAATCTGCGATTATTTCTTTCTAAGAAATTTTCTTCATCCATTCCAATATTAATGAAAGCGTCTTCTAAACTGTTCATTTCTAAATCAACGTTTATGTGTTCATATTTCTCGAGAGAGTGAAATAATTCAGCAAAACAAGCTTGTGCTGAAAAAGGGATCAAATATAAGATTGTATCAGCAGGAGTTTATGGGTTGAATTAACAATCTTTAATTCTAGATTCTATTATATTCTTAATTTCTTATTTCCATTAGCTTTAGAAATCCTAAATGTGCTATTCCTCAACTGATATTCTAAGAGAATAGCCTTCTCCGAAATTCTTTTTAATAAACTAACTTGAACCAACAGCTAAAAGTTTTCCTTTTGCCATAATTCCAATTCTATCAGCTAGCACTTCTGCTTCATCTAAGTGGTGAGTTGTTAACACCAAAGTACGCTCTTCACTACGCACAGATTCTAAAATATCCCAAATGGCTCTTCTGCTTAAGTTATCCATTCCAGATGTAGGCTCATCTAAAAATATCATCTTTGAACCTCCAATCAAAGCCATACCTAAAGATAATTTACGTTTTTGGCCTCCAGATAATTCCTTAACCTTTTTATTAGCCTCACTATGAGTACCTGTTTTTTCTAATATATATTCTACTTCTTATAATAGCTTCTCACCACTTAAGCCTTTAATTTATCCAATCAATTTAAGCTACTCAATAAATGTTAAATCATCATAAAGACAGTCTCTTTAAGTACACAAACCGATATTATTTCTAATTTGATCTATGTCAGTCTCTAAATCCTTGTCATAAACTATTTGTTATTTTATATTAGTTTGCCTTTTAAAGTATAATTTGACAATGTTACTTACTTTAAACATTACCAGATGTCTTGCTAATCAATCCCGTCAAAAGAGAAATAGTAGTAGTTTTACCAGCTCCGTTGTGACCTAATAAGCTATATTTTATAAATGACAATTATTGATAATTCTTTCACAATAATAATAAGCAAGATTAGATTTTAAAAGTTTTTGAAAAAGCAATAAATAACTTTATAAAGAAAAACTTCCAAAACCACCACGAATGCTTTTGTAAGCATTTCAAATAGATTTAATTGAAAAATGTAAATTTTATTTAAAAAGTGTGATTTTCTTTATATAATCTTTACCAGAAAATATTAGATTCGTAAAGGTTTATTGATATTTTATCGACGGCAGTAAAATCACCAAACACCTTTTAGAGAGATTTTATAATTACACGAGCAGGTAAGTTCTTTTCATTAGGATAAACCTCATGGAAAAGGGCAGAAGAAGTATCTTGTGGGTTTTAGAAAACACTGACTTATTCTTCATCATTTTGGTTCAATGGTTGGATGAGAGAGTTATTTTTAGATTCTTTTGTAAATAAAAAATGGAGGTTAGTGGTAAATTAGTGGCATTATATTTTGAATAAAATTATGGTTTTTATTACTTAATCTATTTGAAGATGTTTTATCTGACTTTTTAAATAAATTAATCACAAAGAAGAGAGGATGCTTAGAAACACCATACTCGTTAGGAATGACTTAATCAAGATAGAAATAAAGAATTATGTAAACGAAAATCATGAATGAAAGCTAAATAATTGCATCGCTAGAACTGTAGTATGAGCTAATTAGATTTCCATTCTAATAAAACATTGATCCTTCTTATTACAAAGCTATATAGCAAAAAGCGATTGAACATTAGGGGAATAAACCCATAATCCAATAAAATTCTGACTTACTATTTTTAATAAAAATGTATGATTAAAACTCAATCTATTCCTATGTAACTAACTCCTCATAAATTATATATTTCAGTATGCAAGCATGAATGAAGTTTTTTGTCATAAATATATATATATAGATTGATTGATTGATATCACTGTAATGTTTTTTATTGCTCATTATTTTTTTTTTTGTTCACTCATACTGCTTACTTCTTTATAAATTTTAAATTACTTTTTGACTTCATCTACAAAAATTAAAAAGACTAAGAATATTGGAATGATCATAAGGATGGTTCCTATTTCTGAAGCCATTTTCACCTTTGAAAACATGGTAGAAAAGCAAAGTGACTAATGGATGGAGCAAATAAAGTACAAGAAATAGGCAATGACAAATGGGGCAGCATTATCCACATAAGGAAATCCGCTGATCAGTGGAGCGATAATAAAAGTAAAGACACTCTATATATTTTTGATATAAAAGTTAATATTTTTAGCCATTTTCTTTGAATTTAATTTCATTTATATTACCAAAACACCTTTTGAATAGCTAGAACTTATCCATGCGGTAATGTATGCGCTCTATTTCAATCCCATAATCTAAGTTTTACAAATTTTTAAAATCAATTTTGAAATTAAAATCTAAAATTTTCATACCTTCTAAGTTTCTTTGTATCTTTCTGCCTTTTCTTCAACTAACTAAATTAAAGTTGATCTACTTGTACCGCTGATAGCAAGAGGGATTAGTAAAGGTGCCATCATAGCAAGCTAATCCAAATATTCTTCAAATTTTAAAATTTTAAAATAAATAAAAATGAAAAATATTATTTGATTACTTGTTAAAAGAAGCAAAACGCCTGCGAAGAGAGGCAAGGTACTCTCCTTGAATATATCTTTGCTCCTATAAGCTATTAACATATTCTTCTTATAAATTGTGGAGAACTAAAGCCTAAAAAGACTATCCATTATTATAATTAACTATCTACTTTTTCAGTGAAAAATCTACTTTTAAAATCTTAATTTCTTTTTTTTGATTGATATTTTTGATAAATTTTTAATTTATTTTGCTTTCTCTTTTTATATAGATTTGTGAGTAATCGTTTTAAACTGCTGTTTTGAATTTAAGAATTTAATTAAGATTTCAATCAAAAATAAAAAGAAAATTTATGCAAATTCAGAATAACTAACTTCGAAATTGCATCATTTGATTAGTCTGAATGTTAATAAATTCTTATGACATTTCGCAAATAACCAATTTTTATAATTAACTTTAATCCACAAACTCATCAGTAAATTATTATTAATTAATAGTAAAATATCTCATTTCAATGCAAAGATATTCTCTTTTATTTAAATTTGTAAATAAAATCTAATTTCTTTTTAATTCTTCAAATTACACACATTTTAGCATTTTTAAAATATCTTTGAATTTTATTCCTTAAACCTTCTTTCTCTATTTAAAATACTTTTCAATTAGAATTCATTTTATACGCAAAAAAATTACTTTCTGCGAGGTTTTATGATAAATGAATTAAAATTGAGCTTTTTAAATAATTTACAAATTAACTTAATCGACTATTAGTATAATATTAATAATACTTTTAAATGCGTTAAATAAAGAAAAATAAACACAATACATCTATTTAAATAATTTTATTTTAAGTAAATAATATTTCGTTTAATAAACATTTTAAACTAATTAGAAATATATAATTAATTTTTGTAAATCCAAAACTAATTATTTTATCTATTATTTAAATGGATATTTAAAAATGTGTTTTTTTTTTGTTATGTTGATAAAAACAATGAACCTCTTTTGTTAGATCCTAAACAAATGGTAATAAATAAGAAATTAATTAATTTATTGATTTTACTTGTAAACAAAGTCTGATTACCCTTTTTTACTATCTTATCAAGTTATTTTGATAATTTACACAGAAGATTGATCAAATTTACCTCAATTTATTTATTAGGAATTTAACTCAGTTTAATTAATTTATTTAATTACTTATCATCTCCATCAAAATTTTCTAGAAAAACAATTACTTTTTTTCTTTCAAATTTAGTTTATGAATTCAAAATGTAAATTAATTCCCTAAAAATCAGTTTGTAAAAAAGTAAATTCATTTTTATTTATGAAAAGAAAAAAAACTAAACTTTTGTAGTAGTCTTTATTTTTATGTTTGAACAGCGAAGATATATTCTTTTATAATTATTTTAAAAAAATTAATTAGTGTGTAACAATCATATCATTTCTTTTAAATTCTTAATTATAGATTGATTTTAAATTGACTAAAAAAAAATATATAGTTAATTTTTAATTATTTATTCATTTTTGGGCTTATTATTTAATAAAATGGAATTACTTATTATTTATTTATTAATCTATTTTTTTTTTTTGATTTGGATTTAATTTAAAATGGAGGATTTGCAATATTTTGATTATAAAATTATAAAATATGGATTTTTTTGATAATTATTATTCAATTAAAAAAATGAATTTTTGTTGATATGAATTAATATGCGATATTTATATTTGATACATTCAATTAATTTTTTATAAAATTAACTCAATAAAATAAATTTGTTACATAAGAATAATATATTTTCTTCATTTATTGATTCATTCAATTGTTTTAATTTGATTATGTAATAATTATTCATTGTTTTCTTCGATTTGGAATTTACTAAATTGAGAGTAAACCTATTCTAATGAACTTTAGTTAATTGAGAAATCATCAACTAAGTTTTGTTTTTTCAAGCTGTTTTCACATAATTCAAAGGCTTCTAAGAATTAGAATTCCTCTTTTCCAATTTAGAAAGTAGAATAATCAGACCTTTTGTCTTAAATCATGAATGCGTTAGGGAATTACATCTTAATCATTTTCTCTAGTTATTCCTTAGAGGCATTTTTGTTAAGTTTAAATGTAATATTGTAACCAGAACCGTACTTATTTCTTAGTTACTAAGGAGTACCGAGGGTTTAAAATTAGCCTTTAATAAGAATTCCAATCTTTGTGCAAAGGGATTCAGCCTATTTAATTTCAAAAAAAATTAAATAAATAACTTAAACTAAAAAACTATTAATTACTTCATCCATAGTATGAGTTGTCATGCAAATAGCAGAGTTTCTTAATTTCATTCCCATAGTTAATGTGTTCCATAAGAATCTTCTAGCAATAGGATCAACACCTGTTGATGGTTCATCAAAGAACTAAACATCAGGACCACCAATAAGAGCATTAGCAACACAAAGCTTTCTCTTATTACCACCACTTAATTCACCTGCCTTCTTGAGAACCATTTCAGTTAATTGCATAGTCTTATTTAAAATTATAAATATTTTATTATTTCAATTTCAATAATACAATAAAATAAATTAATTGCCATTATAATTTTAAATATTATCTTTTCAATTTTATTTAATTAAGAATTTCAAGTAATATGCAAATAAATACCTATAAGAAATATTCAACTGATTCATTTAAGTCAGTTCCACTTAATCCTTTCATTCTTCCAAAAAGTTTTAAATGTTCTGGAGGAGTAAGATTTTCCCATAGGCAATCAAATTAGGGACAAATACCTACATCTTAATAGATTTCCATAATACCTTTATCGACTTCGAAATTCTTAATCTTGAGAGAACCGTAGGTTTTAGGGATCAAACTAGTTAATATGCTGAAAGTAGTAGACTTACCTGCTCCGTTGGGACCAAGTAAACCAAAGATCTCGCCTTTATCAACACAAAATTTGGTGTTCTTTACAGCTAAAGTACCCGTTTCATACTTTTTGATTAAGCCATTAACTCTAATAGTTTCGTTATTGTTCTGATTTAAGCGAGCGATTTCTTCTTATACTAACTCATCTCCTTATTCTGGGATTTACTAGAGAATCTCGTCTTCAGCTAATTTTCAGTTAATATTTTTTAATTTTTAATAAAAAATGATTAAAAAATAAATATATTACTTTCTTAACCACCAGTGTTTTTTAGACCATATTTCTTCTATTCAATGAACAAAGTAATAAGCATAAAAGATATAGCAGAAGCTAGGATTATGAGGCAGAATCCATAAACGGTGTTAATGGTTGTACCAAAATTTGGTCCGTTTGTTCTTGCTTGAGGATAGACAACAATAAAAGCAAATTATAAACAAAATAGAGGACTAATAAGGTAAGAAGGTATTTAAGCAATACCATTTAAAATGCTGTAAGTGTCAGAGTCTTAAAAAATAAAAAAAATAATTAGTATAATATTTTTATAATTTTTATTATATTTTACTTATATAGCTGTTTTTGTAAAGTTAATAAATGGGTCCACACAATATCCAAGGGATGGCATAAATCAAGAAGAAATTCATCAATGGGTAGAATTTAAGAGCTGCACTTGCTTTTTTGAAGAGAAAACCCCAGAAATAAGAAGAAGTTATATAAGCAGCTCCAAAAGTAGTTAAAATGAAGAAAACTGACCAGAAAGCAGAAGTCACATATGTAAGTTATTAAGCTACACACAAAAGCAAGAAGATTACAATAGTCAAAAAGAATATCATGTAGTCAAACAAGAATGTACCAAGCCAATAAGGTACTACCTTTAAATGAAATCAAATAAATATTTCAATAAAAAATTATTATATTAATTAAATAATTAATTAATTACTCTGCAACCCATAACATTTAGAGCGTATTTAAGATTGTATTCTCTTTCCATTACTGGAAGTGAAATGAAAATAGAAGAATTGAAAGTGTATGCAAGAACAAGGAAGTTACTCATAAATGTCAATCTAAAGTTATCTTTAGCGAATTCAAATGCAGCTGGAATAGTTATAACGTTTACGACCTGTTTATTATTTTTTTAAACAAGATTTTATTATTTCAAAAAGATTGATTTTTATGTAAAAATAAATTACGATTGTTGCAGAAACAAGAAGGACAAAAGCGATTATAAAAGAAATCCAGTTTGTTGTATTTCTTATTGTGTAGAAGTATCTTCTCAAGAAAATAGCAAGCAATTAGCTAACAAATTTATAGGTTGGTGGATTTTCGAGGCATTTAGGAACTGCAATGTCGCTGAAGTTTGTGTATTCATTTTTGGTTGCTTCCTTTTTTTCTCCTAAACCACTCAGACGAGTTTTATTTTTTTCTAAGAATTTCTCTTCATCCATACCAATATTGATAAATGCGTCTTCTAAGCTGTTCATTACTAAATCAATGTTGACATGCTCAAATTTTTTGAGTTTTTTGAACAATTCTATGAACCTAGGTTATTCGCTGAAAGGAATTAAGTAAAGAATTGTATCGGCTTAAGTTTAAGGATTGAGTTAAGTGTCTTTCAAAGTTGTTTCTATAATTTACTTGATTTCTTATTTCCAACTGCCTTAGAATTCAGATAAATGATTATCTTCTACTGATATTCTCAAAGAGTAACCTTCACCGAAGTTCTTTTTAATAAACTAGCTTGAACCAACAGCCAAGAATTTACCCTTAGCCATGATACCGATTCTATCTGCTAAAACTTCAGCCTCATCTAAGTGATGGGTTGTTAAGACAAGGGTACGCTTCTCATCACGAACAGACTCTAAAATATCCCAAATAGCTCTTCTACTCAAATTATCCATACCTGAAGTAGGTTCATCCAAGAATATAACTTTAGATCCTCCAATAAGAGCCATACCAAGTGAAAGTTTACGTTTTTAACCACCAGAAAGTTCCTTGGACATTTTATTCGCTTCTTGCTGAGTTCCTGTCTTATTTAAAATATATTGGACCTCATCTTCTAGAGCTTAGCCATCTAAACCCTTAATGTTTCCTATTAATCTCAGATGCTCAATAAAAGTCAAATCGTCATATAAACAGTCTCTTTGAGTGCACAATCCAATAAATTTTCTAATATCATCCATATCAGTTTCTAGATCTTTTCCATACACTAAATTTTTGAAAAAAGTAAATCATTTTTTTAAAAATTATTGACTCATAAATTTTAAAATTTACTTTGAACTTGTCCATTAGTTTTGCTGAGTAAGCCTGTGAGCAAAGAAATGGTGGTTGTTTTGCCTGCACCGTTGTGTCCAAGTAAGCTTTTATTTTATTTATTAATATTAAAAAATGTTTAAAAATCCAATTAAAGTCAATTTACCAGAAAATGTTTGATTCGTAAAGTTTGATAGAAATTTAGTTAACTGCAGTAAAATCACCAAATTTCTTTTCAAGCCCTTTAATAAGTACGCTGGCAGGAAGTCTCTTTTCATTTGGATAAGGTTCATGGAAATCAGCAGATGAAGTGTCTTGTTGAGCCAAAGAAGCACGAGAAATTTCAATATCAGACACATCGTTGCGATTTAAAGCCTCTTTGAGACCTTAATTTTCACCTTGGGAAGAGACATCTTTTAAAAATTATATTTAATTCTTTATATGCAAAAAAAATAAAGTCTAATTTTACCTGTATTTGACTTCTTAAATAAGTCTTTAATGAAAAAGAGAGGGTGCTTGGAAACTCCATATTCGTTAGGAATTACTTAATCCAAGTAAAAGTAGAGTATTATGTATAAAAACACATTCATAACCAATTCACCAATTGCATCATTTACAGTATAGTAATCGCTTACAGGAGGAGTTTAGTAGAAAGTAGATTAGTCATTTAACGAAGACATGTAAGCAAATGCAATTGTGCATTAAGGAAATAATCCCAAGAACCAATAATAAGGCACAAATCTTTAATAAAAAAAGAGATTAATAAAAAATTAATCTAAATTTGTAAACTAAACAGAATCAATTAATTGTTAAATCTTTTATTAAAAACAATTGATTCTTATTCATACTTTCTTGAATAATTAGCGAATAAAAAATTATATATTATAAAAGACTTTTCAAGTCCCAGCTAACATCATTGAAATTAAAAACTTATTATTATTTATGATAATTAATTTTAAGCATTGTTTTTCTAATAGCTTTCTAATAAAAAATTTTATTTGGTACGACTTAAATTAGAAATGTTTGTATTTATTTTGGAGAAAAAGATGCTTATTCCTATGAAAACTTTGTAAAAAAAGATATTGTATGCATGGGTTTAATTGTTTAATAATAATATTATTATCAAATAGGCAAATCAAAATGAATTTAATTATAAATTTACGATCTAATATCTTAGACGAGAATTAAAAAGACCAAAAAGATTGGAATAATTGTCAAAAGTGTGCCAATTTCTGAAGCCATTTTAGTCTTTGAAAATAGTGTAGATAGACATAAAGATTGATGAATTGCTGCAACGTAATAAATCAAGTAAGCTCCTATAAAAGGGCCTGGTGAGTCTATAAAGGCTAATCCAGCTACTGCAGGAATGATTAAAAAGGTAATTGAGCTCTATTGTTAAGTTAAAAAAGATTATCAATAAACATACCTCTAAAGTAAATAAATGTCTTACGAAAATACCTCTGAGATAGCTAGAACTAATCCAAGCTGTGATGTATGCTTTCTAAGACAGTCCCATAATCTAATTTGATAATCATTTGTTTATTACTAATTAATATCGATTAATTGAATTTACCTTTTATGTTTCTTTATATCTTTCAGCCTTTTCATCTACTAATTAAATCAATGTAGACCTACTTGAACCACTGATGGCAAGAGGTACTAAGAGTGGAGCCATAAACTGAAGTTATGAAAGATATTCTGTTGGAAATGTAAAAAAGAATCATTAAAATAAGCTAAAAATAAATGAAAATTAATTATTTACTGACTAAAAGAAGGAGAATGCCTGCAAAAAGCGGGAGAATGTTCTCCTTAAGTATATCTTTGTTACGCCAACCTATTACCATGTTCTTTTTCAGAACACTTTTAAATTGTAAACTAAAAGTCATTGAATTGGACTACTTTGAGCTTATGCTTTTTACTCTAATTACTTTTAAGCACGAATATATTATTTATTTGTTTGTTTTTGATTTATTGAATTAAGATAATGCTCAACACGATTTAATAAGTTTAGTTATATGATAGTAATTGATTTTTAGAATTGCCAAAAAACATTGAAAATTGTTTAATGAAGCATCTCATTTTTTATCAGATAGATATTCAAATTCTGGATTAAAAGCAAAAATTTGATTGGAATTATAACTATCAGATGGAAATTTAAAGAATTTCTTTACTTTACTCTCTCCTATAGTATCATTATTAATAGAACATTTTCAGAAGAAAATAGCTAATAAATAAATTGCTTTTATAGATGTGGTCAATATTATCATTAATTTGAGTAAATTTTAAATTTTAAATTAAGTAAATAATTTAATTAATATCTTTACTTATTTTCCAAATTCCCTTACAATTTCATAACTTAAGTTATTCTTTTTTCTTCATTTTATAAGAAGATTTATATTAAAATTACTAACTTGGTTAAAGCTTTAAAATATTTTTATTATGAAAATCCTAAAATTTACATTTTAAACAAACCAAGGATATTAGCAGTAATTGATTTTATAAAAGAATATTTCATGAATTATATTTAATAAGATAAAGAATGTTCATAATATTTTTCTTTTGTTTGAGGATTTTATCAGTATTAATTCATCTTACAATTTTCGTGCATGTAATAAAAAATTGAATCAAATATATTAGGTGAGTTTTATATTAAAACTAAATATTTACTTATTTCAAAAACTTAAGTAGTTTAAATAAAATAAAATTGTGTTATTTTGTTTGTTTGTTTAAAGAAATAATTTTTCTTAATGTAAAAATTTGTTAAATATTTTATTACGCTAAGCTAATTTCAATCGCTTTTATAAGTAAGAAAGAATAAAATAGATATCATAAATTTATATTATTTTTGATGCTGACTCATAAATATATAACATCGTCAGATTTATTTAGAAGTATTAAAAAATTACACAATTTAGATGTAAATTAATAATTTTTATCATCCTTTAACAAAGTGTAAGCTAAAAATTAATTTAATAAATAGAGAGAATCTTTTTGTCTTTTTACTTATTTTATTATATACTCATCATTTTTTGACGAAATTATGTTGTTTTCTAAGTTTAAAATATTTTAAATTATATTAAAAATTATTAAGATTCAAAATTATTTATTTGACTTTAAAGATTTGTAAATTTTTTTATTAATCTAAATCAAGATAAAAGTAATTACATTATAGTATAAATTAATTTATTAAATATTAGATTTGCTGATTAGTGAAATTTTCCATAAATCCTCATTAATCATCAACAAACAACCCTGAAAATCCTTTATATCTTTAGCATGAAAAAGTACTTAGTGATTGGTAAATCAGAGAATCCAAGGATTTCTTAAAAATAGAGGAAATAAGGTAGTTTTATAAATATATTAATTTAAAAGGATACACTATATGATCACCTGATTAAAATAGAAAAGTTATAGCAGAGTAAAAAAAATGAGGATGGTTATATTGATTATATAAATCAATTAAAATAATCCATAAGAAAATAGCAGTCTACTATAACTAAACTATTAAAAATTGCTAAAAATACCTGGACTCTGGGAAAAAAAAGATGTGACTAAGTTATATTCTGAAAAGGATAAAAATTAAATATTAAAGATAATTTTGAATTTATTGCTACATATTTAAATTTTTTGACAATACATCTTTGCAAGTACTTTATAATACTGATTATTAAAACACTCTAGACAGAGTTAATTTTTCTTTTATTAAAATATTGTAAATTATTTTTAGTTTTCCAACTAATTTACATAATTTTATCAGTATTAATTAAATTTTATGAGGTTGTTCTTGAGAAAATAAAGGTAATTTTGTAATAAAAAATGGAAAATAAAATTATATTTTTTAATAATTATAATTATCATCATAAATTCACTTCAATAATTTGATAAAATATTAATTTAACAGAAAAAGCTAAATATTACATTTATTTGATTAATTAGTTGCTATCAAATAATTAAAGATACATAAATGGAAGTAATTAAAATAAATTTATTTTATTTATTTGTATCAGTTGATTCTTTTTTTCATAAATTATAAAATGATTTTTTTTATTATCCTTTTTACAAATTTAAAAAGAACGTCTTCAATTAAATAAAATTTTGATGATAATGAAAACGATTGATATTTGAAATTTTATATCCACTTATAATTGGAATTCTTCTTCATTCTTCTTCTATAGTGATGTCTTTGGGTGATTATGAAGATAACTTTCCATGCATAGCCTAGTAAAATTATTCAAATATATGTATTAAAATTTTACAAATAATATTCTGAGAACTCAAAATAGTTTATATTATAAACTATAAGTTTTGAATAAGATTATCTTTAATTAATAAAATATATTTAAAAGTTAAAAATGTTAATTGTTTTAGTTTTTAAATTAAATTGATGAAATATTAAAATAAATTTATAAAAATAAAGAATTAATTCTAGATGAAAAAATATAAAAATCAAACAAAAAAATAAAATGAATAAACCAACCAAAGTGATAAGATCTTAATAATTTTATTTATAGAGATATTTTTCTAAAATATTTAAAAAAATAATAATTTTTTAATAACTTTACATTATTAAATGCATATAAAATTTATTTGAAACTCGATCTTTTAAAGTTATTGCATCATTTTTAATTTAAAATCATTTTATTAAGAAAATACTATGAAAACAGCATACATTCTTAATATCAAGAGCATTCAAATCCATTCTTTAAAAATGATTGATAAAATCATCCCTGTTTTTTTTGTTTGAGTTCACATAATTTTCATGATAATTAAAATCATATGAAGACAATATAGTTGCCAAGATAGGACCCTGACAGTGTTAATTGAAATTCAATGATAAAATACCTAAAAGAATGAAAAATATCTCTGCTTGATTATTGTGCAAAGCTAAAAATAAATCGTCAGGAGCATGCTATACAGTGCTAATTTGTGTTTATACACTTGAAAGAACTTTATCATATTGTTAAAGAGATAATTCTAAATATACTATATTTTTAAAATCAGTAAACATATAAACCAATAAATAAGTAAGTAAGTAAGTAAGTAAATAAATAAATAAATAAAGATTTTAAGATTTTATTCATAAATTTTAATAATTTATTTACTTATATTTTTTATTAATTTCAATAAATGCATACAATTTAAAAAAATTACTTTATAAAAGAAAAAAATAAAATTAAAGCATTTTAAATATATTTGAAGCTCATTAATTTAAATTATTGATTTATTTTTCATTTTTAATCATTTTATTAAGTAGATCTTATGAAAATAACATACGATTCTTAGCATCAAAAGCATTCAAATTAATTCTTTGAAAATGATTCATTAAATCCTCTCTAGTATTTTTGCTTTGGTTAATGTAATTTTCATGATAATTAAAATCATATGAAGATAAGATTGTTGCTAAGATAGGACCATGTGACTGAGAATATAAATTCATCTAACTCGTATCTAATAGAATGTCAAATATATCTCTATTAGATTAATTGTCTTTTGATAAAATGTGGAAAACCAAAAATAAAACATCTGGAGAGTATTATTCAAAATTAATTACGTATGGCTTTAAAAGAAGTTAAGTAAATTTTTTAATAGACATAAATTTATTGCTTCTAAAAGTTTTTGTGTTATGGTGAGGATAATATATGTTTCGATTTAAAAATCTTATTTAACATCCTCTTTACTACAAAAGGTAGTTAAAAAAATTAGGATCTTCCCAGTTAAAATAGCCATTTTCATTTTAGTAAAAAAGACAATAATAAAGCAGCATTATGTGATTTTCGAGGATTTCCTTTTTATTCTCAATTTTAGAACCGAAATTTGTTTTGATATTTAGATATTTTTCCCATTCGTATTTAATTTATTCTTATTATTTCTTGGAAGTTAATTTATGCACTTAATCTATAAGTTAATTTGCTTCCACTCCTTATCCAAAATAGGCATTTATTATTTTAACAAAATGGTTGTCTCTAAATTCAATAACAAGCTCTTTTACTGCCTGAAAAATATTTTTGTTTCTTTAAAAAAGTGACTATTATAAAATAAGCTTAATTTAAATGAAAGATAGAAGCAAAACACAAACCTAACCCTAGAAATTGTAATGAGTCAGTTAAGCTTAATCATGCTAACATAGCATATAGTAATACACTAGCTTCTCAGCAAATTCACTCTTAATCTCTTTAAAATTTTGTTAACCAATCTAAGGAACGCCTTTATTTATTTGCTTAAATTAATTTACCATTTATATGAATACCTCAAAGAAACCTACACTTCTAATTAAAGGTCCACATCCTGAGGATCCCAATAAAATATCCATATTTTTGTCAGCTTTGAATTCGCTTAATTTAGAAATAAAAAACCAATCCCGAGACCATAATTTAGGTTCCTATCTTTTTTATATTTTTTGAAACATTTTTTTATCTTTCATACGAAAATCAAATGAATCGTCAATATTTTGTTAAAATTTATTATTGTTGTTGTTTTGGATCAAATATTTATGAAATTATTTTTGCCAATTTTAATAAAGAAGAGACTGATTTAAATCAATGGTTATTTAAGAATTATTTGTTATTGCTTCTGCTTGATAATATTTATGTAAACAATTTTCTTTTACATGATTATAAATTTCATTATTTCCAGGGTATCTTATAAATAATTCAAGATATGAAACTTAATATTTTTGAGAAAGTTACTCAGGATTAATATTTACCATTCTTTAGAAAAATATATAATCAAAAATCAAAGAGTATTTTAATCCATTATTAATTTGATTCCAAAGCAATTTCTTTTGATCTTAAACAGGTTAAAAAAAGAGATATTAGTCATCTATCTCATTGTTATACTTATATTTAAAGAAGCAACCATGTGATCTATCAAGGTTTTATGTCTGAACTAAGAATTCATAAAAATGCTTTTCCAGTCCATTAGTCTTTTGTAAAAAATTTTTAACCTATTTCATTTTTTAGATATATCTGATACTTTCTTTTTACCAAATAAGATAAATAATTTCTAATTATTCTTTATAAATTATTTATTTTTTAGAGATAATATTTCAATCAATTTAAAAGTGACTTTCAAATTATTAATTTATTCAAGAAGTTTCTTTTATATTTTTAGCTTATGAAAATAAAGGAATATAAAAAATAAATTTCTTGATCTGATAAGATCTTAATAGAAGAATATAGAAAATTAAAAATTCTCTTCAAAAATTTTTGATGAAATGAAATTTTAATTATCATTTTTAGTTTTAGATAAAAAAATTATTAAATATAATTTTTCTTAAATTAAAATAATTTATAAATAAAATCATAAAATAATCCTCTTTTAGTTGTAATATTTATTTTGTAAAAAGTAATGCTTTAATAAAAATATACTTGAATCCCTCATATTATTTTGCAAGCCCAGCAATTTAATTTTTAAAATGTAATATGTTTTTAATCGGTAATAATTAAATAAATATCAGCTTGTGCTGAAAGAAAACAAAATCTAATTTTAGACAGTGCTTATTATACATCAATTATCTAATACTTAATAAAAAATAATTCTAATAAATTACAAGTAAAAAATACAAATTAATTTAAAAAATGTATTCAATTTTTATAACTATTAATAGATTTTAATAATTAACAGATAGCTGAATCAAATTTTCAAGAATAGAAAACAAACTTTCATGATTTTTACAAATAGATTAATTTTATTTGCAGTCATTCCATAAAATTCCAAAAAAAGTATTTAATATATAATTCTATTTATTTTTCTTTGGATTAGTTAATAATTAATTTAATAAATATTTCATCAATTAAAAGACTTAAATAATTCTAATTTTAAGTTAAATTTTAGCCTCAATTTTAGTTTAATGCTAGAATGAACTTTTCATTAAATTAAAGTATTTGTAGGGATTTACTTAGATAGGACCATCTGCTAAGTTGAGATTATCAGACAATTATTTTAAAATCAAAAGTTGTATAAATAAATAAATTTTCAAGCTTATAAATTATTTAAAATTCTACATTTATTATAATAAAATTTTTATTATTTTATAAAAATTATAAATATCTACTGCCTTGATACTTAAAAAATATTAATAAATAAAAATATTTAGTAACTATCAAAGAATACTTTATTTTGTTACTTAATAATTAGAAATATAATTTTATTTGTTATTAATCAAGTATTGTTATCTATCTCTTTTGGAAAAAAAATCTATTTATAAGTTTCATGTATATAGTAATTTAACTGCTAGAGTAAAATCTAGAAATGTCAATTTAATCTCATTTTTTAATTGTTAGATGAAAATATCCATTTTTATAAGAACAAAATATGTTTTATTATGGAAGGAATTGTCAAATTAAAATATATTCTAGATTATTAATTAAATAGCTGAATATAATTAATATTTTAAGAAATTAAGTAATGGTTTATTAGTGAAAACGCAAAAGATCAAATAGCGAATAAAAGCAGAATAAAGTACTTATAATATTAAAGCTCTTTATTTATTATTTAGTATTAGCCTTTTATCTATTAACCAAGAAAAATTATATTCAAAAATAGTTAGATAGATTTGTAAATAGAAAGAAAGATAAATAGACTTATTAAATTGTGAATGAACAATTCTTGATATTGATATTACTTATTATTAAATTATTTTGTTAGGAAAAGATAGATGAAGATTAAATATGTATTTATATATATATTATATGCTAATATTAGCAAGAAGTATATTTTTATTATTCATTTGATCAACTAATTAATTTATGAAAATATCAAAAAAGAATAATAACAATAACTAAATTGATGGTTTGATAAGTAAATTCAGTAGTTCACTTTATTTAATTACATAATACAAAGGAAATTGATATTTGTTTTTTGTTCAGTTTAATTAATAATTTAAGTTAAAGCAAAATCAAAGAAACAAAGCATAAAATAAAGCAGTAAAGCCAATACAATTACAGAGGGCTCTTAGAATTTGAATAACATATATAGGGCCATAAAAAAGGCATCTTAGCTGAAAATAAAATTATATTATTATACTTAGAGGTCAATCGATTGATTTAAGAGCAAGGATTATAGTTAGTCATATTTTAGTTTAGAAAACTTTCAACTTTCTAAAAAAAAAAGCTGAAAGCACAAGCTTATATTTGGGCATAAATATTAGAAATAAGACAAATTTTTATTTGAATACAGCTAAGTACATTAAAAAGATAGATTTTAAGATACAAAAAAGGCAAATAAATTGCTAAAAAATAATAAGACATTTAATACTTAAGGGTTTATTTGTTGGGATGAAAAATTTTAGCAAAATCATTTAAATATTAAAGCCGGAGAGACTTTATAGTAGCATTTGGTATTTTAGATTTAAAGATAGCGAAATTGAGGAGAAATACAACCAAAACAAATTTGAATCCAGGAAAAATGTTTATTTTATGATACAGATAATTCTTTTAATTATTATTGGAGGATTGTTTTTATATAATTTAATATTTACAAATTATAAAATGTGGATCGCCCGTGGGGTTCAAGTGATAATAATTATACTTACTATCTTAGCTATTTACAAGCAAAAAGAAAAAATTATGAAAATACTTTCTATCGTATAATTTTTAGTAGATTGCGTGACTTTTAATGTAGTTTTGAAACAATTAATTATAGATATGATTCCTAAAAATCCAGATGATTATTTTAACTATGCTCTCTTTATAGGAGTCCGCTATACCTTTTAACTACTTGGTTACATGATTTCTGTGAACAATACAATATTATAGATACTCATGCTTGCTACTATTTACATAATGTATTCGTTACAGATTGATCTTTAGTTTGAGGGTACCACCTTTTTAACTGTGGCAGGTGTAGTTTGGATTTTATTTTCTTTTTTCATGCTTATTTAGTTAGAAGTTCTTAACAGAAACCACTATTTTTAAAGTATCATTAATGAAAAGAAACACTAAAGCTGGAAGTAGATTTTAGATGAAAAGATTTTGAATAGTATTTTTGTTGTTACTTATGGAAATATAACAAATACTAGTACAGGTCCTCAAGTTACACCACAAAACAGTAACACTATTCTTTAAAGAAAACCTCAAAACGGTAGAGCTTCAGATAATGTAAATTTCTAGTAAGATAAAAACAATTAGATGAAGCAGACAATAATTGATAAAAGGTTAAAGAGTTATAAAGTAGATAATAAGAAATTTAATAAGACATTCTTGCATTTTTAAAAGGAGAAGAGGGAGAGTTTAAGTCATATAACCTTTTAGTAAAAGCTAAATACAATCGAAAATGATAGTATGCCTCAAAGTTCATAAAAATAAAATAAAATTTTGGCAGAAGCCAGTGATTTGCAAGGAGAAAAAGTATTATTAGAGTAATAAGCTAATCTAGGTGAAGATAATACTCAAAATAGTGCAGAAGTAAACAAATAAATAAATAAATTTAATTTTAGAGTTAAGAATTTGAAAGCATATAAAATTTTGGAAGTGAGAGATTATTTTTATAATAAAAGACAAGACTTTATTAATCAATTTTAATATTACTCAATGATTAAAATACTCTTTTTATTTATTGTTCTACTTTTTTACAAAAATAAGAAAGAATTCCACTAAACTAAATTTATTATTTTTCTCCAAATAAATAAAGCTATCAAAATTTTATTGATGAAAAATGATTCTTTACCATATTTTTTTTTGATGTATTTGAAATATAATACACTCTTTCAAAACAGAAAGAGCAAAAATACAAATTTTATTGAAAATTTAAATGATTTGTTTTCAATTTGCATTAAATTATCTCTATATAAGTCTTTCTCACGCACAAAACTTATTTTGAATCATTATGACACAAAAACTCTAATGAAAAAACTAAAATTTTCTTTTGAATCTAATTGACATATTTTTAATTTGGAAATGTAGAGTAAGTAGTATTTGCATAAGTAGTAAGTTAATAAAGCAAATTCATCTGATAAAATTAACCAGCCTAACTGTCAAGAATTTTAAAAGGATAGCAGAAATAGAGATTTTAGCTCTCAAAAAATTGAAGAATAGCAGATAATAAATAGTAATAACTAAAATCAAGGAAATGTAATAGAATGTACAGAATAGATTCAAGTTGAATCTGGTTAGGTATTTTTATAATAAATTTATTAAATCTAATTACTTTGCAAATATATAATACAATTTTATGCAAGCTATAATCAAATTATAGTAATTCATGCTCTAAATAATTAAAACTCGAAAGCAATTTTTATTTTCTAGCATTAATTGCAATATTTCATGTGAAATTTCACCAAAGCAAAGACTTTGAGAGGATATTTAAAATTTCCATCATTTTTAAACAAAGGGCTTACATTAAATTGATTTACTTTTATTTTGAATAGAAAATTATAAAGTAATTATTTGTCTATTAATGCACTTGCTATTATTATTTAATCTTACTCAAAAATTCGAACAATTTTAATGCATTCTAGCGCTCTAAAAAATTAGCACTTTTTTAACCATTCAAAATACCCTTGAATTAATAAGAAACTATACTTTTTAATTTAATTATTTGATCTAAAAAGAGGATTTTTAATTTATTAAAAAAGGCCTGTAACTCAGAATAGACAGGAAAAGAAAATTAGAATCAATTCAAGAATATCTTGTCTAAAGCAGGAATAAACGGGGTGTTTAGCGCATTCAGCAACTTGAATAATTAATCTAATTAACAAGAATTAAATCCTTAATCTAAGTAGCAAAATCATAACTTAAACATATTTTCTTCAGTTCCTGCAAATGACTAGGAAAAGTTATAGCAAGAAACTCCTTATTTAGAAGCTTCAAATAAATTAGATCCTACGATCAAAACTTTAGAATAAAAAATACCTTAGCTTAAGCCGAATGATAGCAGAAGAGATTAATTTAATTTTGAACCTATAGAGCAAGATAAAAGCCTAGATGGGAATAATTAGTTTAAAAATCATCTTTAAAATAAAAATTCAATTCTCCATAATATTAATAAATAATTACATTCTAAAAAACAAAAGTAAATATTATAAAGTTAATAGAACAGAACACCTTCAAGCTCATCTGAATAATCAGGATTAATTTTCCCTTTTTTCAATAATTATTTTGTCAAAACTTTTAAGGACTATGACGAAAGAGATTATTAAAGAAAAGTTATAGAAAGGATCGAAGTTATTCATGATGGGAAAAAGATGACTCTCTATGATAAAATTAAAGAAATTATGAGAATGAGGCACAAATAGATGTAACCTACAAATGACTTAATTGGTGGAAACATCAACATAGATAACTTGGATGATTCATCGGAGCAGCCTTATGGGTAGGCTAATTATGATCATCTTGATAAATTTGTATTTCCAGGTTGTTTTTTCCAAGATTAAAACATGTACTTTGACATTTAAATTAGTAAATGCACGTGGGGCCAATAAGAATAAAGTGATAGCTTGATAGTCATTCTCAATGATATTTCACAAAGAGTGACTAATTAAAGACTAAAGTAGCTAGACAAATACAAAGATGATTTACTTGCTAATGTTTCCCATGACTTTAAAACTCCTCTAAATGGCATGGTTGCTTAGTTGCAATTAATTCAATCTTTATTAAAAAATGTATTTGCTCAGCCGAAAAGGCAGCACGATGGACTCTTTTAGAATAACATTTAAAATTCTGTTAACTTAGAAAAATATAGCAAATTAGATGAAAATAACGTGATAAATTTTAAAAATTGTAAAAGCGATGTCGATGCTACTGAGGCGGGAGGAAGTTCAGAATAAAAAAATCTTGGTGAAAAAAATGTTAACGAAAATAAGTTAGAAGTACCTAAAGAAGAGCAAATTTAAGTTTCAGATATTAATAACTCTACTGATGTTGATGACTTAAAAAGTTAAATTTTTAATTATTTATATTAAGTGGAGTAGAATGTGTGGATGTTGAACCATCTTGTCAACGATATCTAAGATTATTCGCAAATGAATAATCAGACTCTTAGGATCAACATAAGCCCTTTTAGGCTTTATGATGTAGTTAATGATGTTCAAAATTTAATAAAAATTCAATCGGATGCGAAAAGCATAGCTTTCGAAGTTAAATCAACTATTCCGATGGAAAAAGTACAGCTTAACTCTGATAAAATAAGATTGAAACAAATATTAATTAATTTGTTAAGCAATGCTCTTAAATTTACTTATGAAGGTTTCGTGAAGTTAGAAATAGATTATATAGTTAATGAAGAAACTTAACAAAATTCTTTATAATTCTCTGTTATAGATACTGGTATAGGAATGCCACCTGAAGTGCAAGCTAACTTATTTAAAATGTATAGCTCATTTGACACTAACAAAATAAATAAACATGGAGTTGGACTAGGCTTATTTATTTCTAAATGCCTAGTAACATTATTAGGACCTATGAACGAAATTTAAGTGGAGAGCACTAAAGGTAAAGGCTCTACCTTTAAATTCTAAATATATCAAAACCTGGATTTATCTAAAAAGAGGAGAGGTACTTCCTACGCTCATAACTAATCTTTTGCAAGGACTAATAAGAGCGAAAATATTGCTGGCATTTATTAAAGCAACTTGAATACTCCATAAGCACTATATTTGCAGAATGATCATCAATTGAACACATATAATGGTAATTCACCTAATTTAAATTCTTTTTCGCTTAAAAAAGTAGTAACCAATAGCATGAACAATAACAGCAACGGTAATTATAACTTAAATTAGAACAATATCAACAACATCTTTAATTAAAATAACAATAACACAAATCCAAATAACACAATTTACAATAATTACTCTTAATTCCGAGAAGTACAACCTAATAAATCATCTTCTTCATAAGTAAATACTCCTTCATCTTTAAAGTAAAATAATTTAAGGAAATTGATACTATCTAATAATAACATAAATGCTGCATCTTAACCACATCTGTATTAGACAAATAAAAATACAAATGGATAAAATCAATTAACTTCAAATAACATAGAAATTAGTAAATTTGCAATTACTCCGGAAACTAAACTTTCAATTAAAATGTTTTCTAAAAACGATTTATAAGCTTCTCCGCTACAAAAATAATCCTCCCATCATTCATAAACTTAGTAAATATTATAAAATAATCTTGAAAATATGTTTGAAGAAGGTTATGCAAATATAATTGATAAAAGGCATGATAGATAGGCTAATAGTCAAGAAAAAACAACACCAGGAGAAGTTATCGAAGGAGGAGTGAATAGCAAATCTTAGTTTTTTATCAAAGGAAATTCTAACTACTAAACCAAATACATAGGCATTAAATCAACTGATAAAGTAAAAAAATGGGGTTTTGTTCAAATAAAATATAAATCAGACACATAAATTTAAAATAAAAATGATAGTGGCTAATATTAACATTATAGACTAATTGACTAGCATAATTCGCAATCCAACTAATTTCATTCTAATACCTTTCTTGTCAGCAAAAAATCAGTAAACTTTCAACAACCAAATTATAAGAAGAATATGCCAAACTAAAATAATGACGAAGTCTAATACTTGCTTTTGCAAACAGTACAGAACACTTTGGATCAAAATAAGTAAAAATAAATATTTTAAAAAGAAGAAATAAAATCATTTTCTAGTTAGAAAATCCCACTTGATTCTAATAACAAATAACCATACAAACAAAGAATATAAAACAGTTAAAATACAGAAACTACTTTCACATTGGATTAAAACAATTTATCTGAGAGATTTTTAAAAGAAAAAGATGTCTAACAAAAGAAATTTCAAAGAGAAAATTTGCCAACTTTGAATTGCGAAACGGAATAAAATCGAAGCAATTTATCTATTTGCAGAGGTTAATTTCAGAATAAAGCAAGAGAATTTTCAGTTAATAGTAACTTGTTATTTACAAATCACTTATCGAATGAAACACTATCCTCCGATAACGAATTCTAAGAAGGCACTTTAGCAGAGTATAACAAGCAGAAAATAAATTTCGAGTATATAAACTCTCAAATGAAACCAAAAACTCTTGTTCAATTGGTAAATATTGCTCAAATGCCATCAGTTTCAGAACCCTTCTAATTCCAAGATGATTGTGCTGAGTAGATCATTCAATTTAAACCTTCCTCCCATATCCTAAAAGAAAAGAATTCAGTAGTTTCAAACGAAGACATTCCTTCAACAGAAACGATCGATATAAAATCTGTTTCTGAGTAAAAAGAATTTTAAATGGTAACACCAATTAAAAACAAGGCAGTTGCCTTACTAAGCTAAAATTAAAATGACAGTGTTATTTAGAACTATGATTTTATTGATTAGTAAAATTTATAAATTTAGAATTAGTATACAATTTACTAGTAAAATAGTGAAATAAACCATCCTATTCAACATTAAATTGACGATAATCATGTGATATATGATAATATTGAGTCTATTACTTAAAGTACCATTTAATAAAACATTAAAACAAAGTCAAGAGAATTTAAAGATTTGACTATGAAAGTTCTTCCTAATCGTAAACTAAGACTCCTTTATGCAGAAGACGAAATGTTTAGTGTTGTCATGCTCAAAAATTTCTTGAAGGAATATGAAAAATTTATTGAGCTAACTGTTGCGTTTAACGGTGAACTAGCTCTATAAAAAATAAAATAATCAAATCATGATTCAAAGCCATTTGATGCTGTTTTTATGGACTCAAATATGCCTGTAATGGATGGTCCAGAAACTATTCAAGAGATAAGAAATCTAATTTAAAAAAGCGAAATAAACCCTCTAATTATAATAACTTGTACTTCTTATACAGATAAATAAAAGTATATTGAATTAGGATCAGACAGTTTTCTTTCAAAACCAACTAATCTCCAAAGTATATTAGAAGCTCTTATTTTTATAATAAGATAACTAGAAAATAACTTAAATAAATGTAAATGAAATGGATTTAACACTTTTTGAATTGAAAAAATATAAAACAAAAATGATTTATTAATTAAAATACTAACTAAAAAGTAATAAAATAACTAAAAAAATATCTAATAAAATTTTCATTTGATCTGATTAATTTAAATAGAAACAAAATAATGAGACTCTATTAATATTTCTAATTTTCCCAAAAAAAAACCTTTCAACTCCCTATTTAAACTAATATTCATTTTTATATTCACTATATACAAAAACTCTTTTGTTAAACTTTAATAATTATTTTAGTAACAAAAAAAACAAATAATTATGACAATAAATTAAAAAGACTCATACAAAAAAATTATAATAAATTAATTAATTAGCTTTTGCTCCTTCCTTTATTTTAATGTTATAAAAATATATTATTTGTTACTATCTTATATTTTTTTCCAAATTCTCAAGTAAAAAATTATAATATAAACTCTTACTAAACAAATTTAAAGCTGTTCTTATATTTATTGATTTAAGAACAAGTAAACATGAACTGTTATTTTTTTTCAAATTTAATTTATTACAATTTTAATAGGTAGAGAAAATTTAGATATTTAAAATAATTGCGATATTACATATCAATTATCTGATATAACATAATAAATACTACGGATCGACCGTATATATGGTAAAACCGTATTATAAGGCCGTACCATATAAATTTTATTATACGGTATACGGCTGAATAATTTTCTTTTAATTTGGAGATTTTTTTTTATGTTTCATCATGAAAAATCGAGCATCAGCAGTACTTTATAAAAATTAACTTTTATATTTCTCTAATTTAAAGATATTTATTCTTGCTCATTTTTCATGCTAACCAAATACATATTGGAATATTTGGTATCAAATTAAACTTAGTCAAGTAAAGAAAAACCCTCTTTCAAATATCATCGATTTTATTGGAATAAAAGAATATAAAAAGTTGATAATGTTTTTTTAAGTTATAAAAAGTGATGAAGAAATAATTAAATAATTTAAAAAGTCTATAAAAAATGTATTTCATAAACTTTAAAGGTAATATCTTTCTAATATGTATAACGGAAAATACTTGTGGAAAATTTTATTAAAAAAATACATATTTACATGCATAAATACATATCTAACAACTTTTAATTAAAATTTTTATATGGAATTTTACTTTTTTATAACTAAGAAATTACGTGTTTTTAGAAGTAATTGAAGCCATATATAATATTAAAAAATAAATGATTTATTTTAACCATATATTTATAAGAATGTAAATATTATATGAATAATACTAAATTTAATAAATGTACCAAGAATTGAATAAATAATTTGCTTTCTTTTACTCACTATAATTAAAGTTGATTTTTATTGATAATAAAGAAATTAATAAATAAAATTTTGAAAATAATTTAGTAGCATTAACGTTTAAATTAGGTTTATTAGTCACAAAGAATAAATAAAGCAAATAGGATAGAATTTAGCTAGATTTTTATTATTTAGTAAATATTGAACTTAAAATGAGAAACTAATCGAAGTCACATGAATTTGATTTCCATATCAATTCGAATTATAAATTATTACATTTTTATATTAGCCAATTGCCCAATTTGCTACTGCTGGAAATCTTTTCTGCAATCATGTATATTTATTACAGCGAGAAATTTATAATTTCTTTTTACTGTTTACCCATAGTCTTAACATACCTTTTCATGATTTATAAATTTGCTTGGGGAGGTGATTGGAGGTGTTTATCTCGTAAATTTTTGCTCTCAATGATAGGAGTTTTTATTTGTGCTCCTATTTTTTTTTCAATTTACTTTTTTGTATGGGAACCAACTCTTTCACTTGTTTGGTATAAATCTGATAATTGCAAACCCTTAGGATAGAGAGTGACTTAATTAGGAAATTTAGAAAGATATGGATTGTAATACGTATAAATTACATCTGATTTAATAGGTTTATCATGTGTCACAAGTCGCTAATCAAATGGAAATTAATTGAAGAGTTATGATTTTTATGAAAAAGGAGAATTTTACACATGTGATACTAATTATGATTCTACAAACAGAACTCATATTATAAACTAATCATATTACAATATTTCTTCAAGATTTCTAGAACAATCATTTGAATAATTATCTTATAGGATAAATGAAAATAATTTTTAAATTGACTCAGATAGCTATCAAAATTTAGGTTAGGAAAATAAGAAACATACATTCGAAATATAAAAATAAGAATAAATTTATTCGAATTTGAACTATTTACCATAACTAGGCTAATAGGATAGTCTAGAATAAGATAAAATAAACTAAAATATTAGGCATTTAAATGGTTAGCATGCGAATGATAATTAACAAAAGCAAGACTCCTTCCAAAAAAATTAAGGAATAAAAAAATGCAGAATTTAATACAGCTTTTCATAGGTAAAAATTCCAAGTTGGATATGCTAATCGAGCTAGGAAAATAAAATTTTAATAGAAAAGCTATCTTAGAAAGAAGATTATGGCCAATCGTGTTATTATGCTTATTATGGATCAAAAGAGTTGGCAAGGATCAATGCTAGAAGTATAACAAAAGACCAAATGAAAGAAAAGCATTTTTTAATTGTGAAATTCTAAGAGGATAGTTATTATTTTAAGGAAGGATTTATAGCGTTAATAATATTTGCAATGATACCAACTATGCTTTTTTCTTTGTAATCGCTTTTTAGTTTTATAGTGTATGAAGGATTACTATTTATACTCTAAGATTCAATTGAGGCTGAGAATGAAGAATTTAAAAGAAAGACAGGAGCTCAAGATATCCATAGTTAAAAGTAAGCAGAAGGAGATTAAGGTTCATCATAAACTGATAGATAATAGCAAAGACTTGAGCCCAACTAAATCGTTTAGATTTTATCTCCTAACTCTCAATTAAAGGATAGAGACTTTTATGATATCTATAACAATACTAGGAGGAAGCAAATAACTTAAGTAATAAATCCCACAGTGAATGTAAATACTGAAGATCCTATAAATATTACTAAGTTTAATGGAGATACTACAAAATCAGTAATGATAAAGAAAAGTCCTCAGTAAAAAAACCAAGCACAGTCAATAGATGAATTGGATGATCATAAAAGGGATATTTTAAATGGACCAAGAAATATCACTGAAAAGTTTATGCAGGATACCACAAGCTCATCGGAAGAAGAGGCAAACGATAACAACTGTAGTTACATAAAAATAAGAAACATCTATAAAAAGAAGCTCAACCCAAAATACTAAAAAGAAATATAGTAAAAGAAAAAAGAAGGTGTATCTGTAGAAAATGAAGAAATTAAAGTAATTTAGGAAATAAAAGAGCAACAAAAGTAAGTACAAGAAAAGCTCTAGGAAAAGAAAAACAAAAAGAAGAAAAAAAAATTGAGTCCTACCCTAGACGAAACCATTAATTGTTAAAATGACCTGCACAATATTCTTGATGTTTCTTCTTTGGCTCCTCAGTAATTAATAAATATTTTTCTTTAAAATTAAATCTGAATATTTTTTAAATTTATTAATTTAAATTAGGAATTAAAATAATGTAAATAAAGATGAAGATAAAAATAATCCAACCAAAAAAAATGATTAAGCAACATTTGAAGAGCTGAAAGATTCAGAAAATGAGTAGATGGAAGTCTAAGAAAAATAATAAAATAACCCAAATGAAGAAAATCATAATTAATAAAAAGAGTAAGAAGATGCCAAACAAATATAATAAATAGAAGAGGCTTATTAATTTTATGATTAATAAGCTGATAATCCAGAGAGATTAGAAACCCCACCTCAAGATGTAGAATTAATATAATGAAAATTAAAGCTAATAAAAAAACAAATAAAAGAACTTAATAAAAGCAAATTTATTTGCTTGCTTAATTAATAACCAACTAACTAATTTACTTACTTATTTTATGATAAAAAACAAAAATTAATTTAATATTTCAAAAAAAACTTAAAGTAGAAATCATATATATTTATTTATTTTATTAATTCCTTTTATTATAATTGCTAAAATAAAAGAATTTAAATTTATTTATTTTATATTAATTTATAATTTGAGTTTATATAAAATGTATTTATCTAAAGCTTCACATTTATTACATTTCTATTCCTTTCATTTCTTCATTCAATTTTCCTTATTAATCTCTTAATTTTTTTATTTTTATTTTTTTCTGAATAACATAGTTTTTTTTTGAGGAATTATTTTTTATAAAGCTCTTATCTAGAGTTTTTTATTTATTTAAATTGAATATCCTTGATGAAACTATGTTCTCTTTCCTATTTATTGAGCAAATATTCCAGATATTGCTGTTAAATTAACTATTATTGAACGACAGATTCTAATCAGATATTAATTCTATATTTTCTTGTTACTAATTTTTTTTATCTCTGTTTCTTCTTTTATATGCTTGTATAAATGATTGAATTTTTTTTACAATTTAAGGAATAGAAAGAACAAATTTTATAATTATTACTAGGGGATTGAAAAATAAAATTATTAAACAAAATATCATAATCGCCCAGCTAGCTTTATCTACACTATCAATGTCAGAATTAGGTATATTAGAATCTTTTTCAAGTATATTGCTGATCTTTTGACCTAAAACTAGAATTGATATAAAAATGGATACCCAACTAAATTGATCAATAATAAGACTAAAGTTGTTAATAGATTATTTGTAAGGTCTATATTTAACACTTATTATAAACAAAATAATCTAAAAAAAGAGACAGAATCCAACTTAGAGTTTGTAATTAAAGTAAAAGAAAATTATAGAAAAGGGTATAATAAAATTTTCGATAACTTAATAGATGAGTTTAAAGTTCAAAGTTATCCATCGTTACTCAATCAAATCTTATTTCATGTGTTTATAAATAATCTCCAACCATATAGTAGTCTTTTTTATTTTATAAATTTATTAAACTTCATTATATGAGTCATAACTTTGTCTAAGCATTTCTCTTTAATGAAGTTAACCTCTTTAAAATTTGAATAGTTTATTGTTGAGAACTTTATATGAAACTAGTAAAAATACACAGAAGTAAATTGTGAGTATTAAGGTAAATACTATTCTGTAATATGACAAACTATCTTTACAGCCATATAAAAAAAGCGATAAGATTTAAGTGCCTATCGAAAAGTAAGAAACTAGCATGATAATCTCATGAACTTAAATTAGAGCTGATGAAACTATATTTTCATAAATTTTTTTTGATCTTTAGGCAAACAAACTGTATTAATGGAGCTGATTGATAATTAAGAAATTGTTTTTGTATAATAAAACTGAGGGAATAAATATTGTAAGAATAGAAACTACGACAGTCAAAATTCCACCACCATTAATGAAAATACTACTATCAATGTTTTCTGTGGAGAATTTATTACTTAGCTATGGACTTGTTGAATCATGAACAATGAATTTATTTAAAATATTTAGATTCTAAATGAGTATGAGAGGACTATTGCCTCCAACAGCTTTGAAGAAAACGTAAAGCAATTCAGGAAGGGCTAAATTTACTAAAAGAATGAGGTTTAGCTTTTAAATTGACAAGAACTATGACACTAAATTACCATTAGGAGAAATAAATGAAAGTAAAATAGATCCACTGGCTGTTGCTCCAACTGATACATATGTTGATGACTCAGTAACATTATATACTTGCTAAATGACTGTCTTAGGAATATTACTAGGAAAAACTATGGTTTCGCACTATTAATTTTATCTATTTAGTTGCTTTCCAGCTTTGCAGGTTAAGCACTAGCTGGAATTTTGTTCACAAGTCTCACAGTTTTAATCACATTATGAACAAGTTCCAATTTATTTATTAAAATATTAGCCACTATTACATATGCATTTTTTGTTAGTACTATCATATTATAATCCCATATCGGTTTTACATTTATAACAAATTTAATTTTATTCTTAATCACAAATTTAGCAAGTTAAATCACAGATAATTAGTTTATCAGCTTCACATTTTTTATTTTTTTCACTGTAGTTTTGTATACATTAGCACTGATTATTTTAATTCAATTTTCTTTTAGAACTCAATTCATCACATTTAGAGCATTAATTATCTCCACTCCCAAAACATTCTTGACAAGTATCATGACATTTTTCGCACTATCCTGTTTATTAGTTTTCATAATATCCACTCATGCAAATGCAGGAGTTTGATTCTTTATTAAAAACTCTAAAATCTTTTTGAAAGCATGTTAAACAGTCATTTTTATTTTTATCTGTACATGTCTTGCATGTCTAATGACATTTATTACAGTTTTACTACCCCTAAGCATCATAATAGCCCTCTAAACACTAGCATATTTATTTCTACTTATTTAATTCTCTAAATGTTTAACTTTAATTGCCACATTCTAAGCTATTATTAAAAAAATAATTATAAATTTTAATAAAAAATATTAAATTATAATTGTTTATTAAATAAAATAGGTAAATAAATTTCTGATCTACCATTAATTTTGTAAATTTCCAAGACATTTATCACAAGAATAATGACACTTTGTTTAACATATTTATTCTTTATTCTCAATGAATCCTGGTTTGCAAATACAAATATTGTCTTTCAAAACTCTATTTTGATCAGAAAAGCAATATGAACATTCGTTTATACTTGGACCGAGGCATTATTTACAACTATTGTGGCATTTTTAGCATTGATGAGTAGCTTAATTTTCAAAATACCCTTCATTACACTCACATTAGCTAGTATTCTAATTTAGTATTCTAAATTAGTTCTCATCACATTAAATACATTTGTCAAAGGATGAACAAATTTTGCAGTTTTAAGAACATTTCTTGCACTCTTTACTATTTTAATCTTCATAAAATCCATCTTAGCATTGACAGTTTTTACTTTAAGAAATAGATTTCCTGTTAGATTTACTATCACAACTTAAGCAATTTCCTTAATTATCACATGTCAAACAATTTTATGGACATTTTTGACACTAGGCTGAGTTAGAAAGCTGATAAAATCCATCTTTGCATTCACATGTTGGACTCTATTTTTAATTTTTATATTATTTATCAAACATTTTTTTTCATAAAAAATTTTTAATATTTTAAAAATTGAAATAGCAAAAAAAATATTATTACTTCTGAAATTGCTTTTCTATTGTTATTTTAGTTGCATTCAGTACACCCTTTAATATTGCAAGATAAACAATTAAGTGGACATCGCTCACACATTAATTACGCATTGTCATAAAATCCTTATTAGCATTCACATTTATTACTTTTATCTATTGATTGTCTATAATAATTTTAATCATTATTGCAAGAGAGGCATTGAATACTATTTTGACAAGTTTTACAATAATAAGGACACTTTTTACATTAAAAAGTATCATCTAGATAGTATCCATCTTAGCATAAACAATTTCCATTAGTATCAACTAAACCACTGAAATTATTAATGTTATTTGAAGCACACTACAAACATTTTCCCTTTTAATTGCATGATAAGCAATTATCATCACATTTTTAACATTCTTTTGATTTACCGTCGTCAAAGTATCCATCGATACAATCACAATTATTTTATGATCCTATTTATTTCCTAAAAAATAAGCTAGAATCAGGACATGAAGTGCATTTTCCTTAATTATCACAAGTCTTGCAGTTATAAGGGCATTATATGCAAGCAGATTAACCGTTGCTTTATTCATAAAAACCTTCTTTGCATTGGCATTATCCATTTTATTGAATCATTCTATTCAAATTATCTTAACATTCTAGACAATTATTTTAGGAATCACATTTCTAGCAATATTTAGAGCACTATTAACATTAAATGTTCTTACCATCATAATAGTAGCCAGGCATGCAATTACACAGCTTATCCTGTGAAAGATTTAACCTATTATTATTTACTGGATTTTGACATTCAAGACATTCTAATGAGCTCTCACAGCTTTTGCATTATATTGGGCACTTTTTACAATCAGAATCTACTTCTTCACTATAATATCCTAAAGAACACTTGCATTTACCATCAATTAGTTAAAATAAATAATTAGGATTTGTGACACATGAAGTACACTAAGAAGAACTAGTACATGTCTTACAATTTTTAGGACACTTCTTACATAAAAAATGATCATCTTAGTAATAACCATCTTTGCATATGCATTTACTTTACAACCCTATAATTGAAATTTAAGCTTATTTATTTCCTGTAATACTATCTGAATCATCACAACTTGAGCACTTCAAAGGATTATTTGGCAACCAACATGTTAAACAGCTAGGATGACAATCCACACAAACATTATCAGAACCTTCTTAAAAGTTTTATTTGCAAGCACATGTTTGAGTAGATCCTTATGATTTTAGTTCCCTTTACTAATTTTCAAAGCAACTTGTACAATTGGATGCTGAATTTTCACATGTTTTACAAATATCATTGCATTTTTAACAATTATTGATATTAAAAAAATATCCCTGTATACATCCATTTAAAGAATCATCAATTTACCTCTCTATTTTTAATCATTTAATCAAAATTAAAAAATTCGAAATAAATTTTACCTATTAAAACTCCTTTTTCATCTCCAGATATAATTTTATCCTATTTTTGTAAAAAAAGATTTAAAAGAAAAATTTTATAAAATGATTATTTAATTTAATAATTTATTAAAATTATTTTTAGCATAGTTTTAATTAAATGATAAAATATTTATATGATTCTATTAAACTTTTAGAAATAAGAAGAAAACTCTTGGAAATAAATTTTATTTAATCAAAGAATGCTTCGATTATAATATTTTAAGACAATTAATTAACTTTGAAATAAAATATATTATTTAAATGAAAAATAAAATATATTCTATAAATCCTTATAAATTAACACTTGTTTGATTATATTAATACCTGCTTTTTGATGAGTCAAATGAAAATGGGTAAGATGCTTTGATCAAAATGTATGGTGGATAATAATTAAAATTAATAAAAATTTTTTTATCATTTTAAAATAAAAAAAGTTTTCATGTAATTAATATGGCTTTGAAGTAACATCTTTTTAAAGTTTATCTACAAACGTTTAAATAATACATTTGAGGGTAGTTTTAAGATGAGAATAGGGGTGATTTTAATTAATGAAGATTTATAGTATTTTAAGAAAAATAATCTATTTCAAAATTAACTAAAGCAATTCACATTAAATTTAAAATTCAAATTTTAATATTAAAAATAAATTAAAAATACTTGTATGGATATAATATCTGTAATTTGCATTCCTTTATGTTCTTGTTATCCATATTCTAGGAGTGGTTTTTTTAATGGATCTAATTGATATACTTTATGAATAATTTAGATTAAAATTATTTGGATTATCGAAAATTTACCTCTTATTGTTTGATCCGCTTCTATGGATACCAATAAAAATTAAAAGGTAATTATTTTTGATGAGATTTACATTAAACTGATTGCATACTAAAAATCAAATTTATTTTATTATTGATTCGTTCTATCTGGAGTGTATTTGTATATTTACAAATTTTAATCTTAAATAAGTGCGGCAACCACAATAAAATCTTAGTACTAGTCAATAATTACATTAATTGGAATAAATGATTGATGAATTGACAATTTAAAATATATTCAATAATAAATACATCATAAGTTAGCAATTATGTTATATTATCAGCTAATTCTTATTTGATTTCATATTATATTGATCCATTTATCTTTTAACTTAGATCCCAGCCTATTTTTAACATATTAATTAATGATTTTTAATGAATTATTAAAAAATAGAGTATTTATTTTACACAGTAAATATTTAGAACAAGACCCAAATGCTTTACTTTTCTTCTAAATTGTTGTTTATAACGAAATATTAAGTGATAATAGCTTTAATAGAAATGTAATTACTTCAAAATAAATTAAAGAAGATATTGGGTCAGAGCAACCTTCCAGTTAAGCTGATTTCTATGAATAGTTGTTTATATCTAATTTAATATTTTTAGAAAGTTAAGCAACTTCAAAAGATTAAAAATAAAAACACACAAGCAACCAAACCTAATTCTGTTCCTACAATATACTAAATAATTAAAAAAATATAAATGTAAGCACTTATTATTTATTTTAAATTACATCTTGTGAATTCACTTGAGAGAATTTTAACCATTTCTATTCTGGTATTGATATTTCATTTTTATAACTGCTATCACTAAAAGATAAAACTTTTATATAAGAAAAAATTAAATTCATATTAATATCATTCTTTTCTATAAACGTTAAGCAAAAAATTGATTGTATCTTTTTTTGAATTTTAGCTAAATTTAGTTAAGAAATGAGATACTTTTAGCTCCTCTATTTATTGAGGCCTAGACAATATAATATTAGTCCTATTTTTAAATGGGATTAAATATTAATTATATATTTTATTTTTGTTACTTTAAAAGTGCCTATGATATTGCAATCAAAATCTTAATAGATTAGTTTTTCAGATAAATTAGCGTATAAAGATAACACTTTTAATCAATAAAAAAACTTTTAAGTCTATTTGTTAAATAATATAAATTACTCTTAGATGCATATTTGCCTTATTATTGATCAAAGTAGCAAACTCCATACCTCTTATCACTTAAGTTAAATATTTGTTCAATTTAAGTTTGGCTTATTTGGTACTATTTTATTTAGCATTTTGTTACAGCAAAAATGCATACTTACAAAAAAATAAAACTCAATAACATTTATTTATTTTTTACCTTTAATTTTAATAAATAACAAATTTTTTTAGTTTTATGTATTATTAATTATTAATGTGATAAAGAATTTATTAATTTAATAGCCAAAAAACTTTAATAATATTATGTTTTCAAGATGCTTTTATTCATTTAAAAATTTAGGATTATTGGCTGACCACCTTTTAATAATTTAATTTTTTACTATTTTTGATACAATCAAATCTTACAATTTTATTACAAACTTTTCAATAAAAATGCAAAAAGTGTGATGCCTAAATTATTCATTAAAGCTTCAAAAAAAAGAACAAAGTATAAAAATTCAAAGAATTTACAAATATTAAAAAAAGTAAAGTTAAAAAATATATTTAAATCAATAAAATCAAAAATTTTATTAGATAAATTTAAAAAAAATTGAAACAATTTATTTTATTGAAAAGACATTTTTTAAAAAGGAAATTATTGAAATTCAAAATATAGCTTAAAAAATATCATAAAAATGTTAAGTAATTTTAAGATAAATAAATATAATGCTGTAAATTTAAATAAAAAAACACATTTAAATTATGAATATAATGTATGTTGTTTGTAGATCACAGTTAATTATTAAAGTTATAAAATCAACTTTATGGGGAAGATGAAGAAGCATTCTTATTTATTAGCTTAACAGGACTTGCATCGTTATTGAAGGAAATGTTAGTTGAACCTATGTTAATTATCTTTTATATGCTGAGATGGTTGTTACTATTCTATTTTGACTCTGGATTATCTAAATTTATGAAAGATTATTATTAGTCTTTTGGTAAGAAAGGATTTCTTTTAAAGAATTTTGTTCTTGGTCTTCTCATGCCTCTTTTTTTCTCAATGTCATTAAATTGATCTTCTTCTACCTTTTGTTCATTTTGATTTAAAGCTTTTTCAACTGATTGAGGTGCCCCTTCAAAAGTTAGAATAGAGGAAGGCTTGTTATCAATTATTTGTGCTGATATAATTTTATTCGATACTTATTTTTTTGCTTCTACATCTCCTAAGTTTGTAGGTACTATTTTGGATGATTTTTTTAGGTTTTTAATAAATCTAATTGCTGATTTAGCTGTATCGATTATTAATATTAAACTATGCATTAATAATAATAACAAGCAGATAGCAACATAAACCCAGCCTAATTTAATTCTATCATCACTAGACTGTGAATCAGGGTAGTTTTTTAAATATGCCGAAATTACTTATAGGATTAACAAAAATATTTCAGTTAAAAAGTGATTGATGTTATCGATTTTGCGTATGTAAGGCTTACAAATTACAAAGAATAATGCTAACAAAACATTTAGAGTGGAAAGCAAAGATATTTGCACATAAGTTTAGTCATGGAGCATCACGATTATTAATGAAAACATAATCTTTCTTATAAAAAGAAGAACATTTGTATACTTACACAAAGGGTTATAAAGAGATTTTATTCTTTATTTCTCATCTAGTTCACTCTACGACATTTTATTTTCTGTGCTATCTACTGATACGTAATCTAAAAGTTGAGAAGACTTAGCTCCATCAATTACAAGGGATGAAGGTTTTTCAGATTTTAAATCTAGATCTTTTAATGATTGAGGATCTTATTAGGGTAGTGATTAAGGAATCACAGTCTCAGGGTAAATAGTATTGCTCGTATTAATTTTGAGGCCTCTTACTATACAGGAGAAAGCAATTCTTCTTTTTCTTTAATTTCTGGGTAATTAAAGATCTTAGTGTCTACTGAAAATTAGATAAAAGAAAATAAATGGCAGAGACAATAAGACAATAGAAGTAATAATAAAAAATGAATAACTAGCTCTTGAAAGATCGTCAATCATTTTATATGATCTGACTTGAAGAGTACAAGCAACAGAGAGATAAGTAAAGACAATCCAAGCTGCATAAATGAAAGAATTGAACTCCCATTCTTATTTTATACTTCTTTTCACTATATTTTATACTCTGCCAAGAGGAAGCAATGAAATAACCTTAAAGAAAATATAAACGCAAAGGAATATAATTAAAAATGAGTAGGAGTGAGACGAATTTTTTAGGAAAAATGAATCAATATTGTTGTTCATAAATTTTTCAGGAGATTTAATAATGTGGTCATTATCAAAATTTGGCATTATGTAGTTAGGAATATATTAGAATTAGAAACTTCCAAAAAGCTTACTGAATTCTTGTATGTTGTAAGGGTGATCAACATTAACATAAAAAAGGAAGTAAATATAGTTGGTCACATCGACTATTGAAAATACTTTGAAAAAATCTCCAAACAATGCCAATGGAAAAGCAGCACTCTAAGCTACCTTATTGATTGCTTTAACTGCTTCTTTTGTACCGTTTGTACTGGTATTATCATCTTTCTTTTTGTTGTTTATAAGATCGACTGAGTCATTTTACTTGCTTAGCTTATTATTCTCTATAAATTAGTTGTCTTGCACCTATAGTTACAAGGTTTCTTTTATCCAATCTTCTTCAGTTTCAATTTCAAGCAAAATTTCATTTTTAGATCTGACAGAGTAAGTATAAGTAAAATTCTATTTACTACCAATAGTGAAATTGAATATTTAGCTAAGCTCTGAGTGTGTAGGGTTGGAATTTAAGAATTAAATCTCTTTTTCAAAGTTAATATAAATTTGATAGCCTTTCGAAGTGCAATTCTACTTAAGAGTAAAAGTTTATTACTACTTAATTTATTTACAAAGATTTTTATTGTTTTAATCTGCAAATAATGTGAAACCTAATTCACATTCTTGACATGAGCCAAGTTATTTTTGAGAACAAATTTTGCAGTTTTCAATTTTGCAAGGCTCACATGAATTATTTGATTTATCTAAAATAAAATTGTCATCGCATTCAATACAAATCTTATTATTTGTGTTGTCGCATTTTTTACATCTTTTTAAATTACATTCTAATATACATTTGCTTTAAGATGGGTCTAATTAATATTACTGAGAACATTTTTCACATTTTGCTATATTGCTTTTGTTTAATTCAATACAATTATCTATAGCTGGCATACAAGTGTTTATTCCATTCGAAATGCTTGGTTTATAACCTGTTTTGCATTAAGAGCAATTATTTTAATTTTAATTTTCACACTTTTCACAGTTTGCTACTTTGCATTCAGCTTTTTCTTCAATGCATTAATCATTTTAATCAATTTAGAAACTCTTTTTACATTATTTGCACTTGTAAGCACTGTTATTTAAACATTCTTAGCAATTATTCACTTAGCATTTCAAACACTATTAACTAGAATTATCTAGGATATAGTTTTCTTTACACTATACACAAATTTAACCATCGCCTTCTGAGCACTTATCACAATTTTAAGCTTAGCAGGAACATAAACGATTAGAGTCCTACATAATAAAATTATTTTTGCACTAAGAACATTTGCCATAGTCATTTTAATTACAAATTGAGCAATTTTATATATTGCAAACACATTTTTTCTATACAGAATTCCATATATGACCTTCTTAACATGTTTCACATTTAGCTGAATCTTATTGATCTGCTTTACAGTTTTTACAATTTTCCCATTAGCAAATACACTTAGGTTAGAAAGCATCATTATTAAATGTGTAGTTTTCTTCACATTTGTTGCACTTATTTTTTTCAGTAGCATTCAATTCTACACATTTTTCTATTCCTATTTCGCATTGACCAGATTAACTTAGCTTAAATCCAGAGCTGCAAGATTAACATTTGTTTTTATCTCCATCTATACATTTATCACAGTTTTGAACTTAGCATAATTCACATTTATTTTTTTATTCATTTAAAACATGCTTTTATTCACAAACATCACATAATTATCCGTTTTTAGGGTTGCATTAAGAACAGTTTTAAACATTGCACTCGCATCCATTTTTATTAGAATTTATTTAATATCCTTAAATGCATTATTTACATGTTCCAAAAATAGCATAATCGCATTCAAGGCAATTTTCTAAATTGCATTCGCAATTACTGTTAGGAGCTTTTTGAGTGAAACCATCTTAGCACTTCAAGCAAACACTTTAATTTTAAAGGTTACATTCAATGCAAAATTAAATTTTGCATGTGCATTAGCCGTTTTCATCTACTTTATAATTGTCTGAACATTTCTAGCATTTTGATGAATCTGTAGTATCCAGTTAAACACAATTTTTAATGGCTATTTCACACTATGCAGGATCTTTTAGTAATTATTTATATCCGTCTTTGCACTATTAACATATCATAGCATTATCAAGTTAGCATTTGGAACAGTTTTCTACTTAGCATTTCCAGCATTCTTTTTTTTCACTATTTCTAAATATAAAATCTGGTTAACATTGATCACATATTTTACCATCATCTTATGTGCACACAGAACAATTGCTTACTTAGCAATCACATGATTCTCCATTAGCAGATTTCAAGTAATTTGTTTTACAAGTTTAGCATTTTCCATAATACTATGTATCACATTCCTTGCAATTAGGAATATTACAAATGCATTTGTCTTATTGTGCCTTAAAACCTTTCTAACATTAGCTGCAAGTTCCATCAGGTTGAATTTAACAATCTTTGCAGTTATCAATAGAGCATTTACAATTGAAATTTTCATCTATAACATAGTTTTTATCACATTTTTTACATTTTTAAGGAGAACTTGGGTCTAATTCAATACAGTTTTATAACTCTATCTTGCATTCAGCTCCTGAATTTTAAATAGAAAATCCAGACTTGCATTGCTTACAAAATTTCTCATTCTAAGAAACACACTCAAGACAGTTAATAACTTCACATTTTTTGCATTGATCTTTTGTTTAGCTTTAAACAAATCCTTTTTCACATTCTAGACAAACATTACCATTTAATTGATCACATTTTTCGCAATTACTTATTGAGCAAACGCATTAATCTCTATCTTTCTACATGAAACCTTCATTGCACTTTTTACAAGCTCCATAATCTTCTGTTGAGCATTCTTGGCAGCTAACAATATTGCAAATGCATTAACTTTGTGAACTATCCCATATAAAACCAGCTTAACATTATTTACAAATATTTGTTATGCTATCTATTTGACACTAAAAGCAGTTTTATACCTTACATTCACATTGTTTTGATATTGAATTAAACTAATAGTTACTTTCACATTAGTCACAAACAGTGTAATCGCTCTTGTTCAACTTAATACATTTATCTATATTTATTTAGCATTATTCATTTGAATCTTTTTTGTAACCATTTTCGCATAGTTCACATTTAGAAGGCTAACTATCTTTACAAGTTAAGCAATTATTTACGGAGCAAAGGTTGCACAAAGATTTACTTGAATCTAAAACATATTTTTCGATACATTTATCACAAATTTTACCATCATCTTTATTACATTACTAGCAATTAAGGACACTGCATTCACATTTTCCTTCTTTAGTCATAAGATATCCATTCCTGCAAGCTTTGCATATTCCATAAGGACTAGTCTAGCACTCTTAACAGTTATTTAAATTACATTCACACTAACTTTTTAAATTGTTCCAAATGAACCCATTTTCACATTAAATGCATTTTAAATTTTCTACTTAGCAAGAATTACAATCTGAGAACTTACATTCACAGGTGCTCTTATCAGTAGATTGAATGTAATTCTGTTAACATTTTTCACACTTACTTTTATCTGAAGCGTTCAATTCAACACAAAATTTAATCTTAATCTTGCAAGTTAAGCTATTTGTATCTATTTCATACCCTTCTTCACATATTTGACATTAATTTGGTTAATAATTTTTACATTTCAAGCAATTATCAACAGAACAGAGATTACACTAAGATTTATTTAAATCTAAAACATATTTTTCAATGCAATTATCACAAACTTTACCATCATCTTTATTACATTATTAGCAATTTTATACGCTACACTCGCATTTACCTTCTTTAGTCATAAGATATCCATTATTGCAAGTTTTACATGTTCCGTAAGGTTTTGTTTAACATTCTGAGCAGTTGTTTAAATTACAATCGCAATTAACTTTCAAGTCACTCCAAGTAAATCCGTTTTCGCATTAAGCACATTTTGAATTTACTACTTAGCAAGATTAACAATTTTAGAATTAGCATTCACACTTAGTCTTATCAACAGATTAAATGTAATTTTGTTAACATTTTTCGCACTTGCTTTTATCTAAAATATTTAATTCAATACAAAACTATATTTTAATTTTGCATGTAAAATTTGTTTAGTCAATTTCATATCCATCTTAACAAACTTCGCATTTATTACCATCATTATTTTAGCATTATAGGCAATTAGATATTTAGCATTAATTACATTTTTTTGTTGTTTGATCGAGAATGTAACCGCTTTGGCATTATTGACAAATTGATCCATCAGTAGGACTGCAAATTTTGCAATTTTCATCAGAGCAGATGCAATTTATATTTGATATAAGCTTATAGTTGTTTAAACATTTCTAACACTTTCCATAATTTGGACTGATATCACAAGATAAGCAATTAGGGATACTGCATTTACATTAATTATCTTACCAGGAGTATCCTTCCTCACATTAACTACAAATTTTATTATTTATGGTGCAGTTTTTACAATTATCAAAAAGGCATTTGCATTTACCTTGAAGATTTGGTATAAAGCTATCAATACAAACTTTGCATTTAGATTTATTACCCTCTTCTAATTCTAAACAATTTTCAAGTGCAATAATACAATTTTAACCTGTATTATCTAATTTAAAGCCTTCTTAACAAGTTTAACAAACACTTGTTGAATTATTTTAGCAAATAAAACAGTATTATACTTTACAATCTGGTTATTCTTTACAAACTGAAGTAGATATGTCTAGTTAAAAATTAGGAGCACAATTAAGACATATGCTTCCATCATTTTTTGAGCATTAAATACAATTTTTATCTTAGCATATGCATTTTTATTTATCTGAGTCATAAATATAATTTTATGAGCATGCTTTACAGAATCCTTCTTCAGTTAACTCATATTAGTCTTTGCATTTATCACATATAAGACCATTGTTTTGCGAGCACTAATTACAATTATTTACTGCACAAACGCATTTCTAGTTAAACTTATCGTATTAATATCCAACAGGGCATTATATACATTGACCATTTTTAAGCTCAAAATTATAGTTGCATATTAGGCATGAATTTCCATCCTCATAATTACAATATTTACAATTTTAGCTTTAACAGTAACAATTCAAGTTTCCATTTTTATCTTTTTTTGATTTAAATGTTTTACTGCAAGGCTTTTTACCGCGTTCGCACCCTTTACTATATTTGTCATAAATTGCATCTTCTGGGCACTTAAAACAGCCCCATTCATCATCACAAAATAAACATTTAGTTATATCTTCACATTTGCAAATACCATCCTTATTTGGTTTAAGTCCAGGTTGTAAACACTCAATACAATTACTTTGATTTTTGCATGTTTTACAAGAAGGACCACAATTTAGGCAATTACCACCACTGTCTATAAATTATGTTTAATTTTCAAGTTAGCAAGGTAAGCACTACCCACAAAAATTATTGAAATTTGTACAATCCTCGTTGTAGTAATTTTGATCTGGACAAACTTTACATACTCCTTAATCAACATACTTCCTATCTTTTGAAGTTTTTGCACAATTTGAGAGTGGTTATTAACATTATCCATCGATTAGCTCTAAATCTTTTGCACATGATTAGCATTTATTTTGAGGGCAATATTCACAATTCTTAAGACTACAACTTTTACAAGATTGACTTTTTGAATCGTAGTAAGTACTTGGACTACATTTCTCGCAAGATCCATCGTTTATCTTGATCATATCAGCTTCTTAGCATTCATCACAGACAATTGCATTTTATTCCATATTTAAACTTATTTTTTTGCAGCCCTTTGGTTATTTGACACAAAAATCTCCAATTTTAACATATCCGTTTGAACATTAAATACAATTTTTTTAGGAGAAAAAGTTAAAACCAAATCCATCTTAACACTTTTCACATTTAACAGAAGAACATTCATTGCAATTTGGGAATTTATTACACTCCATACATATATTATCAGAATCATTCATATAATAGCCATCAGGATTGCATTTTAAGCAAATCCTTCCTTTTGCCCACCGTCCTTATCTGCATATAGGTTCACAAGTTTAAAAATCAGGATAAATAAAGTAAGAAGAATCTAAACACTCATTACAAATCATATTGTCATTATCGCACTTACATTTTGAAGAATCGCATCCTACTATTTGACCCCAAACATTATAGATCTATCCATCAGGGAGTTTTTAACATTCCCCATTTGGTCTATTTCCTTTTTTTACATTATTGTAAACACATAACCTGCACGGAACCTCTTTTACTCTAGTAACTGCATATTTATCACACATCGAGCATTCAATAAAATCTTTAGTGCAGTCGAATTCCAATAAAAATCTTTAATTATTATTTAACTTTTGTTTAATTTATTACTAGCAATCCAAACTATATTTTTGAATTTGAAAAAACATTAATAAATACTTAACAAAAAATTACAAGTTAAAATTTAAAAATAAAATAATTTATAAAAAATGTTAAAATAAATAATAAAAGTATTTAAAAATTACATCTTAAAATTAAAAAATGGAAAAAGGTTGTCTTCAACTAGAGCAGATCCAAATTTGTTTGTTAAGCTAAATTAAGTTACATAGATTTGAACAATAACTTTGTCTTGGTTTGAGTTAAGCTTAATCTAAGACTGTATTTTACTTTTTTACTCTTAAATTACTTAAAGTTAAGCTTCAAGCTAATCCCCCTCAATTAAAACATAAGAATATAATTTTTATTAACTTTTTTTACAATTAATAACTTTGTCTCATTAAAAAAATTAATTAATAAATTTTACTTTAAAAATTATTTGTTCAGTATCTTTATCCAATCAATATCTAAATCTACAAGGCACTCTTAATTGAAAGAAGAAATAAATTTTTTCTCAATGAAAACGTCAAAGCTGAATACCTGGCTGAATTCATCATTTGTTTAAGTTTTGCACACTAATTGAGTTTAAATTTAATTTATAAATTAAATTAGCTAAAAAAGAAACTTTCTTACATTATATTATGAATTATATAAAAAAAACTAGTTTGAAAATCGTCATCATTTTATTCAACTTCTTTTTACTTTTAATATATTAATTTTTTTAGTTATTTCTAATATTAATAATTTATTGTGATGTCTTCAATTAAAATACGATTTTATTTATGATGGTTAAAGATAATTAGATATTAATTAAATTAACCTAGAACCATAAATTGATCATTTATTATTCCTAGGAGGATTTATTTTAAAAGGAAATCCTAATTTTTTTTATCAAAAAGATACAAAATATTATACTTTTTTATTAAAATATACAAAGAATTAAATAATTTATAATAGCGAATATAATGTTTTAAATATCTTGGTATAAATTAATACTAATTTACATTTATTAAGCTAGTAAAAGAAGTAGCTTTTCTTTTACATAAATTTATATCTATTTATTATTGGCTCTATTTTTAATTAAAAATCTTGCAATAATAATTGACCATAGATTTTACAATAATCATTAAGTAAGTAAATGACAATATTAATATTTTTGTGCACTTAATAATTAATAATCAGTCAAATTTAATGCGTAAGTATCTTTCATTTAATTATTGACTTCTTTATTTAATTAATTATGAGAAGTGATTTTGTAATAAGATAGTACTAATGTTTAAAGGTATTTTTAATATATTTCGATTTCTAAATAAATAAGATACACTTACCAAACAAATTTAAAATTTCATTTATTTTCCTCAGCTTTAATTAATTTTTTTCCATTTTAAAATTTAACTACAGTTTTATCAAGTTTAAATTTATCCTGCTTCTTTAGAGGAAAAAAATTCTGTAAAATGCATAAGTTAGTTCTATTTCTCTTTCAGCTATACTTAGCAATAAGATAAATTCTTTTATAAACCTATAAGAAGATATGATGAATTACTAAAGTAATTAACTTTAAATTGCTTATTGTTAATATTTTACAAGCTATATTTGTATGGTTAAAATCTGCATTAACCTATTAGACTTAACTTTTAAACAAACTAAATTTTATCATTAAAATGAGGTAACTAAAATATTTATTTTTTGTCTTAAACTCAATTAAAATGAGTTAGTTTTTAGTTTAAATATTTTTTAAACTAATATAAATTTATTCTTTTGCATGAATATTCTTCATTTTAAATTGTCTTAATCATTAAGATTAATAAATATGTTCTGTGAAATAATTTAAACTATAACTTAAATCATAATTTATTTATCATTTACAAATATTTGAGAGGTAATTAATTAAAAAAGAATTAATTAATAGAAAATATTAGGAAATAAAAAGCGTCACTGAAATACTATATTAATACTGTAAGGAATTATATATAATTTAATATTTACTAATAATATAAATGCATTTTTAATAGACTAATTAATTTATTTAGTTCATTGAGAAAATACTACTTCAATTATAAACTTAATTATTCAAATAAAATTGTAATTAATTTCAAAAATTTTAGAAATCTACATCAGTAGCTCTTTCCATCATGTTTTAAGTGTTTCTTTAGACAGGATTTGCATTAAATCCAACATTTTTATTGCTATTATTAACTTTTAGATCCCCATCATGAATTATATTATCATAGTAGCCATTTTTAGGAATAAATGGATTTCTTTTAAATAGCAATGGTTTGACTCTTTGCTTGTACTTTTATCTCTCTTCAGCGTTTGCTAAATTAGGAAGCATGTTATCGGATATCAAAAAATCATTAAATGAAGTCTTCGCTGTCTTCATAGGCACTTCCTCCATTTTTCTATCAATTTATGTAATTTCTGGTTTATTTTCTTCTAGATTATTCGCTTAAATATGCTAAAGACTTACAGGGTAGTTTTAATTTTAAGCCATTTAATTATTTAAAGATTATTATGGAATATTTTACTATTATAATGGTTAATCTCCTTGCATTTATTAAGGTTATTACTGTAAAGGGATAACTGCTTGTTATTTTTCATTTTATTATTAAATTTCGTTAAGAGATTTCTTTTCTTCTTCTTTCAAATGCTATTAGTGTTATAAATCATTCTCTTATGCTATCGGTAGAGGAGCTACTTTAGAACTTCTACCCTTAATTAACCAATAGATCTCAATGAATAACTTTGCTAAAACATCTAATAAATGAATTGCCAGTATAAAAACACCAATAGATACATAAGCCCATCCTATCTCAGGTTAGCTTGTGTTATATGAGGTAGTAGAAGAAGTTATATCATTAAAAAAGTAAATTAAAACTTGCATAGCAATAAATAAAGCTTCAGTAGCGGCATTTCTGATATTATCTATTAGCAAAATGTGTGGTCTAGCTATGATATAGAGGAAAAATAAAAGTATATTAGCTCCAGAAAAGACGCTCAGTGTGATTATTCTGTGATCTTATAGTACAACGAGAGCACCTGCAAAAATAATTTTTCTAAATAGAATAAAGATATTCACGTACTTTCCAAAGGGGGTCGAATCCATTTATTTCTATGTGTTCAATATTAAACCTTCTTGCTAAATTTCAATATTAGTTTAAACACTTAGTGCTTATTCTTTTTTATCTTAAGGATTTTAATCTTTAGTTAAACTATAATTTTGGGCATTTGCATTTTAATAGTTTTTATCTTCTGAAGCACTTATTTTATATCCAGAAACTAATGATAAATATCTGATTTAAAAGGACCTCATCGATGAAGGCAAAGCTATTTCTTCCTAGTTTTTTGAAATTAGATACCCAAAAAGTAAAGGAAAAGCAACCAAAATCAAAGCTACTAAAGCAAAGATAGCAAAATTTACTTTTTATAAAGTAGAGTCGAAATACATTGCGTCTTTTTAAAGGAAGCAAAATACAGAGAATTAATTGTAGAAAATCCATAAAATGTAGATAAAGTAATCGAATTCCCACGCTCTTTTCAGTGAATCTTTCAAATAAGTTTAGAGTCTCCCCATAGGTATGAAGCTTGCAATCTTTAGGATCACATAAACACCTACCATTCCTATTATGATGCAAAATGAAAGAGTAGTATTGTTCAAAAAGAAAGAATCTAGTCCATAGGCTTGGAACATGATACTAGTATAATATTAGTAAGTGTTAGAGACACTTGATTTAAGGTAGTCATACATTCTATCATAATGAAATTTTCCAAACATCTTCTGGAAATCTATCACATTTGTAGGTGGATTTGCTTTGACAAAAAAGAGAAAATAAACTATTGCTAATGCATCTATTAAATTAAACATGATGTGAAATTTTCCAAGTAAACCCAATAAAATGCCCACTACAACCGCAGTAATTGAGTAAGCTAATGCTATATATTCATAGGTGTCATTATAAAAACCTTAGGAATAGCTAGAGATTGAAGTTGAGCTCATTTGATTATTATTAGTGTTAGTGTTAATTTATTAGCTTTAAAAAGGTATTTTTAATATATTTTTGTTGATGCTATTACTTTTATATGATTTTTTCGCTGTTTTTATGTTCTAAATAACAAGAAAGATAAATGGTATTAATGCAGCTTTTATTATTATATTATTTCAATGTTTCAATTATATTCACAAATTACATTAGATAAATATCAAAATAAAATAAATCAATTTATCACCTGAATTTTCTATATATCAACACCAAATCCAATTCCAAAAAGGTATATTTTATGTTAAGTCAAAGCAATTTAAATAAAATAATTATTTAAAAAAGAATAAAAGAAGTAAAAAATTCAATTTTATGATTGAATTAATAATTTAGAGACAGATTTATGAATATAAATATTTATTATATAAAATATATTTTTGGTAATATTGCTCATTTAATCTATAGCCTATTTAATGAAGGAAGAAGTTTCTATTTCAGTATACTTCTATTCTAATTTTCAATTTTTTAAGTTAATTAAAACTTTTAAATTCCTTTAAATAGATATAACTAATAATAGTAACTAAGCTCTATTAATTATATTCTATGTTCGTTCATTCACTCTCTCCTCTTTTATTAGCTAGGAATTTAAATTTAAAACACATAATTTGATTGAATTAAAACATAAGTAAACATATTAAATGTACAAAATATATCAATTAATACTCTTTTAAATATATTTCTTCAATTTTACAAATATTTGATTAAGATTCCATTCTATTAAGCATCAATTTTTTGCCTATGTAAATATAAGTAATGATTTTTTATTGAGCTTCAAATTTATGAAGAAGGGAGAAATCGAATAAAAATAATATACTGTAAGTCCTTATTTATTCAGGAGATCATTAATTAACGCAATAAATATAAAATTTTCAGAATTAAGGTAGTAAATAGAAGAAAAATTGTGTTTTGAAGTTGTCTTTATTTATGAAGATTTATAGTATTGCAATTAGATGAGATAATAATTGCTTTCTCTTTCTCAATTTATTAGTGAGTTTCTAGTGAATTAAAATAATAAAAATTAATTAACTACTCTAAAATTAACAATATTTTTAATTTTAAAAAAATTATTAACAAAAAAAGAAACTTTGATTAAATAGGTTAATGAAAAAACTCTTACTTAAAATTTGTTAATTTTTAAGAAACTTTATACTTTTTCAGAACAAAATATTTTTTTGTTGCTAATATTGTCCTATCTTGTTTAATCCATTTCAATAGATTATCTTAATTTCAAGATATAAAGATAATGTTTATTATTAAGTTCTTACTTCATAAATTTGATTGAATAATTAATTAATTCATTAATTGTTTTAATTAAGATAAATATTATTCAAATAAATCTTTTACTTTTACTTTTTAGTTAAAATATGGTTTTTTTAACTTAATTTTATATTGAATAAACATTAGAAGCAGACAAAATTTTAGAAAATTAAAAATATTATAAATATTTATAGTGAATTTTAAATGTAAATTGCATTTATAAATACAAATTTATTATTAAACAAATAAATTAATAAATATTTATTTATTAATTAATTAAAATAATTATATTTTTATTTTAGTTATTAATATCTTTTTTATATTTCAAATACAACTATTGTTAGTAAACTCAATCTAATCTAGCTACTTTACTAGAATTAAAAATCTTCTAACACCAGCTATTAGAGCTCCAGAGAAGAGTAAACTAAAACTCAATAAAATAATACAAGGTATTTAAATTCCAAAACGCAATCCTGCATTGCTGTTAAAACCATGATTAAACTCTACAAATCCAGAAACAACTGTTATTATAAAACTATAAGCAAAATTCAAGATACCTAATAAAAGATTTAGTTTAATTAGCTTTGGTAGAGTTTTTAGAATGGAAATTAGTAAAATTAATATCTAAACAGCTAATAGTGTTATTTGAATAGCAAAAGGAGTAACTAAATCAGATTAAGAATCAGAGTCTTATAGATAAATTGGGTATCCTATAGACAAGATAGCTAATGAAACACAATACAAAATTAATAAATAGTAGAAGTACTTTTTAATGCTTGATTATAGAGACTTACAACAGTAAAATATTTTACTGTTTCTAATAATTTCATTTTAAAAACCTCTGTTGTTGTTAATAATTTGTTGTAGTACTTTATTTTCCATTTATTAATTTGATAGCAAGTTAAATTATCCTATCAAATTGAGGTTAGGGATGATTAAATTTAATTCTGAATAAATCTGCTGCAGTGCGTTAACTATACCACTCACTCCTACTCCTTGATTACCATATTTTCTTCTAGATCTAATTGGAGCTGTGCAATATATTATTTCAGGACTTGAGTATTAAATATTTATGAGGTTTGGATCTGTGTTAATCACAAAAGCTGGATTTTATTGATTATTGTTTTGATTTATTCCTACCTACTACTAAGGATATTGATAGCCATATTCATTATAATTATTATTTTGATTGTAAATGAATGGTTAGCCCAATTGATGCTATTAAGGATTATAGCTGTTATTATTATACTATTGGTCTTGAAGGTTCTGATATTAGTAATTTTAGTTGTTATTGTTCATTTTTGTACAGATAAATGTGAATACTTACTTACTTTTGTTGTATTTGTTCTTTAAATTTTTTATTTTAATTAAATTTTATGTATTAATAGATTAATTAATTTCTTTTTTAAAGGAAAGCACTTTAAGATATTTTTAGAAAATTTAGTAACTTAAAATTGATCTAATATTAAGATATCTAAAACCAAATAGTTGAAAGAATAAAATATAATAGAAGAAAGTCTTTTAAGATAGCACATAATCTCGAATTATCATTAAAAATTTTTACTTTTTAAAACATTAAATTTATCTATTTCATAGAAATTCAAATTAATTTTGTATGTTTATTTGTTTCTAATGAAATATGAATTTGAGTTTTTAGTGATTAATTAATTAATTAAGTAGATAGCAAAAATTTTCAAAGTTAAGTTGGTCAATCTATCTTTCTGTCTATATTTCTATCCAAATACTAATATTAATTTAAATCAATTTTCTATATATCTTATCATATAAGGTAGCTATCTGATTAGCAATCCTAATATAAAAATATATATCTATTAGCAATTATTTATTTAATATTGAATCTATAAAAAAAGCGTTCTATCTTGTAAAATAATTATTATTATTATGACGCATTCTCGAATTAAAAATATTTTTAATTTAAACTTTTTAGAAATTTTAAATTCATTTTTTATATTTCATAAATATCAATTTGAAATAAATTTATTTGTTTCTATAAATTTAGCCTTTCTAATCAACTTTGATTTTTATTAATTAATTTGCTTGCTTTTATTTTACACCTTACAATTAATTGTATGTATGTATGCATGTAGTAATATATATATGTATGTGTGTGGAACATTATTTTAATTAATTTTTTTCAAAAGAAATTTTTTAATAAAAATGATTGATAAAGAAAAAAGTAAATAAAGTAAATTATTTATTATTTTTTTGAGTAAATTTAAACTGAAAATGCTTTTTCCATATTTTAGTTTATATGCCTATGAATTCATGTGAACTATTTTCAAATGGAGTCTATGATTTAATAAATAAAATTTCTTATCTTAGCTTCTTAGTTATTTTACAATTAATTCTAAACATATAAGAGTTAATTAAAATAGATTAAAACTAGTAAAAATCTTCTAAATAAATAGACAGACATATTTATCCATATTTAAAAAATAAACTTTTTTATAAAATAAGTTTTTCTATTTTAATTTTAAAATATTTGTGCTCTATTTAAATGAATCACTTCAAAAATTAAAGTAATACCAACCACAAAATATAATTATTTGTATTTATTCAATTTTTTATCTCTGTTATAAAAAATTAAATTGATAAAATCCAATACTAGTTACTGTATTTTTTGAAGCCAAGCATATTAAGCTTTAGCCTCAAAAGAATAAATATTATATACTAATTGATATAAATCAATAAATTTAAAATTTAAATTAATGAGGAAATGATTAAATTAATTAAAAAATATTTAATTAAAATTTTTAATATTTAGATTTTAACTCACATAAATTTAAGTTGGCATTAACAATTACAGAATATATAAAATTTAAAGTTATTCCTTTCTTATTATCACATAAAAATGAGAATGATCTTTTTTAGTAATGTAAATTGGAAAGAATATAAAATTTAATACAATATACAAAAAGTCAAGGACATATGAAAAATTATTTTTAAAAAATTTTAATTTATACACTATTAATTAAAGCGCTTATTCAATTTCAAATACAATTTCCATCTACAAATTCATTTTGGTCTAATTACTTTACTAAAACAAGAAATCTTTTTGTGGATACTAAGATAATTGAGTTAGACACTAATGAAAACATCAAGATAAAAATACATGGTATTTAAATTGCAAAACGTAGTGCTGTATTGTTATTACCATCAGAATTAAACTCTACAATCGAAGAAACCATAATTATTATAAAGCTAAAAAAAAAATTTAATATAATTAATAGATAATTAAACTTTAGAAGTTTATGTAGAGTGCATACTAAGGAAACTGTTAGCAATATAATCTAAATGTAAATTAGCAAAATTTGAATAATAAATGGAGCAGTTAACTGAGAAACTGAATCAGAACTTGAAAAATAAAATGGATATCCAATAGTTAATGCTAAAGCAGCTATAAATTACAAAACTAGGATTTAGTAAAATTACTTAGTAGCCCTTGATTATAGAGTTTTACAGCAATAAAATACTTTACAATTTCTAATTAATTCATTTTAAATAATTCTGTTATTGTTGATCATTGGCTGAAACACTTTATTTTCCATCTAATTAGTTGATAGAAAGTTGAAACGTCCTATCAAATCTAGATTAGGAATGACTAAATTTAATTCTGAGTAAATCTGTTATAATGCATTAATGATTCCATTTACTCCTACTCCATTATTATAATGTTTTCTTGTAGATCTAATCGAAGCTGTGCAGTATATAACTTCAGGACTTGAGTATTAAATGCTTATAATGTTAGGATTTGGGTTAACTTGAAAAGCAGGATTTTATTGATAAGAAATCGGATATACTTCTACATTCTATTTCGGGTATTGATAACCAAAATTATTATTAGGAATTTTATCTATGGGTTATCCTACAAGATAAGGCTGAGGATTTATAATATTGTTATGCTAAGCAACTTGAAAATTTGGATTGTAAATATCTTGATTGTTATAGTTCATTTTTGTCTACTAAAATTGTATTTTTTCTAAATTACTTTGAATTTTATTTATAGTTTTTTGTATTTTAATTAAAATTTATTTATTAAAAAGAAAGCTAATGAAAATCAGATTTAAACCAAAAATTTTAATTAATTAATAGTGGATATGATAGATATTTTTTTATTTTTTTAAGATTTCTATTTCATCAAGAAAAAAAAGAAAAAAAACAAATAAAATACAACAAAAATACTTACAGAGAAATAATTTTATTATGAAAATGAATAAGATATTTTAAAATAAAATAATATATTTTTACTATGCAAAAAATTATCAAGTTTTTTTCATTTTTCTTAATTTATCTATTTCATCAAGTTTAAATTTAGTTTTAAATTTTAAGTTTTAGAAGAAATTATTTATTTACTTATTTACTTTTAGTTAAGTAGAAAGAAGTTAATTTTTGAAAATTAAATTTATCACCTATTCAATTACTAACAATATTTCAAATTAATTTTCTATATAACTTATTATTTAATTTACTCTTTAACTCAAATCATAAAAACTGAAAGCTAGCCATTCAAATAAATAGATACTCGAAATCGGTAAATAAAGTGATTAATACATACATATTTTAAGTTAATAATATCATATAGCCATTATTTAGTTTGGTTTTATTTCGATGATCATTTGAGTAAATTTAAAACATTAATATAAATAGATATTAATATTGTATTTTTGTTTATATTTATTTAACATTGATACAATAACATAAATTTTAATTTCTAAATTTAGAACTCTAATTTTAATTATGTATTAAAAATTTTTCTTCTATTTTATCTATTCAGCTAATTTTTATCAAGTAATAGAAAATAATACAAAAACTTAAGAAAAAGAAAAAAAATATCTATATCTATAATACGCTCATTTATTATGGCACTTACAGATTAATTAAGAAAGTTCAGTTGTGATTATTTGTAAATTTAGTTTCTTGAGTAAGAAATATAAATTTAGTAGGACAATAATTATGATTTTATATTTAATAAAAAAAATTAAAAAGAAATAAAAAATGGTTTTGGAGCAAGTTAGAACCTGAATGAAGAAAAAAAGAAAAATTTTCATTCAAAGATTTAATTTGTTTTTTGAATATGGCACTTTTTTTTGAGCAAAAAAGATACTTAAGGAATGCCTTAATTAATGAGCATTTACAGTATATAAAAAATTGATTCAAGATTAAAAGATGGCAATAAATAGGGGAAATAAGTGTTTTGAAGTTGCTTTTACTAATGAAGATTTATGGTATTTTAATTAGAAGAGATCGTATTTATTTACTCTTTCTAAATTTATTTCGAATTTAGTAGTGAGTTTCTAGTCAATTAACTAACACTCTTTACTAACAATATTTTTAATTTTTTAAAAACTATTAAAAAAATACTTTAATAAGATAAATAAAATTCTAAAAATTCTGAATATTTTTTAATTATTAAGAAAAATTAATTATTCTTTTTTATGATAAAAATATTTATTTTTTACTAATATTTAAATATATTAACTTATTTATTTTACTCCAAGTAATAAAAAAAAATTAATATTTATTATTAAACTCTTTCTTCATAAATTTGATTGAATAGTGAATTAATTGCTTTAATTTAAGAAATACTATCCATATTTATCTTTTATTTTTACTTTTTAGTTAATATAAGGTTTTTTGAACTGAATTTTATATTAAATAAACATCATAAGCAAACAAAATTCTACAAAATAAAAAATATTAGAAATATTAAGAAGTGAATCTTCTATTTAAATTAAATTTTAATACAAATTTAATATTAAGTTAATTGTTTTTATTAATATATATATAAATATTTTTATTTATGTTATTAATATCTTTTTTATTATTCAAATACAACTATTAATAGTAAACTCAATCTAGTCTAGCTACTTTACAAGAATTAAAAATCTTCTAACACTAGCTATCAGAAATCCAGATAAAGAAATACTAATAAACAATAAAAAACTGCAAGGTATTTAAATTCCAAAACGCAACCCTGTATATCCACTAAATGTATGAACCTCAAAAATATTAGAAACAATCATAATTATAAAACTATAAGCAAAATTCAAGATACTTAATACAAGATTCATTTTAATTAGCTTTGGTTTAGTATTTAGTATGGAAATTAGTAAAATTAATATCTAAATAGCTAATAGTAAAATTTGAAAAGCAAAAGGAGCAATTAATACATATATAGAATCAGAATTATAGAGATAAATTGGATATCCTATTATCAAGGCGACTAATGAAAGAGAAAAAATAGTAAGTAAATAGTTAAAATACTTTTTAATTCTTGTTTAAAGAGACTTACAACAATAAAAAAATTTACTGTCTCTAATAATTTCATTTTAAATACCTCTATTTTTATCAATAACTTGTTGTAGTACCTTAGTTTCCATTGAATAAGCTGATAATAGATTAAATTTTCCAATTAAATTGAGATTAGGGATGATTAAATTTAATTCTGAATAAATCTGCTATAGTGCGTTAACTATACCACTCACTCCTACTCCATCATTACTATTTTTTTTGTAGATTTAATTGAAGCTGTGCAATATATTATTTCAGGACTTGAGTATTAAATATTTATGAGATTTGGATTTGTGTTAATCACAAAAGCTGAATTTTATTGATAATTGTTTTAATTTATTCCTACTGAATACTAAGGATATTGATAGCTAAACTCATTATAATTGCTATTTTGATTGTAAATTAATGGTTAGTTTAATTAAACCTATTAAGGATTATAGCTGTTATTACTATACTGAGGGTCTTGAAGGTACTGATATTAAAAATTTTAGCTGTTATTGTTCATTTCTACCAGGATAAATGATAATACTTATTTATTTATTTATTTATTTTTGTTGTTTTTGTTCTATTAATTCTTTTGTTTTAATTAAATTGTATATTTTAATATATTAATCAATATCTTTTTTAAAGTAATGAACTTTAAGATATTTTGAAAACTTTAAAATAGCTCTATATTTAAGATATTTAAAACAAATAAAGTTGAAAAAATGAAATACTAATAGAGAAAAGTCTTTTAAGATGGCATACAATAAAATTTTCTTTAAAAACTCTTTACTCTTTAAAACATTAACTTTATCAATCTATTTCATAGAAATTCAAAATTTGTATGTAATTAATTTCTTTCGAATGAAAAAAAAATTTGGGTTTTTTATTAATTGATTAATTAAGTAGATAGTAAAAATGTTTTAAATAAATTTTTCTGACTGTCAATCTATATGACTTCTATCTGAATACTAATATTAATTTAAATCAATATTTTTATATACTTTATCATATAAGGTTGCTACCTGATTACTGCATAATATAAAAAAATCATATCATGAAGGAATTCTTAATTTATAAATGAAACTATTAAAAAATGCTTTCTATTTTGTAAAATAGTTGTTATTATAACATATTTTTGAATTAGAAATATTTTTAATGTAAACTTTTTAGAAATCTTAAATCAATTTTATATATTTCATAAATTTGAAATAAGTATTAATATATATATCTCTAAATTTAGCCTTTCTTATCAACTTTGATTTCTATTAATTAATTTGCTTTATTCTATTTTAAACCTTAGTGTTAATTGGATGTATATATATCATTCTTTTAATTAATTTAATTTTAAGAAAAGTTTTTATAAAATGATAGTTAAAGAAAAAAATAAATAAAGTATATAAACTATTGTTTCTTTTATTTTTTAGTAAATTTAAACTGAAAATGTTTTTTTTTTACTGTTTTTTAGTATTTATGTCTATGAATTTATGTGAAAATTTTAAAAATGAAAGTCTATAATTTAATAAATATAATTTCTTAGCTTAACATTTTTAGTCATTTTATCAATTAAGTCTAAAAATAGAAAAGTTAATTAAAATATATTTAAGCTAATAAAACTTTTTAGATATATTTATTTATTGATATTTAATAAATAAACTTTTTTATTAAATAAATTTTTCTATTTTAATTTTTATAAATATACACTCTGTTTCAAATAAATGATATCAAAAATCCAATATATAATAGTAGTAATTAATGCCAACCACAAAATATAATTTTAATTTTTACCATTTTTTATTTTTCTTATAAAATATTTAACTAATAAAATATATTACCGTAAAATCTCAATAGAAAAATTGAATGTATTTCATGAATTTATTTGAAATTGAATTTAAAATTTTATTTTTATTTTCAATAAATATTAATAAATGAGGAGTAAAAAGTAATTCATAATTTAATTATTTGAATACAATATTTAATGGCAAATATTAAAATATGAAATCTAGTTAAGAATATTACTATTTAGAATTTGTAGTCTTAGATCCAATTTAATTTACTGTACATTATGTATGGAGGCATTTAAAGCTTTAGAAGACTTTAAATAGTAAAAAACATGCGATTTTTCAGCGATAAGAAGTAAGTATCATATTGCAAAATTCCATCAAACTTGTAATACAATATAAAAAGATATCATAATGAATATCAATTCAACTTAAACTTTAAAAGTTATATTATTATTTTTTTAAATTTATAACATGTCATTTTAGACGTTATCTATGTCATTATTTGCTATTTTTACATATTCTTATTTATTAGATTCAATCACTCTTAATCTAAATTCATAATAATCTACATTATTAATTTTTCTGTTTACTTATTTGTATGATGTATCATAAACTTTTAACTTATCAATTTTTTATATTTTCTTTTATTATTTTTAAATCTTATACTCATTATTTTTTTGTTTATAATCTATTAACTTTTATCTCTCATCACTTATTCTTTCTTTCTTATTTAACTTGTTCTTATGTCATTCCA